ACACCCTTCACTATCATCATCTTCCCCACCACTTAATCCAGCCTCGGACGGGTCTATTAGATCCGGGTCCTTGGGACGGACCGTGCTGATGGGGTAATTGGGGTTAATGCGACGGTGAATAGCAGGATCGATCATGACCCGACCATTGATATTAACCTTGATCACGAACGAGCGCTTCTTCTTGTAAAAGGCCATACCCTTGTGGAAGCGGTAGTTCATTCCGCGCAGCGCGACAAAGCGCTTCCCACGCTCGATCAGGCGGGCACGCAGGGCCTCGGCGTCGCGGTGGTATTGCAACGGGTAGCAAGCCAGACTGGTGATCTTGCGAGCGCCCTTGAAAGAATCGACTTCAGCAGACATGGACCCGAAGCCGTAGTCCTTGCCATCGTATTCCAGGTAGCGGCCTTCGACGCTGTACCATTGTCCTTTCATGAAGGAGGATTCTTTGATAGCGTACTCGATCTTGAAGGCGCGTGGTTCGTCCGGGTTACTGTAGGTCGGGGTGTAGGCAATGGTGTTTGGCTTGAAGAGCGCCCACAGTAGATCGAAGGTGATGGTGTTTGCCTCGAGGAGGGGGTAGAGGGTTTTCTTGGTATCGGCGTAGTCGGTGTCGAGATATTTGATGAGGACCTTTAGATGGGCAGCTTTGAGGGCAGCGGCCTTGCGGGCTTTCTTCTTCTTTTCGCTCCGCGACTGCTTCTTCAGATCTTTCATGTATTGGCGTGTTTCTTCCAGGTATAGGAATAGCATGTTGGGGTCGACCACGGCGGGCTCTTGGACCAAGCTGACACCCTTGACGCCGTCCATGACTTTGGCCAGGGCATCGCGGAGGTGCTTGCTCTTGATGTCGACCACTGTTTCCAAGTATTTATTTTCCCAGTTGAACTTGCGACGCACGGTGAAGATGTATTGGTCCCATTCGTCGGCATCGGGGTCGTCCACCGTTTCGGTCAGCTTATACTTGTGGATGGTGGTGTCCCATACTAGTGAGGTTAGCAAGATATAACAGATAGTATGCAACGAAAATAGTACTCACGTTGATCCACACGTTTGAAAGCAACCTTGGAAGCAGGCTTCTTCTTCTTGGAGCGCTTCTCTCTCTTCTCACTAATTGGATCACTGGCTGCGAGATCGTCGGAGGTCTGATCGCGGAGCTTCTTAGCGCGCTTCTTTAGCTTCAGCCTGGTGACCAGTTTGCGTAGAGCCTTCTCATCCAACGAATCATCAGACTCAGCCGAGCTGTCGGAATCCGACTCGGAGGAGGAATTCGAAGTGGAATCCGAATCTGAGGCTGCAGCTTTACGCGACCGTTGCTTTCTCCTCTTACGGCGCTTCTTATCCTTCAGAACACGCTTGGCCCGTGCCTTTGCTCGTATACGGTGCCGTTTGCGCTTGTCCGTGTTAGACTCGCTCGTAGACTCAGAGTCAGCATCGTCGGTGTCGGCGTCACTGTCGGAGCTGGAAGAAGAGGAAGACGAGGAGCTGTCGCTCGAATCGGCCTTTTTGGTCCTCTTCTTGCGTTTCTTCTTCTTGTCGTGTTTCTGGCAGACGAGCTTGGGAGCTGTCTCAGCTGCGGGGGCAACGGCCGCATCTTTGACGGCGATCTCTTTCACGGTGACTTCTGGGGGTTGGGCTGAGCCGTTGAGGTTTTCGGTAGAGGGATCAACCTCATCCTTGGCCTCAGCTGTGATGGAGGTTGGTTCTGCCATGGGGATTACAGCTGTGGAAGTTGGAGAATTTGGAGAATAAATGGAATGTGAGGTATCAGAAAGAACTAAATAGAGAGGCTGAGACTGGCTGAGACTGGAACTGGACCAGAGACAGGAAGAAAGTAAAGAACTGAGAGAAACAGGAACCGGAAGAGAGATTGAGACAGAGACAGGAACAGAGACAGACACAGACAGAGAAAGAGAGAAGAGAAAGAGAATGACTCTGTGGGTGAGACGACGCATTTTATGTACGCAGGCATCACGCTGCAGCCTCAACACCAATCAGTCGGCCCCACGATGTATGCGCTGTCCCTTTATTATTAGTTACTTTCCAGGCTACTTAGGCTACCTAGGTATGGCCTGAATCATATTTTGAATGCCTGGAGTCTATCCTTTGTGTCCTTAACCTTCTCTTTGCGTGTTTCAGCTTTGCGGCTATAAAGTTCTTTCAATCTGGGCATCCTGTTAAGCGCCTATGCTGAGATGTCTGTCCATGCGAGTTGTCTGCCTAGACTGAGGCTGTACATGGGTTGTTTCCACATTGGACTGCACAGGTTCCTGCACGTAAATCACCTGTAAGCACCTAGGCAGCCTGTTATATCCGTGGGCATGGTTGAATAAATAGGCAGGTAGTAACCACGTGCCAGTGACTTGCCCTAATTTCCATCAACTACCTGCTTGTGATGGACATGGCAAAATGCACTATTAACAACTTTTGATGAACAGCGAGGATTGTAGGCTTGGAGAGAAACATATGGCTTGTTGATCTTGCGTGAACTAAGTGTCCAGATCCTTGCGGGAAGAGTGATACGGGCAACTACCATACGTTACTATAGCTATCCAATACAGAGAATGACCACAGGAGTACGCGTACCTGAAGTGTTGAACATGAAATAGAAAGGACGGTGGACATGTTGCATAGACTCAAGGCAGCTTTGGTGAGTTTGGGGACGTCTCCATTGGGAAGGTATCAAGTTAGGGCATCCCCCTCGAACCCCGAAGGCTCGGCGACGACATCATCGCCGGCGATGTCCCACGATGAAAAGCGTCAAAAATATTAGTATAAATAGTTTAGCCTACTCAAAGCGATCTTAACCTCGTCGCGATCCCTTGAATTTCCAATTTCATTACGTTCTATCACAGTCTGTCTGGTCAATATGTCCTTCAATACGAATGATTCTTTGCCCGTGGGCTCGCCTACCATCCCTGCTGCCTCGCCTGTTCCCTCTGAAAGTTCCCATGGAAGCGGCCCTATGTCCATTTCTTCGGGCTCATCTTTCGTCCCTACTTCTTTTGCTCCAGTCCCTGCTCCTTTTGCTCCAGTCCCTTCTCCTGTTGCTCCAGTCCCTTCTCCTATTACTCCAGTTCCTTCTCCTGTTCCCTCTCAATTCTTCACTGGAAGTGGTCCTATGTCCATTTCCTCTGGCTCATCTTTTGTCCCAGCCCCTGCTGTTCCATCTGGTATTTCTGTCCCTACTGTGGTGACTTCTGATATCTCTGCTTCCAACCTTCCTTTATCTGACGACTACTATTTCATCTCTCATTTACTGGCCACTCATCCTCGCACTCTCGCTCACGCTGAATCTGCTGCTCGAGTTGCCACTCAATCTGCCAGTCAATCTGCCACTGTTCACCCCCCTGTCACTCCCCCTTTGCAGAACAACCCCAATCCTGTCACTCCAGACAACGGACCGTTTAACTGGACCGACGTCATGTCTGAAGGGTCTCCGGACATGGAGCCCAGACAGCCGCTTCTCTGGCAGGATACTCCCCCAAGACACCCTCCAATGTCTGCCACTGATCCAATCTTCCATGGACGGATTTTTGAGACAGCGGAAGACCGCATCCAAGCATCCGAAGACCTGCTGCTAGCTGAAATGGCCAAGAACCACAATGACCCACCCCATCATTTCACCAACGACGATGAGATGAGCTACTTTAGCATTGCCGATCTCGATGCTCAGTTCCGTGAGATGGAAACCGGCCAGAAGCTTGCCCCGAAACACAAGCCCAACACCCCCGTCGAGCGTTCCGCAAAGCGTGTCAAGAACAATAACACCTTGAGCGCCATGACTGAATCCGCCTCTACTGCTGCCTTTTCTCCCAACACCAAGCAAGCCGATGCCATCCCGGCTATGCTCGAGCCTGCTACCACGGAGGTAAGTACCCATCCCATCCACCACAGCATCATATCTAACCATGCACAGTCTACCCCCAAGCCAAGCCGCCGCCGCCGCAAGGCTCGCAAGAGCTTCACCCCAGAGGTGACCCGCACCCTACGCAGCAGCACAACCAAGAAGACCGAGGAGTCCGCCGCCAAGCAGACGCCCAAGTCAGAGACTGCCACCACTGCTGACGCTGACGCTGAGGTCCCTGCCCCCTCCCCCAACAAGAGCCTCCCAGAGTCCTGGGCCACAGCCCTGGACGAGGACAAACTGGTCTCGATGATGAAAGACCAGGGGTACACCTGGGTGGACATCACGGAGATGTGGGCGGCGAACTCGGCGCTGGCCTACTCGCAGGCCTCGCTGAAGAAGCGCTGGGGCAATATGAAGAAGAAGCTGGGTCGGTGGACCGGATTTGACGTACGTATAAGCATTCCGTAATTCCACTTTTCGCTCGTTTGTTCGTCAGATTGTGCTTATTTGCACCGCGTTTCGTCTTACGTTGTTGAGCTGATTGCTAACGCTTTTGTTGGGTAGGAGGCTCTGGTTGCTGTGGTGGGGATCGTTCGGAGTGATCTGAACGAGATCCTCACTGATGAATCGTGGGAGCATATTGCCGGGACCATTTCGGCCGAGTTGAACTTGGCCGTTACTGGGGAGTTCTGCAAGGCCCGATTTGTGGTCATGGAGGACGAGAAGCTGACCCGTCAGGGTTAGGGGCAGTTTGTGAAATGAGAATTGAGGATACGGAAGGAGGTGGATGTTTTGAGTACGATGGCGAAGTTAGGCCAGGTGGCAGTACCTGGGGTTTCGAGCGGTTCTCTGTCTCTGCGTTTGAGCGTTGAGCGTTGTGTAATTTGTGATACCCCGGGGCTACTTGATAAAGCCCCAAGCGGGTGGACGAGATTTGTAAGAAGTAATTGTTGAACGAGTAATCAATCTGTGCGAGTAAGACATACTTCCAGTAAACCTGTTCATTCGCTAGATACGTTCACAGAAAATGCCCAAGGATACCAAATCCGAAAAGAGATATAACGCCCCGAGTCCATGTGCCCACCCGCTGGTGTCATACAATCATGAAAGCTGAAATCTGAAGAGCTGAAAAACCACCAAAAATAATCAAAAGTTAGAGAGCGCTCAGTTCTCGTCTACCACTGCTTCGCATACTCATCCCCATTCCTGGCATGCCCGCACTCCATTCCGAAGAGTCGGAGTCACCTCGACCACGCGATCCGCTAGTACTTGTCCCGATACTGATACCAGCAGTGGTAAGAGACTCTGCATCGTCGATTACAGGTGGACCGCCGACCATGACAGGCCGGATCTTAGCCCCAACAAATCCACGACGATCACGGCCTGTGCGGCCACGGCCAAGCCAGTTATGCTTCAGAGCTTTACTGAGCACCTCGATCTTCTCTTGGGAGGCATCGTCGGTTTGAACGCTAGCGAGCACGCTAACACATTGTAGCATACGACCCACAGTCTCTGTGATGACGTGCGAGCTATCAGCGGAGTTGACGCGGTGAATTATAGTGGGCCGCTTAGCAGGTGCCTGCGGCGATGCAACAGACTGGAAAACGAGAGGGTCTGGGTTTGAGGAAGTATTCGATGTAGCGCGGCTGCGGGAGTCGCCGCTTGCAGGCCGTGGGTGGTTGGCTAGGCCGGTCATCCCGTCTGAGGAGTAGCTGTCTGCGACAGTGCTGAGGAGAGTAGAGGATTGCGAGTTGAAGCTGCCGAAGCCGGCGTCGAGGGAAGCTGCGGTACCAGGACGGCCTCCTGTGCCAGTGCTTTTGGCTGTCACGCTGAGAGTTGGAAAGCCAGAGTTGATTGAGTCTAGACTGAGGCGCGAGAATGTTGCCTTGAGGGTCTCATAGCGGTTCAGGATGATACAGTCACGGAAGGCGATGAGGACTAGGCTGCGCACTTCGAGCGTACCACCGACAGGAAGTGGACCCCAGAATTCAAGGGCTTCTCGGCTGGTCATCAGAGATCCGCAGCCCTTGAATTCAAGATCCAAGGGTAGGAAAACAGCCTGGATGAAGGGCAGGATTGTACCAAATACCAACATCCATATCTGTACCAGATGAGGAACCAGCTTTTCATCGGGGACACCCAGAAGCGAACTGAGATTCAGAGTTGCGAACCCAGTTTCGAGCAACTCCTGCAAATCAGTGATCACAGACGTGGGAGTTCTCTTATGCACACAGCACTGCAAATGAACCAGAACCAGCTTGTTCAAATCCTCAATGGCAATGCGCACATCCTCACCATCGAAGATGACCAGCAACTTCGCCTTGAGGAAATCCCACGCATCTTCGGGTGTCATATTATTCAACCCGAACCCTTGCAGTGTCTCTCGAAGAATAGATTCGGGGTATGTACCACCACTACCAATTGAAGAGGGACCTGGGAAGCCACCAGGTGTCGTGGCCCCGCCGGTGTTATTGGCCAGCCATTCCAGTTGTTCCGACTCAGCGAGTGCTTTCTCTTCTTTCTTCTTCTCGCGCAATGCTCGTCCACCGTGCAAGATATCCAGACCACTGACTGACTTGCCGAATGTGGCACCCGGCGCCGGTGATGCAGGGCTTGTGAAGGAATAGAGGGATTGCGGAGCATTTGGATCGGCTGGGCGAGAGTTGCTGGATGCCGAGGACAAGACTTGATTGAAGTGGTCGTCGACCCGGTCCTTGAGTTTAAGTTTCTGTCTCGACAGGAAATGGTGCTTGTGTTTGTCTTTTTCCTTGTCCTTTTCCTTTTCCGGAACTTGAGCTCGATCTGAGGGGACGACAGTGCTCACGGAGGCATTGGAGAGATTGTACATTGAGGAGTTGTTCGAGGGCAAGTCGGCCAAGTTGGTAGTGGACGCGCTTACCATACGCGACAAGCCACTGATCTTGCTCGGAGAAGGAAGCCCACGGTCTTTGCCCAAATCCTTATCCCTGCTGATACCTATATGTTTCGGTTTTGAGAACAGCTTCTTCTTCTTCTGTTTTTCAGGTTGTAGGTCTGGCGGTTGCGCACCGGCGCGCGGGAAGACCACATTCGCAGCTGTCGTGGCCACGTTTGCTGGCGCGGGCGGTTGAGGCGAAGGCACATTTACACGCAATGGGGCAGGCATGAGCGGAGGCGATGCGCTCCCACTCTGCCGTGACCGTGTATCCTCCACAGACATGACATTCTGAGCCCGTTTTGTCTGTTGCATTGCTGCCTGGGCGGCGATGCGGGAGGCTGACACGGTAGGGAGCTGGTCAGACGAAGCAGTTGGCAAGGATGGTTCGAAGAAGCCCTGCGAGTGAACGCGAGAGCGATGCCGGGGTAATTCAATCGAGGGACCCCGGCCAGACGGCCGGCGGCCGGAGGGGTCTGGCATAGGGCGAGTGTGCGGCGAGGTGGTGGCTGAGCGAGGTTGAGGGGGGAAATAACTGCCGGGAGGGATCTGAGGATTAATGGGCGTAACCGGCGCCGCTGAAACGGTAGTCACATTGGAGGAGGCGTCGCTACCGGAGGAACCAGGACGGATCAGTTCGTCTTCGTCGGAATCATCTTCTTCGTCATCAGACGGGGGCTGCGGAGGCGGAGGCCGGTAGCGGACGGGGGCCGGCACTCGCTGACGCCCTGGCGAGTTGGGGGATCGCAGCGAGGGATTCATGGTGTGTCCATTGTCGACATGAAATGACATGAAGCGTTTCATGGCAAAAGACACCTCGCCGATCCCTTCCTCTACGGTCGACAGTAACGACCACTACAACAACGCTATCTAGATCTACACTCCGCAGATCGCTCTCGATGCTTCTTATATTTGACCACTGCCTTCTAACCTGGACCTTGCTAATTTCCTCCTAATGTTTCTGATCCATATACAGCAACACATAGCAAGTCCTCTTGGTTCACACTTGGTTTTCATTTGGGTATGTTGAGTGTATCTCTACTCTACGTCTGGGATATCTTGCCATAGAGCAATCTCTTTGACTGGATAGCATACGTATCTTGACATAGCACGATTAGAGAATAAGATATATATCATCACTCCATGTTATACACTTAGCAGTTTGTGTATACTTGCCTACAGACATATCGGATTATTGAACGTCCGAGGCAAGGTACAGAATTTACCGCCTTCTACTTTCAGTCTAGCCCCATCCCCAGCCTCTAGTCCCCTTTCGAGTTAGCCTCGGCAGCAGAAAGACCGTTTCCTGCCTATAGAGTTGTTACCGAGTGGTTATATTGGTATCCCAGAATTTTAAGAGGTCTGGAGAAGCTGTAACCCATAGGAAATACACTAAAAACTCATACTCACTTGATTTACTCATTTGAATTTCATATGGAGCAAGATCCACAGAAAGAGCGTCTTGGATGTCATCCAATTCAACTTACAAAGCTCCAGCAAATACGTCTCAGTACCAGTATGGTAATCTGACTTGGAGGTGGGGCTCAAGCAACTCTTCTTCATCCCACCTTCAATTCACAAGTGTACATACCCCTACAATGGCCAACTCAGTTAACCTCAAAGCGGTCTACTCCGCCCCTCAATCCACCGAGACCTTCCAACACGCAATTCCCTCTGATGGTGCCGACACTCTGGCAGCAAAGCAAGCCCACCTCAATGCACTGCAAACCCTCGTCCCCAAACTACAGGACCAGATCAATGTGTTCCTGACTGAGCGCATGGAAGAGGACAAAAAGGTCCAGGGCCAGATCTCCGCACAAGAAGCCAAGGAAGAAGAAAACTACGGAGAGGAGGTCGTTGAGGATGATGCATGATTATCGTGAAATAGGCAGATGCTAGCACTGGGTATCAAAGTCGCTGAAACAGCCTCCGACAACAATCCAACCAAGAACGACCGAACTACCGAACGACCGAACAAACCGAAAAAAGACAAGAAAAATGAAAACGAGACCAACTCGATGCCATGCAAATGCAGACGCAAAAGCAAGAGAATCGGATTACCCAGATCGAACACTGGGTCTCCGATTCGCACACCCCAAATGAACAACCGTGTTACTGGACCGAATCATCAGCATCAACCAAATCAACAGAGGAAAGACAACTTACTCGGGAAACACATTGATCACACTCCCACCCAACCGTTTATGACAAACACCACAAATCCGCTCCTCGGTAACAGTAACATGGCGAGCACGTGAACCCGCCCTATTCCCACGAACACCTTCACCAATAGCCAACCGCGCTTGGACCTGCATATCGTGCGCTTTACGCAGATTAGCCACGATGCGCGCTTCATTGAAGACAGAGTTCGCAGCGCGCATGCGGCCCTTGAAATAGAATTCCAGTTTCTGCACGGCTTGTTGGTCTGGTATGAGTTTCAGAGCGGACTCGGCTGGAAGTCTGGAGCCGTGTTTGGCTAGGAGGTCGATTGCAGGGTCGTATTGGGGTTTGTAGCCGTGCGGTGGGGAGAGGTAGAGGGAGAGGAGGGTTAGGTAGATTGAGTTCTCTTCTTCTTTCTTTTCGGCGAGGTGGACTTGGTTGCAGTATCTTTTGGCGGTTAATGATTGTCGTTTTTGTTGGAATGGAATGATATGACTTACTCTTCTGCTTTCTCGTGGTCTTCCAGTTTGAAGACGTAGATCTCCAGTGCTTGTCTGTGCTGTCCCATTTTGCTAAATAGGATAGCGCGGGCTTCGTAGAAGTTGGGATCTGACAAGGATGAGTATTGGCCTGTATGTGCAGTGGAGAACATACCCTCTCGATCAAGCCGATCTAACATCTTCGCTGGCGAGTATTGTTCGCTCTCTTTCAACATGGTCAAGAACTTGTCTTTCCATTCCCCTTTGTTGGATGTAAGTTGATCTAGATATAAGATGAGTAGCCGCTGGTGTATGTCGGGCGTCATGTCGTTCCATTCATTAATGGCATGTTCAAGGTAGTGAATGGCAAGCGAGGTGTCTATTTTCTCGAGGAACCCAAGAACACGAGGGCGAGGGAGGGTCTCGGCGTTTTCAGTGTCAGTCAGGAAAATCTCCATTCCTAACTCGTGATTAGCGCGAATAGGCCATTCTCCAAACTCGATGATCAGATCGATCTGGTCGGGGGGTAAGTTTTGGAGATAGGCGACAGTGCGCGTCGGACCACTCAAGGGACCGTTCTCTGTCTGACCAAAGCGCTGCAACAATTCAAGTGCTTGGCGATGCAATTTCTTGCCGTAGAGGAAGTCAATCAAGTCGTTGTAGCGACCTGTTTCCTCGAGTCGTTCCATGACAACATCTGGATCGCAGTAGTTGGCGATGCGGAAAAGAGACCCGGCTAGCGATGGCGTCGCGAACATGTGTGCGCGGAACAAGGTGGTGTCGACCAGTCTGGCCTTGGCTCGGAGCTGCGTAGCGAAATCCTCGGTAGATGGGAAGTCGAGTAGCTTGAGGACCGAGTCACTGGCTTCGTCTTTGGCTTCGGACGGCGCAGGAGCCTTGAGAGAACCGTCGGAGTTGAGGAAGCGCTGGAAGCGTCGGCGGACATCTGCTAGATAGCCCTGTAGTTCGCGGACTGCTATTCGAAGACCTGGTTCGGTTAGTCAGACTCGAATATATCCAAGGGTTGAGGCTTGCTTACCTTTCTCGTCTCCACGGATGCTGCTCGACTCGCTGCCCTCGTCAGGTTTGCGCATAGATGATCTGACGGACGGGGGATGAGTGGACGTTTGCCCTGGAGCTGCGTCATCCGACGAGCCTTCACTTTGTGACCCGTTGGCCTTGCCATTTGGAGCGTCAGGCTCTGGGACAGCCGACAGATCACCCGCGATCAAGCGAGGGTACAGGCGAATGACACTTTCCGGGGGCGCGGAAACTTCAGTAAAGAGGTCCAACGAATCGCGGTACTTGTTCAAGGCAAACAAGCTTTGTGCCTTTTCCAATCGTGTCGAGCGTAACCGGCCAGGTTTATCCCGGAGAAGAGCATCCTCCAGCATTCCGAGTAAGCTGATAGCTTCATCCAGATAGCCCTTTTCGACCAAAGTGTCGATTTGGGTATCGTAGCTCAGGGCTTCCATGCGCCAGATGGTGCGATCACTCGCCACCAGGAACCCTTTCCCGGCATGAGCGAGACTGATATTCGGCTGTGGAATGTGCAGAATACTAGCAGACGGCAAGGGAATAGACTGCAGGAGAGACAAGGTCTCCGGGTTGCGAACCTCGAGCACGCCCTTGGCCGAATCATGCAAAGCCAACAGAAAAGGGTACGAATATCCCAGTTCCACCGGCGCATGGCTCCAGGGAATCTGCTTCCGACCAAGCGGTTGGCCATCGACATCGATGAAATGGGTATTGATATCCTTGGCCAACAGAATCTGGCCTTCCAGAAGTCTCGTCGCAAGCGGCCGCGGCACCATCCCACCCATACCGATATAGCTCATACTCGCAGCCCCGACACCCGTGAATCGACCAGACTCCTCAACGCTGCCCGGACCAGCCAAATCCGTCACCTGGCCACTCTCCAGATTGACCATGACGAAGCTCGAGCTCAGCCCAACAACCAGCCGCTCAGCCGCAACCCAAGTGAGAGTCTTAACCCCACTAACCAAACTCAACTCAGTAGTATCGCGCTCCAGTTCCATATCCCGCCACACCCACATGAGAATCTTCCTCTTAACAGAAACAGCAAGACGAGAAACAATAGCAGGGACATTGGTATCAGGATCATTAACGACATTAGAGGTAATAGCAAAAGCAGAAGCACCCTTAGTCTGCGCAAGCACCTCAACAACCTCATAAGACTGCGCATCATGCAGCGAGACATAACCACCAGCCAGAGAAACTAGTATATTAGCCTCCTTAATCAGGGCCAGCTGCTCGATCTTATATCGGGAGAATTTCTCTAGTTCGCGTAGGAGTTCGGTCTTGCCATCGTCGGTGACGCGGTAGATGCGGAGGTTGCCATTGTTCAGGCCGGCTAGGAGGCGGTCGCCGTAGGCTAGGACGGAGTCGATGCGTGACTTGTCGCGCGGCTTCAGCTCGACCAGCGGCCGCGCCGTAAATGCTGACAACATGGGCGTGGTGCTCGCAATTCCTGCTGGGAGGGCGAGCGCTGTTGGAGCTCTCCGCATGACGTCCAGGTGATGAGTCAGTGTTTAGTCATCAAACACGGGTCAATCTGGCTCGGGCCGACTTCGGGATGGAGTCGGCTTCACTTGGCAGTTGGATATAGTTACAGCAGACTGTGTTGGTTTGATTGAGCTTGTTGGGTTTAGGCTAAGTGATCTATTTCAAGCATAAAGCTCTCTAATAGCACTACTTCTGCTATAACCAATGCATGTCATTACGCTACTGTTGTACTATAAGTTATAACGCAAATTGGTATAAATCAAACGAAGCCTTGTTTTTGGTATCAGAATATCTTATGCAGTCATAATCCAACCACACCCCTGTGCCAGGTGACGCCACTCCGATGCAGACCAATTCAACCTAATGTTTAGTCTCTGTGCCCTTCTCCGCAGGGAAGTCCTGATGCTTAGCAGATGTCCCCTTACCACGCCAGGTGGAAACAGCAGGGATATCCGCCTTGAAGCGTTGCTCCTCGGTGCCATATGCACGTGGAGTAAGCTTGATAAGAGTGTGCAATGGCACCTCCATCCACGGGCTCTGTTCCTGGGGCACGTTCATGAAGTAGGCGTAGATACAACGGAGCACAGCTTGGTGGGTGACAATAATGACGTTCTCGCTGCGCTCCAGTTCCATGATGATGGGCTCTAGGCGAATGACAACGTCGCGGTAGGACTCGCCTCCACGGTAGCGATAGTTGTACTTGTCTTCGTCTCGGGCAGCGAAGTCTTCTGGGTACTTCTCGGCGATTTGCTCGTAAGTCAAACCGTCGCAAACGCCAGAGTCTAATTCGTCCAAAGCTTTCCACTCCAGTTTCTCATAGCCGGTCTCTGACTTGAGGTGGCGGGCCGTCTGAATGGTGCGGCGCAGGGTTGAGGTCCAGATGACGATCTTGGTGTTGTCAGGGACTCCCGACTTGCGCAGTAGCTCGGGCAGTGCGCGGGCATAAGCCTCGCCTCGCTCGGAGATATTAGAATCTCCACCAATCCGACCTGTCAAATTGAACTCGGACTCGCCGTGCTATGTTTTGTCAGCCGCTATTTTTGAATGAATATCAGATCTCTTACCCTTGATAGCCAAATTGAACGAGGCTTGATGTGAAGGTTCTGAATGTAATAGACCAGTCGACTGGATAAGTAATCCTTGATCTGGTTGATGATGACCGTTGATCCAACGTTGATGAGCTTGACATAAGTATAATGCTTCTCGTTATCGTCAATCGTCTCGTAAACCTTTTCATAGTTGCGAATGCGATTGCGGAAATCCAGAGCTGCGACTTCAGGATCTTGACCCTTATAATCCGGAGATGTAGTCTTAACTTCCTTGATGTTGGTCATGATCAAGTCTTCATCATCGCAGATAGACTCCACAAAGAGAGCCTCGATATCAGCCTCGTGACACTTCTCATAGATCCAGTTGCGACGCTCCTTGGTCGAGTTGGTGGCATCCAGAATGGCAACTACACCCTTGCCGGTGTTGAACCACTGGATCATGTCCGACATGGCCGCCTCGGCTGCAGCGCGACGCATGCGCTCACCTTCCTCGTTGTGAGGATCAAAGAAGGTAGCCTCTGGCTGGGGAGTGTTGAATCGGCGATAGCCACCAACGTTGAAAACCCGTGCGGGAATGCCAACCCAGCCAAGATAACGCATCGCTGTCGGGAGTCAATATCGTGTGCGCTATAGATGGATGCACACTTACCCTTGCCGGCAATAAGACTCTTGCCTCGGGCCGGAAGGCCCACCATGACAACACATATTTTTGTGTCGTCAGACTGTATATGAGGGTCAGCGGCAAACATCGTGATGAGGAGAAAAGTCAGGAATGTGCAGGGGGGCGGAGAAAGCAACCGCAACTTGGGAAGGTATTAAGCCCGGTGTTGCAGAGTACAACAAAGTGTACTTTCTCCCATTGCTGCTTTATCGCATTACAACAGTTGATACGAGGCAAAAAATCCCATCGACAGCCATTACAGTCTCAAATACGCAATAACCTTTTCTGCGGTTCGCCAAGTGGCGAACTGAGGCACCAATTGACACTGGACCTCGGTAGAGTACCCGCGACATATCAAGAAGTTGGATAAAGAAGAAATTCGACTCACACTGGCAATGAACACCTTATGCTGCTGCTGGCTTCTAATCACACTCTTGGACGACATGGTTGTAGGGTTGTAGAAGAATGGAGGTGATTTCGGGAAGATTAGGAAGAGTTCCCGAGGTCGGAACAAGAGACAAGCCTCAACCGAGCATGCAGAGTCCGTATAGAGAAGAATATCGGAATATCACCTGCAGATAATCGTTAAGAGCAGGGAAGAGGAAAGGAGAGAAGTCGGAGGTGATGCGGTGAGTCTTTTCCCCACTAACGTCATCCCGTGAACAATCCACTTTTTCCATCTATGCGAATCTTGTTCTTGTTCATTGTTTCTTGTCTCTTGTATTTGGTCTCTATTTATATCTATGCTCTTTTGTATGCTGTTCTATGCTTTCATAGCTCAATGCGACACATTCCATCATTATTTGTGACCTTTTATTCAGTTGTTTTAGGTCCGCGGGCAAATTGCACTCGCAGAGGACCGCCCCACGGTCCTGGTCGGCCATTCAGTTCGTCCATAGCCCTCTGAGCTTCCTCGGAGCTGCCCACGTCGACAAACAGATAGTAGTGCTCGCCGGGCTCGAATCGCTTTGCGGGGTGAGGGGTGAAGACCTTGCTGACATTCTCACTGCACAGGATCAGTATAGATCACACGACTGAAGCCACCAAACTTACACAGAGAACCCGTTGAAAAACGCCTTAACGTTGCTCTGCACAGTCTCATGGTCGGTCAACCGAGGCAGGCCACCAACATAGACTCGACGGCTAGAGTCACTGTTAACCTTGGCAAAACTGGGGTTATCCTGCTGGCGCCAGCGATCAGTTCTAAAGGGCGAAGGAGGATTGGCGATCCGCTCTGCCGACTTGGCAACACCAGGCTTGATCTTGACAGGACGGCCCAACATATCCCGGCCATCCAACTCGGTCATGGCGCGCTCGGCATGTTCCTTGTTTTGCAAATCGACGAAGCAGTAGGAGGGGTTTCGGCCGGTGAAAGGGTCAATGGCAATATCGATGCGCTCGCTATGGGAAGGGGATTAAGTCGGGTCCTTGGCCATGGTTCAAGTGCACGCATACATAGGGAACTCGGCCGCAATGAACAGCGCCTCCACATCCTCCGTCTTGGCCGTGTAAGGCATGTTGCCTACATATAGGCGTCGGCCATCTGAGATCGCTTGCGGGACATGGGATCCGGGCCGGCTGAATGCTGCGCGAGAGGTGTTGGTGGTGCTGGGGCTGGCATTGCTGGGACGCGAGGGTGACGCTGATGGGCTTTCGACCTTTGTGCGCCAGTTGACAGAGTTGAAGGCTCGACCGTTCGTGCGGACATTCTCATAGGGCGACTTGGTAGGAGCTGTAGATCTTGATTAGTGACTTTTTGGGTGGTCAAGTATAGATGACGCACTCTGCTCCTGGGGTCTGGGGCTTTCCACATCCATGACGATGTTGATATCTGTAGAATAATACTTCACAAACACAAAACTGCAAAACTGCGAGACCGAAATTGCACCTCGCGTCCGTCACTTTTTTTTTGATTGCCAGTGCAAACAATGCAAATTCCCACTCGGCAGTATTTAGTTCGCGAGCTCCCGCTTTTTTTCTTTTTTCTTCATCTTCTTCATTCACTTCGATTTGATTTTCGCCTGGCTGTGCCTTTAGCATTTGATCAATGCTCAATGGTTTCATAGCCTGAGCATTGGCTGTGGACTGTCGCCAATTCTTGCCCAGGGCAAACAGACAAAGCATGATGAAGCTACGTCTAGCTCGCCATATAAGCGGCGATTCGAATACCACTGAGCCTAGCTCGACCAGCTGTCCCGATACGATTATCGCAATACTAAACGTTGTTTTGGCGGTTGAGGGACGACTACTAACAATGTGAGTTTGCACTGTTTCCTCCCTCCCCTCTATGATGAAGCAACCTTTTCACACAGACCTGTTCTGAATTATAATGTGGACTAAAAATTGTACCAACTGCTATCTGATGAAGCTTCTTGACTTTGTTTCTCTTACCAAGTCTATGCGATCATTGCTAACATGATTAAAGTGCACAGGACCACTCCCTCGTATCTGCACTAGACCTACCCAAACTAGATAGCAATCCGAGAATTGATTCTTACAAAGAATCCCTCATACCCATTGACAATTATCATACTGTACATATACTCCGTAAATTTGTCTACTATGCACATCCCAGGCCACTGTGCCAAGCATCTATACTTGGTCAACTCTGCTATGTCATGAATCTGTCAAAGAAACAACTTAAGCCCCGTTCTTCTCCGTTATGTTCCAACAGGGTCGTCCTTATATATCCTGAGTCCTTCCATGGTAGCCGGGTTGAAAGTAGAACAGTAGATTTGTCTTGGCAAGATCTACTGGTTGAAAGTCAACATTTCTACCGCTTGCACGATCACGTGATTGCTATCTCGTGGTTATTTGCGGTAACTTATACGCTGAGACGGCAAGTCGCAGCCCGAAAGCGGCTACTGTCCTGCAGAGGTTTCTGTCACGTAAAAATGACATATGTCTGCATTGACTAGACTAGAAACCGAGGAAAAGAAATGGAGAAAGAGAGAAAAGAAGCTAGCTAAGTCCTGGACAAACAAGGAGGTCACCTAATCCTCCAACAAATTTGAATGGAGAAATGGGCGCCTAAAATGACATGGGCTGGTGAGAATTTGTGACAATCTCGCGACGCGACTCTTTCAGTTGGTGATACGTGATGCAGGAATCATGCAGTAAGCTGGAGATGCCATGTCTAGCTCTACCCACTTCGTTCAACCTCCAATATCTCCATTATCTCCCTTCTCACACATCATCGTGGTTCACCACTGTGACTCACAGAATATTTACTGCTTCAAATGCATCTCGACCTGGGGGCTGCCTTAACATCCCAAATACAGCGTCTTCTATCCGAGGGAACGTTGACAACTGTTTATTTGATTGAACAATATCTTTCTTAAATTGAGAAAAGGGCTTCATTTGAATGCAATATCCATCGTTCCATAAATGTTCAATTGTTGAAATACAACTGGCTCGCTGAAATAAAAAGTCTATTCATGTCCTTTTTCTTGCCCTCAGGGGCACCCTTCTTCACCCAATCCACATATTTTAACTCCAGACGCCGACCACCTCAGTCTATCCGTGGTTGTTGCATTGATATTTATAGTCAATGGCCACTAGACAGCCGTTACCCCTGTGGTATGTTCCACACTTGCCACAACCACCAATGTTTGCGAATATTCTGGTAGGCATTCGACATGTCGTTGCCACTGATACTGATACTCACCCTCACCCTGAATAAAGACCTGGCAGCCACGAGTCTGATCACCCCAACAATTTCCATTGAGGCCGGTGCCACTAAAGAGAGGATGTTAGTAATCCATCGCGCGTAAGGAAGCTGGGCCCCATCTTTGCATGCCAATGGCGCAAGAGCTCTTTCTCTTATGACTTTGATAATGGCGACACCCATGTTGGCAGAAGTCTAGAGATGTGCCAAATCCTCTTTGGAGATTGGGACCCAGAACGCATGTACCACAAAACTAATGACAATTGCGCAGAGCTGATGGGGTCCTATCTATACTATAAGGAAAACACAGTGAAGTTGGCAAAGCAAAAAGCGAGGATTGGTACATTTGTGTACCAGGGAGCCAAGAACGGATGGGCGAAAACGGAACCATGTGGGCCTGACAAGGACCCGAACGCACCCAAGCCAAGGTAAGGAATCAGATGTCCTCGTGTGTCTTTTCAAGGACTAACAAAGTTGCAGAATATGTTCGGGTGCGATGTTTACACTGCTAATGAGGGCTTCAGAGTCATGGATAATACCACGCCGTCAGCGCCCTACACGCGGGAAAACCTCGCAGGAGGCCCGATCCGGCAAGATCAGACTCAAACATGCGGTGGGGATCCCATAGTGTTTTGGCGGCGGCCAGGAACTACTGTCTCAGACGTAGTTTGATGTTTAATGTGGCCCGTCAACATACCTGTGGCAGAAATACTATGATCATAATTTGAGCTAGTATATTGACATTCAACCGAACACCTCGATATATCCTTTCCCGGTTATTTGAATCCGAACCCCGAACTCCAAAGCTAAGTCTTCCAGTCCGTCTAACATCTCATTTTGCCAATCCTGTCTCTTGTCCTCCCCCGATAGACAAAACCCGCGGAGGCGAGGTGTGAATCTCCTCCAGTCTTGTAGCCATGATCGAACAACCCCCACTAAGTGAGAAGTATCGAGGTCCCATTCCCATTCCTCCTGAAAACGTAGGTCGTCGGTGATAGTCAGCCATTCAAGGCTTTTTGGGAGTGCTTCCCCAAGGTGCGCCACGTTTGAAGTCGATGGATAAAATCCAAGCACAAATGGTAGCGGAATTTTGATTCTCTCTAGCATATGAAGTGCGCTTAAATTGAACAAACCATTGAAATGGAGCGGTGGCCTGTAGAGATCACCCGGCCGCCCACATGATCCTGCCTCAATAGTCAAGTCTGTCAAAGTCCCTTGAATGTGAGATAGGTCCATAGCGATTTGGTCCAAATCGATAGTATCAGTGACGAAGTTATCTGCAATATCAGGGCGGTAAAGCCAATACCATTTGAGCTTCTGAGGCCTCGGGTAACTGACAACAGTTGACCGAGATGTCCTTCGCGCACCATGGTCAAGTCGAGCGATGTAAGTTTTGATGGATTTGGTAAAGCCTTCCCTGTCCACGTGAAGGAAGTGGGATTGTCGATTGAGAGGCTTAGCCGCTCAATTGATGGCAAGTAAAAGAAGGAAAGGACGTCTGCCGTGTTCCTAAACTCCGTGTACCTACGGATATTGAAATCAAGATCGGGACATTGAGCTGATACCTCTTGAAGATGTGCAAACGATGAAATATGGCTATCCCGGGACTCGGACTCCTTGCAGAGAGCCGAGCGGAACATCATGCTCATCAAGCAACTCTCTCGGGTGAAATTGTTGCCTAGGTGGAGACATTTCAGGTTGGGAAGTTGTGATATTAAAAGCGTTGCAAATGCGTCCATTGACCCGGCACGCAGCTCTTGGATCCATTCTTCGGTATAGGGAACATGGATGCTTTCGATGTATTCCACTAGCTGATTCGTGACATCTTCGCAGATTTGGAGTTTTGGACTCTGATATTTAGAGTTATGCCATTCGTAATCGTCGAAAGTGTCTCCACCGAGGATCAGCTGGTGAACGAAATTGGTGACCTCGGGCTTCTGCATAATCCGTTGCAGAAACTGGGCAATCGGGGGGGTCTGAGAGACCGTCCATGTCCATTCAATATGGGAGTAGAGAAATGGTTCCGCAAGAGCGTGCAAGTCCCTGTTCGTAAGACTCACCGCCCAGAGGTCGCTGGACGATAGGAATGCAAACACCATACGCCAAATCTCTGCCGGGGTGGTGAGAGTAGGGGACGCCATTTGGACCTTTCTTCCCCTGCTGTCTCAAGGAGGACTCAATGAGACGTACCGACACGGGGATGCGTGCTAAAGATCGGGTACGAGCAGGATGCAAGCTTGCGAGGACGCGGATCGATCACGTCTCCGATAAGCTAAGCGATGGATGAGTGAAAATGGTGCACTGGCTAAAAAAGTGAAATATTGGAACTTAGCTCGGCGATTTATTTCGCGTAGTCGTGCCAAGTTGGCTGCAGTCAGCAGAATTTTTCACTCACTGAAGATTTCTACATTTCTCTTCTTCTTCATACCTTCGTATACAGCTTATATCATGCCGCCAGCTTCTAAAATTCCCGAGGATGCTATGCAAAAGGCCCTTGAAGCCTATCACCAAAGCGAAAAGCCAAATATCGCTGATTTAAGCAGGGAATTACAAAACCTTGTACGGTCGTATTTATGGCCGTACCACCTATCAGCCAGGCCTGCTAACAAGAGAACCCTAGATTTAATTCAGGAGAAAGTATTAGTTAGCTGGATCACTAAGCTCGATAATGCATATAGACACTCTCCAAAACCCAGTTTGGGTCTAAAGTCTGGACTAGACCTGGCTGTGGCCCGTGGGTCACCCTCACGACCCTCGGACCGACCCTCACTTTAGGCGGGTCCGGATCTAACACTGTGACCTTTAAACAGATTTGCTCTATATTTTTGAGTATTTTATTTTATAGCATTAGAATTATAGATAGTGTAATTGGTAATTAGCGTGAGGATACATTAATAAGAAGTTATGATATACGCTTTTATTCCAGAGCTATATAATTGAACTATAGCTAGCTCTTATCAACGCTATTGGTGAAGAAGAATATAGAAGCCCTTATCATCGGAATAGTTATTGACGAAAGAACACCATGCATATGCAAAGGCGTCTGGTGAGTATACGCCAGATCGGTCCCCCTCGTCAAAGAAGCTGACCATATGGGAGTTTAACATCGTCCGAATGAACGGCTTTGTCCGGTATATTGAGTGAATACGCAGCTGCATAACGAGGCCCTTACCGGGGTCCGTTGGATCCGGTCCAACATGCTTGATGAAATCTCGAATTTGAAGATTTGTTGGGGAAGGCCGATTCGATGTCATAATGGAAATTCCGTACTTCACTGATTCACTAAGCTTGAGGCTCGGTATGCTTACGGTAAAAGTGTGTTGAATAACGAGTTTTGAAGAGATAGAGCTGGAAACTGCGGGACATAGTTGATACTGTAGCATAGTGCCGTTGACGGATTTAGGCTGCACATCTGTCTACTCTTTCTGTTCACCATCTTCACCATCTCCATCATTTTCATCTCCTTCGCTCTCCTCGCTCTCTTCGCTCTCTTGGTCCAAAACCTTGACCGGCTCGCCTAACATTTTCCCGTAAACCATCACTGCAGCCACTCCGTCCGTGCGTTGATCCCAGTCTCCTTCGACATAGAATCGCATTTGTAGCCCCTCCCTCACAAACCAAACACAATAACGGTCCTTATGATCAAAGTCGGCGGGATGAGAAGGTTCCTTATCCTCTTCGCCAGGCTGAAGCGTCTCCACACGCAAAGAAACCCCCGGGGCCAAGTAAGCCGGAGCAAGCAGAGTATTTGAGTCCCAGACTTTCGTCGCGGCGGGAACCTTCCCACTATTGCCATTCTCATGGGACGTCGGAAAATCAATGGCGAAGAGCTCTATGTTGGGTGGCTCGAAGCTTCTAGCGCGGTACATCGCTGACAGCCAATTGCCAACATCATAAAAGACATGGTTCCACATATAATAGATTTGGTCGCGCCATGGAGTATGCAAAGTCTTTGTGTCCGGGTTCCGTGGAAGCTGTTCACACTCCTCTGGGGTAAGTGGATCGACTTCTTCCTTCCAGACCTTGAAGGGGCCGTCGGGTGGGTTGTTGCATTCTGAGGTTGATCTCTGGACGACCCATCCGAGAACGAGAAGTTTTGCGATGGTATCTTGGGATCGGTGTGGGGAGAACCCGATTTTGCTAACTCCTGGGTATGGTAAGTGAGTGAAAATATGCGCTCCGCCGGGGCCGAGGTAGATCATTTCATGCATGCTGAGGCGCATTATTTCAGCCATGCTTGGAAGTTGAAGTCGGTTAATTGAAACAGGGTAGACAAGTGATTATAACTCTTTTTAAGGGAAAGATACAGAGAATCCTGGAGAAGTTAACAGATTGGCAAATTTTCTTTTTTAGCCCCAAGGCGATGAAAAGTTGACTCAGATTGTGATGTTCCGATCGCGCGCTAAAGCGGCTCTTACCCTAAACCAGGGCGACACCCCGAGCTGGGAAATACTAGGATATTATCGGCGTATGGTCTGAGATTATTCTAGTTATGGTTCGAAGCTGAATGAATCGAGTTTCCTTAAATGCCCAAGTTTCAAGCTATGTGAAAAATAATCGAATTTTCTAACTTGCTAGGGGAAAAAAAAAAAAAAAAATGCAACAGTAAGTCTAAGGTGGTGGTCACCTAGCGCCTACGGTTTGGGCATGGGCGGCTCGCCGCTCTATTTAGGGCACTTAGGGCAGATATTCACGCACCTGAATGTTCCTCACTCGAATATTCAGCCCGTGCAGCAAAAGGTACATTTCCCATCATGACTAAAAAGCTACAAGTATCCTTCTTTTCCCCTCCGTTGTCGTCTCTCTAGCCTCGCTTTGTCACGAACTAGATGCGTACCAAGCATAACCCAACGTTAAAATATATGGCCAATGTTGTGGATTTCGGGGAGCCTAGTAACAATGAAATCTAGCGGGTAGTACTGGCACGAACAGAATATAGTTACCGTTAAGAGTTACTTACTTATTTTCGATAAGTAAGTCTTAGCCCCGGGAGTACAACTTGGGTCCTAAGTCTGGACCTAAAACCCAACCCATGCGGGTTTTGGGTCCGACTTCTATAACTGTGAGACCACGCAGTATGGCCCAGTTATGCGTGCAATACAATAAGGTGGATTGTATGAAGAGACTGAATGCTGGTCCTTCCTAGAACCAGCGAGAATAGCTTATATACAGACTGGCCTATTCGTGGGTGGTGAGGACCTGAATCATCCTTTCACCGGAACGTCCTAAGGCATCTAGCTATGCCTTAGGCGTCGTCAACATCCTCGGTTAGGTAGTGGTCCTGGCATTATCCCCCTCCTTAGAGACCATGTCCCTAGGGTCTTGTAGTGGAATGGGTCATTCCTATCGGTCGTGTTGGTTTATTAAAACCATGTAGGGCAAAAACCTCCGTCTTTAGAAGGGAAATCCCTATATAGGAAAAGGTATCTAACGTCGACTAGGTCATTCTAGCATGGATACTTCCGCGTAGGAAGTGGTATATCCACGTGGTAGTGGTAATGTGTAGGAAGCATGTGGACCCTTTTTTAGTGGGGCACCGGGGGCAACATATGCGAACCGGGGGCTAGATTAGCAATGTTTCATACAGCGTAAAAAACTATTACTAGCGGCGAATCCAACAAATTAGTGCGCAGAATTTTCCAACTGATCCTTTAGCTCCCTTCTGGAAGAGCCTTTCAATGATTCTACGCTACAAAGAGTTAAAACTCCGTGGTAGGCTCCTAGTATACTAATACAATCTTTCTTGGCACTTTCTTGGCATGCGGCGGAGGCATTAGTGGAGATCGCAAATCTCCGAACAAACACTAGTAAAAGTATCACGAGTGATAGACCCTGTCGCCTCTCCAGCCCGTTGTCTCCGTCTATGGATGATTTGAAGTCCGATTATATCAGTACCTTTTAGCGTAATTCAAAGGCTGTCATGTCTCGTACCTATCGCCTCAGAAATCAAATCTCCGTAGCGCTACTCAGAGTAGCACGACATGGTGCGGTGATTTTCCTTTCTTTCACGCAATATCAAGAACCGCCCACCATATCAAGAGGGAGATTGGGCCTAATTACAGGACTAGCTTCGTACGTTAGCTTGAATTCGGACTAAATCTCGGTTGGAAAAGACTTTGTATGCTATGTGTCCAAAATTCAAATTTAACTCTTTGAGAGATTCCCTCATTTGGCCCTAACATCTAGTATATCGGCGTATTCCTAGTGTCATTGTGTCTGTATTTTATGGTGGGATGGACCTTTCCACATCGAGGTAAGAGACTAGTAAATATGGTAGAGCCTATAGCGGCGATGCTTTAAAACGGTGCTCGTTGCTAGATACCTGGGTATCAGCGTTACTATCTATGCAAGCCTACTGAACTACCTCTGACTTGGTACGAAACCTACCTCTTGGCGTACAACATTCACTGCGGGTTGTTGCCTAATTATTGTTCTCATAGTGACACGAGAGAACATTCCACACCATGATTGCTCTGGCATTCTCTCGGGTCATATTTGTGATCTAGTGCGCATTGGGCACCGTGAGCAATGCGTGGAATCTGAACAAGGAATATCCAGCCGCCGAGGGTTCTCTGGGCGTGCAGCTCGATTACTACCTAGCGACAAATTGGCCGATACCACTGTTAAAGAAGGGCAAGCAAATCCCCCGAACTTTCGCATGGAGCAGCCATCTCGCATTCGACAATGATGTGAGCAAGCTTACGGACGGTCAACTCTGGCAAATGGCACATGATGCATACTAGGAGATGTTCCGGAATATGAAGCTGTACGAGGTCACCAATAAAAAAGACCGACCCAGAGCCATGATGAAGCATTTAGCTAGTTTTGCATTTAAGTATCCCGAGACAAAGGTTTCCTTGACTCTTGAACAATGTCAAAGTACTTTCCATAAAAGCAGCGGTGAAATTACAAGATGGCACAAAAATCAAGCAAACTGTGGCGAGGCGATGAGTGCTCAACTGTACTTCAGTACAGAGGCAAATAAAGACATTGCCTTGAAGGGTCGGAGCGCAAAAGTTTGCACGGTCATTTTAGATGCTGAAGATAACCCTCAAAACACCGATCCGTGTTCAGACATGGCGAGTCCTAGTCAATGTTCTCGAATTTGGAGATTCTAGTGGCAGCACTAATATCTTCGCAAGACAACATGGGGATGCAACTTGTTTGTCAAGGAGCTGGGTTTGCAAGCGGTGGAAATAAACACAAAACTAGAGGCCTATGATTTGGAGGAGATTTTGGGCAAGCCGGTCATTGACCAGATCCCGTTATGCGCTTCGTCTTACAAGCCCCCGTCCAGCCGTTAGGTGGTGTGGGATCTGTTGAACTAGTATTTGGTTATATGCTAGCGACAGACATGTGACTGTATATTCATGTTAATTATATTTCATCTGTGAAGATTACCTCAAATGGAACTCCGGTTTGGACACCCAGCGCTGTGAGTTGGTGTCTCATGATAGGGTCCCATTCATAATCGTCGGTTTCGTCTCTAGCTAGTGCTAGAGAAATACCACGAAGATTCGGGGTGAAAGCTTCTCGATCCTGTAGCCATGATTTCAGCAAGTCTAAAATGGCGTGATCCTCCCACTCAAATTCAGGCCATTGTAGTTCCATCTGCTCATCATTTTGTAGACATAAGTCATAGGTAATGGTGAGATGTTCAAGATATCTTAGGAGCACATTTTGCAAACGTTTCGTTGTGTCTTGTGCAAATCCAACAAGAAATGCCCATGGTACTTGAAGCGTCCTCAGATTCTCCATATTGGCCATAGCACTCAATGAGCCCTCCGTTTTGAGCCTAGGGAGATTTATATCCTTGCCTCCCAGTTTAACATCACCTATGATTTTGAGGTCGGTTAAAGTGCCTCTAAGACAAGATATCGCATCACCGATCTGATCAAGATCCACAATTGGCAAATTGACTGCATCGCGGAGACCATAATCGTAATACCATGTCCAACGCAGTGATTTTAGATAAGGTGTAACTGAGAGTAGATCGCCGAGATAATTCTCCCGAACAGAGTGCAAAACCAGCGATTGCAGGCTTGATGGGACAGGCAATTGAGGCGCAGGCCACGTTATCGCAAGCGGGCTCTCGAGAGAGACCAAAACACGTTGGACATTTGGTAGATAAAAGAAGGGCAAGACATCGGCGGTGTTTTTGACCGTTTTATCACGCGCTCGGTCATAACCTTCTTTAAGGAGGTATGTCATATCTCGGAGATGGCGAAAGTCAGGTAGCCCGTAATCTACAGGCTCAAAGATGGCGGAACGAAGAACCATACCGATAAGTTCACTTCGCTGGGTGAAAGCAGGGCCTAGGTGCAGACAACTCAAATTCGGAAGCTGTGCTAAAAGGAGCGCGATAACAGCATACCTCTCACCTCTCCCTTCAGTCAACCACATTCACTTTACTCTACTAATATAGTGGACGAGCCAAGATATACATAAATACAATACTGATGGGACAAAATATTTTTTTAACAAACCGCCTTATCTGCCATACAAATGCTGGATTACTTTGGTCCTATGTTGAACCCTGGATGACCAAAATGTGCTGAAGTTCGGTTTACTAGAAAATTGAGTACGATTTGATTAACCACTTCTGTCCCAACGGTGATGAATCCCAAGCCTAGGACCTCGATCGCTCGGACTAGGATTCGTATTACGCCCCAACTCTAGGATATTACGAACACACGTTACCCTCAGAATACGCAACAGGACATAGCGCCGACCCTAAATGCTAACTAGCACTTGGTCCTCAGGGATAAGCTATATAAGGTAATCGAGGAGAAATTTGCGCACAAACGGACGGTTAGGTCGGATAACACATCCATTGTTGTTTCAATCAACGAACGCTAAATTAAATAATCAATATGGCTTTCGCCAAATATAGAATATGCAACGTTGGCACCGATTTATAAAGTACCGAGTTGTAGCTCCAGATGAATAATCGTAAATAACCGCAAGGTCCGCTTGTTGGCAATGATCAATAATCTTTTGGGCGCCATGCTACTTATAGTATAGTCAAACTCTCATACTAGGCCCATCGACAATGTTGACTAATCAGTATTTACTATATTAAGGTGTGTTATTGTTAGGAAAGGATCCCTCAATCTGTCGTTTTATTATCATTGCCACTTTGTGTTCAATACTGTGCCGACGCATTGTCAGTATCAACATCGCTGTCGAAGCTCACTTTTTCTTATTGAACCATAGAAGTCTCTTTGGCTCCGCACATCACAATGCCCCTCTGGCAAATCTACCATCCGACTGGCACCTTCAAAGACACTGTCTCCAAACAAGCCCTAGCTGAGGATATCACAAAGATGTACACGGGTATTGGTCTTCCGTCATTTTATGTGGTGGCTCAATTTATCCAAATGTCAGAGAGCGACGTTTGGGTCGGTGGGCAGCCAAAAATAGCGAACCCATTCATTCGCGTGGTCATCACCCAAATCGCTGTGCGCTTGCCCGATGATGATGTGGCGTACAAGAAGAATACCACTATGATCGACAACGTCCTAAAGCCTCATATTGCCGACAAGGGATACGATTGGGAGTACCATGTGGACGAGACCGAAAGAAGATTGTGGAAGATCAATGGCATGATTCCTCCACTGTGGAAGAGTGAGGAGGAAAGGCTGTGGTGCACAGAAAACAAGCCAGTGCCCTATGAAGGAGCCTACGCTCGATTTTAATGTATTGCCACGCAGTCGTTATCAATACAAGGATGAAACTTCTAGTCATCTCCGCCTTAGGCCATAAAATCACGAGTACGCTGACTACGACGAGGGTGAATCCGTCCGGAAAGCAACAACGAAAACTCTCCCATCACCATATCCAAGAGCAAGAATCATCTTTAATAGCTAAACAGCTGAATCGACGATACTCAAAAGGGAGCCGTATCAGGTTTTTGGCCCCAAAAGTCACCCACCCATCTGCTAAGCTATCTTGAGTATTGGGATTATATGGGGTTTGACCGGCAACAGACTCGACCTCACTAAAATGGCCCTCGAGGTTCTGTAACTCTTTGCCGTCTTGGCATCCCAGAGCTTGATGGTACGATCATGTCACGATTTGTGCTGTATCCGGCCAATTGGAGATGTAAATGACTCTGTATTTCCATTACCCCTATTTCTCGTCATTTATGGGTCCATTCTAGTTACATAAGCTATGCCGACGGATCATCTATAGACCCGGTTTCATGCAGTATTCGTAAGATAATTGCGACATGTCCATCTCTTCAGCTTTCTCACGATCCGTCAACCTCAGAGATAATCGAGCTGACAAGCTTCTCATCATATGTTCAACATTTTTCCGGTTCATTGATGATCTCAATTCACCGTTGACTACCGTTCACGAATGCTTGATTAAAATTGCAGGCAGGCTTCTGAGTTCAACGCATTGCATACCTCATCTCTGGACATTCTGACTTCAAAATTCTGTCTGAACTCATTTCAACCGTTGGCTCACTAATATAAATGTGGAGCCAGGGAGGACCTTCATGGCTCACATGCCGTTATTCAACGTTGAATGTCGAGTTTACCGGATATGACCTAGCTGGTCAACCATAAAGATCTTCAACATCACCGTTTGGTCATTCGCAGCTATATGTACCGGATTTTCCCTAGCGGGTGGAGTTTTTCTATTCGGGCTGCCGCTGCTTTAGTGAGGGCGCTCAGACTTAGGCTCTTAGTGTAGATATCAGCACGAGCTCAGAGTTAGTGATGAGCTCAGACCAGTTACGTATATGATAACTGATACTATATAATACTTATTGGATGCTCACTAATCACTTAGACTATCGTAGACTATCTCTTGAATAGAATAACCCTATAGGGTTGTTTATACTATGATGTTTAGTTCGTCGATAGTTGTTAGGCCCTGTTACAAGGGACTTGGGACTTAGATGGATTCGGGAAATAAATAGAGAAAGCAGTTGTATGATTTGATGCTGAACTAATTGCTGGGTTCCAGAGCACCTAGCTCCTGGATTATTAAAAAAACTACTGTTGTTACGAGCCAGTTCTTTGATAAAAATTGGATCTAGTCTCTTTGTCCAGAACAGCAGAGCGTGACGTTAATGGTTATTCGTGTAATGATTTGACTGTTTTGCCCTATTTATATTTATGCGATCATTTCAATTCGGACTATAGTGACTACAAGACTCTTGTTAGAGGTTCATGACTGGAATGCCTTCAATGTGAGCGTACTACCTTTCCCGGGGATGGAGTTGTACCTCGATTTTTGAGTCTGGATATCTGATTAACAATTTGTTGAAACCGAGCGAGGCTGCCTTGACTGGCTAGCTATCGCTTTGAAAACACTGGTGTGGTATACTACACTGGAGGTTCCTTCCACGCGTTGGAAGGTAGAGCTTTGAGGCAACCCGCAGAGTTAGATAGCCTGAGGAGAATAGACTATACAGGATTTTTCACAAAGGAGGGCAGCCTATGCAAGAACTGCTACATAGCAAGGTAAACTATGTAGACATTTCTATGTAGTCTACGTAGATACCTAATGAGTTTGATTGGTGGATACTGTGGATGAGTGAGTGAATTGGACAATATTTACGTTTAAATGTACAAAGTTGGGGATGGTCCTTTAAATTTCGAAGATGATTATTGTCTCTCTACTAGGAGATACTGCGCAAAAACAGTGACGATATTTTCAATGCATCATCAATTGTAAGTCGAAGACGAGAGGAAACGGGTAAAATAATTACGAGCGGGCACTGACACTGGAAGAGGTTTATCCCGCTAGGCAGAAAGAGTCTTCGGCTCTCTCAGCCTTCTTCCACAGAGGGTTATTGCGTTAGGGGATCGCCATTGGCCAACAGGATTTTCGGTATTGCTGCGTCAGCGCGAGAAGTAACCTGCGTGTAGAAAACACTGTCGCAGCGTGTCGCAGTACCAAAAAGGGGTCGCAGAAACGGGCCAATGGCTGGTTATCCGTAAGTTAAAGAAGTTGCGCATTGCTGACTGTATTTATCGATTAGCTCTAGTATCTCGTCTAACGTATTTTTCATATATTACCGCGAAGTACCTGCTCCACCTGGGCAATACTAAAAGTATCAGACTTTCACGCCGTGGCCCACATGCATATGGAGACGTGCAGCAAAACGAGTCTGTCTGCTCCACCAACCTAAGCGTGGCGATGCTAAACTGACGCTAAACCCGATGAAGTCGGCGCAGCGATCACTTCCAAGTATAGAATGACCAAGTCTTGGACTATATTAAGTGTTTCTCCTTCTCCATCCCACATCTTCCAAATTACGGCGCGAAAGACAAAATGCCTGTCCATATCATTGAGAACGAAAATCCCGAAATACCTGCTTGGGGAAGCATTGCATTGGAAGTCTATTTCCTCTCCGAATGGGATAAGTCTCACCCAGACCCCTCACAGTCCGAGTCCCCCGCCGACCGTCGCCAAAGGCTTCTACGCCAATTTCTCGCGTTAGGATACGAAGGCAGACTGGTGAATATATTCTATAACCCTTAAAAAAATTCACAACCCTGAACTAACCAAATATCGGACTATTAGCCTTACAAGCCAGGCAATTCACCACCCTCTCCTACTGAAGCCCAAATAGATGAGATTCTTCGGCCCATACGGCCTGAGGCACTGCGCACTTGTGCTCATAATACTGGTGCTGAAGTTGGCTGCTGGCTTCGTCTCTGCTACACCAATGACGAGGGCCATGAGGCTCTATGGTCTGCCAATGAAATTGCAGAATGGGTGACTTATGGGGGAGCAGTGCTCGACGATGAAAGTTTATTCAGTGGCCTGGATCTGGCAGCCGCCCTGGAACTATTTCCTGAGCGTGTCACAGATGAGCGTGTCAATCTTGGTCTTAGAGAGGAGAGCCTCAGGGAGGCTGTAGATGGTGCTGAAAATTACCCCTCTGAGGAGAACCCTCTTGAGAGGTATGCTTTCTATCAGGCCGATTGTGTTGTTACTCATATCTTTGTGGAGGATGAGGTGGCGGTCAACGGAGGAGGCTTGTTACATGTATTTTTAGATGATTGTGGGAATGTGGTGAGGCAGTGGCGGGTGGAGGATGATGGATCAGAGGATAATTACGATGGCGCTTGGCATGAGCGTCTTTGGAAAGAGGCCATTAGAGATGATTGTGGAGAAATTGGCCCTGCATATCATGAGGGTGGAAGCCGAGGGCCCCCTTACACTCTTTGAAGTCCTGGGGCTGTTAGGTAGTCCTTGTCGAACGCTGTGCATGGTTCACTCCCATCTGTTTAGGAGAATCGCTCCAAAATATTCCCAGTGCTATAGGAAGAAACATTGAAATTATTGAACCGGAATTGCAAGAAAGCTCAGATGAAAAAGTACACTTGTATTCAAGCCAGTATGCCTAGCCTGTAGACACAAAACGTTTAATTTGAATCCGCTACATACCCAAGCTTTGTGTCTCCGGGGTTCAACGTGTCCTCCCAATCCACGTCGTCCGGCAGAGGCCACCAGACATTCTCATCCGGGTGCAGCTCAATACCTACAAAAAAAAAGATACGGTTAGCCGGATCCAAAATCAGAAGGCTCGGGGACTTACTTTCGATGTCCCATTCATTATTCTCTCCCGTCAACTCATTTTGGTCACGTTTGCTGTATGACGCAGGAGCCGTTTGGTCACTAAAGGTACTCCCAATGTAGTTGACCTTGCACATAGTGTATCCTGGGGCCTCTCCAAAGCCTTCAAACAAAAACGAGTCAGCTCTCCTCATGTTTCGTGTCGATAAGACTGCAGAGTCGTGGCCTTACCAGCTTCTTTCTTCATTCCGTTCGTTCCCTTGCGCGTATCCAAACAAAATCCGTTGCCACTTCCATATCGATAGACATCTGGTTGATTGAATAGATTCACCGCGCAAAAGACGTGGGTGGGGTCTGTATCTGAGCTGGCGCCTTTTATCTGGGAACTACTTAACGCCATCTTGCCCCATTGATCGGGCGTATCTGAAAGACTCGTCGCGTACGCAAGGGCCATGGTAAAGTTGCGTTTAAAGTTGTACCCGAGTGTTCGGCCGGAGTTCTCCCATTCCTAGAAGGTTGTCAATAAATAAAATAATAAACATTGGCATTGAATAATGCATTGAACTCACAGTTCTATCAATGCCATGGGCGAGAGGGACGGGCTCGGGATATCGCGTCAGACGTCCAAAGACTGGCGGGTTTGTATCACTCTCACTTCCACCCGGGGTCCATCTCTCGTCATTTTTAGTCTTGGACCACCATTTCCAGTCCTCCTTATCCGAATCGGCATCACGGTCGAAGTATGCCACGTTAGTGTACAAAGAACTCAGAAGTTCTGATGTTGTCAGTCTATTCATTCAGTCAGAACACATGCAGATAGAAAGACTTACTGTTGCAGTTTCCTTGCAACGACTGTTGCCACTGAGGCACGCAATTAGCAGTCGGGGGGACTCGATGTGGCTTATATTTGGCACCCCAGTCTCCGCCCTCTTCAGTCCCACCAAAAGGAAACTCATCGCAGCTGATCGTCATTTTCTTCTCAGGAAGACCAGCAGCTTCATTGAGAGCCTTCTTCTGACTGGTGCAGTATGAGTTCCTTTTATTTTCGTCATCGTAGTCTGTCCAGCTGTTGCATGTGTACGCGTCTCTTGCGTCACGACGGTTAGGATCCCAAGTGAGTGTGACGCCGTCGCTGCTGGCGCCATCTGAAGCAAACCATCCGAAGATACCGTCACATATACCTCTGACTGATTTAGACGGGCCGTTTTGAGCAACAACCTGATTGGTGGAAAAGGTTCGGCAGTTATCTATGAAAGTCAGTAAACCCTTCACACGGAATAGGAGTATCGGTACATACAGCGCAATTCTGGGAGGGTCGGTTGCTTGTTCCCATTTTTAGGGCAATCAAAGTTCTGGGAGCCGGTAAACTGGGAGCTATCCGCCGTGTCTGGCTGTTCACCGTCGTCATCACCGTCCGCTCTTTTGAATATCACCGAGCCGACATTGGGAATAGGTGATGTAGCATTGGACTTATCATGATAAGAGTGATGTGCTTTGTGATGAAGGTGCATATGAGTCCTGCGGCGGTGAACATGGCTAGCAGGTGGAACATATGGCTCCAGGCCATCATCATTCCAAATTGCGTCCTCATCGTCATCATCATGGAACAATCCCTTCTCATCACCGTCTGGCAGTATCTTGATATCTCTCTTTGAATTGAGCGTCGCGTCCGATTCGACGTTGCTGTTCTCGTAGATCGTGTATTTCTGACCTGGGAGGCTGTAGAGGTAGACCGGTGTATAGTGCCAATTCCAAGTATCACCGAGAATGTTGGCGAATCCTCCATAGCCTAGATTATAGTAGAGATAGGCACCGTATTTGTAACTGTACGTGGGGCTAGAGTCGGTCCCAGCCGACCCAGTCACAGTGGCGGAGAAATCAAGGGTGCTGTTCATGAAAGCAATGATCTGCGCATTTACCAGGCTTCCCTTGCCCAGAACGGACGGACCCACCTCGATACCAATGCGAGCATTGGGGGAAACATCAATGGCAAGGTTTGCGGATGCTTGTGCGGATGCAAAGAATTGTGGCTCTAGGCCAGTCTTCGGTCGCTCTTGCTGAGATTTGATGTCGTCGATCTTGTCGTAGTCTGTATCACCTTTGGTGCCCTCTTCATCCTGTGGGAAGTAGAGCTCTGCACGGCCAAAGTGTACTCGGGCACCAGCCTTGGCCTGACCACTCAGAGTAACACTACCGCGAATCTTGAAAATTTTGATGCGTTAGTATAGCTCTTTTACAGAATGTGCCATGTTTGAGGACACTTACTCGGCCATATATATCCAAGCTAGGTCCAACAGTCGCTATACCCTTGATGCTCAATCCAGGGTAAGCAAGAGTGTCAATGAGTTTCTTCCACTCTGATGTATAGGTCATGATCGCGTTTCCTTCAAGACGCAGTCCAAGGTATGCGCTTGGCTCCACCCCCAGATACCCGTAAGTGTCATGCACCTTCAATGGCACGATGGTTCCAGAGAGATAGTATGCATAGGTCGCATCCATCTGAACATCGGCATCGAGGTACATTCTCATCTCTGCATAGAAGGTTCGACGAGCGCATCTGTACATTATGGTCAGTAATGAAAATCCGAGCACCATGGCTAGTCACTGAGGATAGCTCACCCTTTAACAGCTCGATACAGAAGGAAACTCTTCTGGAATGCCATGTTGAGAAAACCATCATTTCCAGCTTCAACTGTGTTCATCTTCTTCAGCCAGTCCCCGAATTTACCAAACCAACGCTTGACTAGGCCACTTTCAGATGTTTCTGTCATGTCAGTACTGCCGGACCCAAGCTTAACCGACGGGTTCTTAGAGGCAGTTCTCTTTTTCACATCCTGAATGAGGGACTTCCAATCATCTTTGGTAATCTTCTCGTGAAGGGATCTCTTCGATGGCTTTGAGTCTGTTACTTCATCCCAGTATGGAAGAAGATTAGTGTAATCAATGCGCATGTTAATCGGTCCATCGTCTCGCTTGATGAGATGGAAGTTGTAGTCGATCTTGAGCTCATAAACGTCATTTTCGTTGTTCTCCAACGAACGAGACCTGATGTGGTGATGAGGAAGCTCATAGGTGTGGGAAGCGGGTGTCATGGAGACAACGCGGGCGAATGGACCTTCTCCGACATGATCTGGCAGCTTGATGATCGTGTCTTCAGCACCTTTGCGGAAAATCTTTTCACACTGGGGAGATCCCTTAGGGTGGTTGCAGTACACAAACACAGTCTCCTCCGCGTGATCAAAGGTTGAGTCCAGGATAGTGGTGTTGGTAGTGATCATGGAGCGTCTTCGATTGGGCATTTTACTGCTGCGACGGGCGACAGTATATGAATCCCCGAAGGCACTATCGATGGATTCTGGGGGGCCATCCAACATTAGGAAGCCATATGCATGATCTGTTTCGTACGTTTAGTCAATCTATGCAGATATCAAACGGGGAATTATCTTACCTGCAGGATCCTCTTCGATCGGATCATCGCTCGCTTCCTTATTGTTGTTTTCCTCGTTGTCGGCAAAAGCCCAAGCAACATCATCCCCATCATCCTCGTAGGCGCTTTCCCAAAGCCATGAAGGTGGGACGGGCCAATCTTCATTATACTGAGAGGGTGGATCACAGCAGAGGTAGAAGGCAGGATCAAACTCGGGCAAAATCGGATGCGTGGTGCATTGGTCCCCAACAGTACAATCACCCAGACAATACTTATTGACATAAAGGCTAATCTGAGGCTCATATGCCTCAGCAATCTGAGTCTTGGTCTTCGGACATTGACGTGGCAGACAGGCCCTATCATCCAGCTCACTGACAGCGTCCTGGGTCGTCCACTTGCAGTTTTCAAACTTTTTAGACTTCGGACAACAAAGGCCTCGCTTAAATCGGTCATGTAAGTCACTGTTGAACTCACGCGAGCACCAACCACCACTATCCGTGTCATATCGAGAGGCCACGCTCTCATAGCCATCAGCACAACCCTCAGATTCAAGTTCACCGATTTCTTGATATGGCATTAGGGGGCCTTGACAACTACTCCAGACACATTGATCGAGAAGCTCGATCGAGTCACAGCATAAAGATCGCTGGCCTTGGAAACACTGGCCTTCTCCCATGGCATCGGTGAAGGTGTCCGTCGCCAACTCAAATTGAGTATCGCCGCATTGACCTGAACAGCCTATTTCACTGCGAATCGGTTCACCCTAGAGATTGTCAATAACTGTCTCGCAGAATTGTGATTTGAACCGGTTGGAGTGTTATTTCAGACAACCGGGTGAAGCAAACTTACATTCCATTGGCAGTTGCTGGGCATTTGCTTATTGGGACAGCAGACATGTCGGTACCATCCTTCAGAGCATTGACCAGTCAAGCCATGTTCACTAGCCTTCTGTAAAGGTGCATGTGCCGTGGACACAGACGATGTACCGGATGGACATTTTTGCAACGGGCCGCTCTCCTTGGCGCTACCGTCGGTGCAAAGCTCTGTGACAAAGCAGTTCTGGCCGTTATAGGATGAAAACTCGTTCGAAAGTTTCTCTTTCTGATCATCACTCAGCTCTCCGCCTCTTGTCAGAGCACCATCCCTTGCTGCGTCTCCGAAAAGAGCATTTATTGCATCGTAGTCCTGTGTGTCTTGGTCAATAGCCCAAATCATGAGCCCCGAAAGACATTGAGAAGTAAGGAACCTCTTCTTGTCCGTGAACGACTGTTCATCATCGTAGGAAATCCACTGGTCATGGGAATAGGTCATGTACTTTGTCGTTGACTCCTTGTCATAGTACATGTCTGTGTTCAGAGAGTCGTTTCTTGATCGAATCTCAGCGTAGGTCAGAATACCTGCTGTATCTGAGCAATCTCCAGGCAGACCAGCCGTGGAAAATTGACAGCCCTTATTTGGGTCATGACATTTACTATCTGACATGGTAAAAGAACGACCGTAGAAGCCGAAGCCCATGACCACATTCTCGGGCTTCACATTATTGCGCCAGAGAAGATCGAGTCCCTGTTTGGCCTCAGTCAGGTTGGTATGGCCTTTCAGGTAGGGACCAGTCCAATCATTATGTTTGTCCCATAGACCGTGGAAGTCATAAGACATAAGGTTGAAGTAGGTAATATGTTTTTGAAGCTCCTCGAGTTGAAAGCCTCTTAGGTACCAGTAAGAGGCCGGTAACGTGAGGGATATCTCCCAACCAGGATTCTCTTGGTCAAAGCGTTCCCGAAGTCTAGCGACAAAAGTCACATAATGATCGTAATCCTCTTCAGCACCTCCGCGGTCATCCGCAACAGGATATTCCCAATCCAGATCGACCTATCAACGGGGTTAACTTGTGTTAGGAGGAGAAATCGTCGGAAATAACTTACTCCATCAATGCCATACTTTTTTAAGTAGGCCACCAAAGAGTCTAGGAAAATCTCGGTGTTTTCATAGTCCGCAACAAGATCAGACCAAATGGTGGCCGTAGAACCGTCATTGAAGTCCCAGCCACCAATGGCTATGTTGATGCGAAGTCCTTCGAATCGATCCTTCAAGTGCGCAGCGCGAGTCACAAGATCACCATCATCCTCCGAGATCTCGAACTTGCCACTGATGACAGCAAAAGCCAAGTTCAAGTGAGTCAATCCTCCAGCAGGGATATGCTCTGGGATGTATTTGTCACATTTTCTGTTAGCCATGTTGAAGAGTTCGTAATATGCCACTCGGCGGTCAAGCTTCATGACATCCGTGTGGGAATCACAGCTCGGTTCCCTAATAAATTAGCAGCCACCTCTATATAATGGAAATGAATAGCAGTGCACATACTCTATTTCTTTACAGCCAGACTGACAACCCTCTCCGCAAAACTCTGACGTAGTACCACAGAATCCGGCCGGACTAGCAATGAGATTAACAATCTGTCTGGTAATTTACTGAGATACTGAGTGGCATACCTGCAGCAAACTCCTAGCGGACACCCGACCTTTCCTATTGAGTACTTGCCACATTCTGCGGTGGCGTTGCAGTTACTCATACATCCCTCTTGTCATTGTCAATACCACGTCAATTGCGCAAGTGAGAAAGATAATAAGAAGTGACATACCACCACAGTGCTCTGGTGTAAATCCACAGGAGCCTTCGGAGCTGCAGCAGCCATTCTTGCACGGCACAAGAGCTGAACAGACAGAACTATCCTGAGCCAGTACCGTGATAGCCCCTGCTATCAGCAGAACCAAAAGCCACCAACGCATAGCGACAAGAGACTGGGTATTTTTCACAACCTAGGCAGTCTGAATGTTGAGCCTAGGGAAATTTGTACATGAGAGACACCCGAGAGCGCTGGCAAGGGCACGACCCTTTTGTAGTATTTGGATCACCTAGTTAGTGTCATGCTATAGTATAGTGGGTAATACTCAGGTATCCAAATTTAAAACAGTAAAGTTCACCTGGGCAAATCTAGCTTTTGGCCCCATTCAAACATTCATAAATACTAAGAATCTCTATCACTAACGGAGAGCATTGAAGATACTATCTCCTTGTAGCTAGTTAGAACGAATAGCCATCTGGTAAATGTAGCTATCAGATTCACCTCAATACTATTCATGGTTATACATTTTCTTTGTAGGACAACATGAGCCCTTGGTAATAGTATTCAAAATTGATGCACACACTTATGTATGGCTGATTACACACTAGATTATTCTTATCTATGGGTCTGCCCACCTTCACTTGTAGCCGATTACCACCGGCATCCTGGACAATATTCACATTCCGATCCGGTGCTTCGATAGGTGTTTTCTCCCGTAGCCTCCACCATTCATTCCCTTGGCTCCATCTGAAATGGAGATGGTTTTCAAAAACCCTATTTATTCCACTACTGCAGGGGAAATGAAGGAGGCGTACATTAGTAGATGTGGGCACACGGATGAGGCTCGGCAATGTCCGAAATGCGAAATTTTGTTTGTATAAAATATAAACGATGTGAATGGCCGATGCCTTTCCATTGCCCAGCCCATTCTACTCCTTATTGGCTCCGGTGCATCCGAGTCTAGTTTTTCATTGAGCTGAAAGCCCTCGCTTCGCTACAAGTCCGCGGACTGACCTCCTCTTAGCATTTTCTCCACTGTCAGGTTTCACATTGTCCACCTCTTAGTTAATCGGGTAGTGGCCCCACCTTCAAGTGTTGGTTCAAATTTTGGCCCCGGGGGCCGTAGTATTTAACATTAGAGGGTTTCTGGAAGATATGTACGGAGTACATAGCCAACAAAGTTCTATGTTGTAGAGCTAGTTTATTAGCGTGATCCACATCTATGCTTTACAGACCAAAACCATCCAACATGTCGATATCGCTCGCGCAATAATTCTCTTTCGGACTTATCTAATTGTGGATACGGAGGTATTTAGTTCGTGTACCGATTGACTTGCACTTGGGATTTCCGGTATGTTGACATGGTAAAGGATGTCTTCCGGTATGTAATGTGTAATTGTGCCTTGAATTTATGGCTCATGGTGCCGTTTTGTAGATAATTCGAAGGATATTGTATATGCAACTAGGAGAGCCGGATGAATAAGTCTCCAAAAGATAATAATAGTAGTATGACCACGAGTAAGAGCACAATATCCAGATCGAAAGCCTACTGCTTGGAAAGCTTGGGATGGATAGACTTGATATAACAGCTATCTTGATACTAGCGATCAGCAATATAAGACAAGTATTCTAAATAATATGCTCTAGCGATGTCCATGCCTACGGCCTAGATCCTAGGCGACAAAGTCCGGATTCCATATAGCAGAAAAGGCAATCAAGAACAATACGTTACTGGCGGTCTTTACAGAGTACTCCGGGCGCTCCGGATTGATGTTTTCTAAACAATAGCCATGCCGGTAAATTGAACAATCCAAATCCCCTCGCACGATTATGCCGGAAACCACCTACGGAGTACGAAATGCAATGTCTCAGAACAAGACCTTTTTCGGCTGATAGGCGTCCAAGACGGAAGCCCCATCAAGCCAATCGAATTAGAACTAAGCGATGGTGGGTACTTCAAAAGATCCACCCAGAACTGCCAAGACGAACGGAGCGTTTTAAGGCTGCCGATCGCTGAGGGCTCGTATATGCAAGCACCAGGCCCCCGGCGTGTGGAGTCACAACATGCTGTCTTGGCGCCTTGGATAGTGTCTTGGCATCAGAAATATCGTCTTAAGTGCCCCTCACGGCCGCCAAGGTTCCAAAAAGGGTCCAAAAAGGGTCCAAATCTGTGTTTGAAAGATGAGACAAATCCACTTTGCGGATCCCACAATGTTACCTAGGTCGATATAGCTGAGACATTTTTTATTTGCTGAGATCGAGGCAAAATGTCGCCTCAAGTCCATGGGTCTAAAGATTCCATTTTTCGAAATTAGTACGTTTGGCATTTTGGCCCCTTCGCACATGGTGGATGCTTACTCTGTATAAACTTTACGATAAATACAACAAAGTATTCGGATGGAGCATTGTCCGGTCACTAGCTAGGAACAATCACAATGTGAATTTGACCTTATTAACTGGGTTTCTTCGCTGATTTGCCCTCCAGAGCAGAGAAAGGCCTTATTTTTTTTCATAATTCAGGGGCAGTTTTTGCGCTCGAGTTTCTCAACATGAAACTCCCTATCAGCCTTCCTTCTTTGGTCCTCTTGGTGAGCCTAGCAACTGCACCTGTATACTCTGTACAGCTTTGGAATTCGTCCAGTGCCCTCCCCGATAGCATTCCTCTGGAATGTCGGAACGCATTGAGCACAAACATTACCTGTCCTCAGCTAGTGTCCCCCAATAAGGTCACACAGCAGGTGCTTTACAGTCCGGCGGACCTTACCAAGCTGTGCGCGACGACATGTTCAGATTCATTGAATGATTTTCAACGGAATGTTCATGATAGCTGTGGGAACACTACACTAAGTTATGGAAGTACGAATACGACGGGTACTCAGCTGGTAGACCCTCTAGTTTGGGCGCATAATGTTACTTGCCTTCAGAATTCGTAAGTATGAGTCTTCCTTGGGAGATAGGAGATATGAGCTAACACTTGAAAAGAAAGGGATTTTGCAATCCTCAGATGTTCAATTCATCGTCCAGCCTCGACGCATGCTCTGATTGTGTCCTCTCATACGTTTCTCACATGCTTGAATCCGACTACGGCCGTGTCAGATTTCGTGACAAGAGCTTCTCGAGTCAGCTTTCGTCGTGTGGTGTGCCTGCCACCAAGTATCCATATACGACCCCTACCTCGGCTCCTATTTCATCGAGCACAGTCTCTACTTCAGTGTAAGACCCTTCTTGGAATCTTCCCCTTCGTCTTCGTTTGCTAATCTCTCAAAGCTCACCAACGACTACGGGCCAAGTCTGCAATGGTGATAGCTTCACTGTTAGCAAAGATGACACTTGCAAGTCGATTGCTGAGGCCAATTCAATCCCGTACGGCACTTTCCTCGCCGATAATGGGATTGACCAAAACTGCACAACCTTGAAGACCGGATCAGAGGTGTGTCTGTCACCAGCTTGCACTCTTTACACGGTGAAAGAAGGAGATACCTGCAAGAGCATCCTTCAAGGGAAGGGTTTCTATAAAAACCAGCTGTTGTCTTGGAACCCGTAAGGAAATCTTACTCTTCATGAATACTGCGCTATTGTACTGATGACTCCAGGACACTTCGCACAAACTGCGATAACCTCAAGACTATGGTTGACCAGGGTATCTGCATTTCGTAAGTAGACAGCACGAAACGCAATGCGATGGCTTAAGCTAATCAGGAATAGCCCACCAGGAAGCTCGGAATGGGACGTTGTGACGACCAACCGAACCTCCACCATGTTAGTAATTACATGAAAATTTCAAATTCCAAACTAATATCTCTCAGGACATTCACTATGTTCACCGGTGACTGGGAAACTGGCCCACCGCCAACTCCGGTGACGGAGTCCCCAACATACACTGCTCTTCCGACCAATTTTACTTCTATCACAAGTACAGTCACAATCAACCAAACAGCACAAAGCATAATTGGCGAGTACTCCAAGTACTGCCCCATTTCAGATGAAGACTACGAGGACGGCTTCCAGTGGGAAGACCTTTCGGACAGCTGCCAGGATCTGCTTGATCCATACTGTAATCCGGATATCGACTCTGCCTCGCCTAAATCAACAAATTTCCCAGGCTCTTGTACACCAACCCCAGTCTCTGCCACTACGACTGGAACCTCAACACCAACCCCATCGCCAACACTTCCTGGTACAGCCTCTAAGTGTAGTCAATTCTACTACGTCGTCACGAACGACACCTGTCCTGCGATAGTCGAGGAGTATGGCATTACGCTGAAAGATGTAAGATACACCTCACATGCTTCCCTTACCTCATTGTTTCCTGCTGATTCTGATTCTTTCTTAGTTCTATTCCTGGAACCCTGGCGTCGGATCCGACTGCCGGACTCTAAAAACAGAATACTATGTTTGCGTTGCTGTTTCCGGTGGCTCGAACACGACCACTACAAGTCGTTCCTCGACAACTACTACAACTGGTAGTGCAAACCCGTCACCAACTCAGAATGGTGTTGCATCCAACTGCGATGAGTGGCATTATGTCAAAGATGGCGACGGATGTTTCGACCTGTCAAAGACGTATGATATCACACTTGACGACGTAAGCCACACCCCTTGCATCCTGAAAAGATTTCCGAATATTCTCTAACCATTTCACAGTTCTATTCCTGGAATCCTGCCGTTGGCGATGGTTGTAAAAATCTCAACACAGAATATTATGTCTGTGTGGGCGTAAACGGTGGCACGGCTCCATCTACGACTACTCAAAAGCCTACGTCTACCGGGGATGGCACCACCACCAATCCCACTGAGACTCTGCCAGGAACCATTGATACGTGTAAGAAGTATTACAAGGTTGCGAATGGTGATGGGTGCTATGACATCGCCGCAGCCCATGATATAACTCTGAACAATGTATGTCGTCAATCCCATGCTCCAAGTACTTCGGCAATTTGCTAACTCTGTGGAATTACAGTTCTATTCCTGGAATCCGAGTGTCAAAGATGATTGCAGTGGGCTCAAGTTCGATAGTTACGTCTGTGTGGGAATCTAGATAGTCTGTGGATAGTGGCCTGCTCAAGTGTATTTTCGATCGTTTTGATCGCACAAATTGATAGTTCCAGGGGTTTATAGGTATTTCTCATCCCCTTCGATTTCTAGCATAAAAAAGAGGTGAAAAAGTCCACCGTAGACGTATGAAAGATCAATCTCAGACTCTTCTTGTTGTTGATTACAGCATTGTCATGTGAGGTGCCTTTGAAGTCGTGGAAAGCTGCGAGCAATTTCAAGTCCCTTGGATCGAACTCACACGCTTGGAAGCTTGCATTGCTGGTACCCGGTTCTATGATCAATTGCGAACAGTTCAGATCTGACGTGTGTCTTTCGGAGATAACTTCTTCGTCATAATCATTAGTCAATCTCGTATGGTCAATGTACTTGTACGTGGGAAATGTCCGAACGTACAGACGACCATTCATCGAAGACACTAAGCTAGAGAGAAGAAGAGGAAGAGAACAGGAGAGATCTATCTACCTCCTCCGTCCAATCATGTCGGCCCCGGGGTCTCACCGCCTTCCCTATCCAGCTATCTAGCAAACTTCCCCAAGTGGTCCAAGTCATGCGTCACATATCATAGGTTTGTACACAGTGTTACTTTTCTTTGCCACTGCTATACCTAAGTGATACTGTACTGTAAGGCTGTCTCTACGACTTTGCGAACACGCGAAGTCCTATGTAATCCCCGTCCTGTGTAATGCTCACTTACATCTATGATGTGCTCATGAATTAATAGTTCGAATGATGTTACGATGATCTTAAAATGACAAATGTCTGTCAGAGAAAAGCGTTCCTTGGGTTTCCGGACCTTGGTAAAGCGATTGATGGTGAACTAAAAGTCATGATTATATCTTCATCCTATGACGAGACATTGACCCATTATTGGCTTTATGACCTTGCGATGATTTAAAATTTCATTGATGTGCCTCATAGAGTTGCTAATATAAGTGTAGAGCGTTGCTAGGATTAAAATTGAAATATTTCTCAGAATTAATATATCAAGTGCCGATTGATACTTTCGGTATTCCCCCTGTTGTTTCTTGATATTGGTTTCAATATGTCAGCCGGACAAAGACAGACCGAGCCACTGCGTCGAATCATAACAACACATGATCCCATAAGCGGCCGAGCTACCTTTTGCAACACGGTTGGGGAGCAGGTATCGTTTACTGGGTTCCCTGTTCCCCCCGGCAAGCCCACAACATCAAACTATGCTCTTGCCTATAGCACAACTACATTTCCTGTGCAAGGGCTTTCCCCTCCAAGTTCTGCAATCCCGATGTCCAAAGCCAATCTCGATGTTAAGCACTATCACTCTCGGCTCTCGGATCCGTCACCTTTGAATCCGTCAACTGGCACCAGCTGCACAATCATTGAGGTACCTCCGGGCTCGGCGGTCCCGATGCACCGAACAGTGACCCTCGACTATGGCGTCGTAGTTGATGGCACTACAGAATTGGTCCTTGATTCCGGTGAAAAGAAATCAATGACAAAGGGTGACGTATTTGTTCAACGAGGCACAGCTCACGCTTGGCGGAATATGACTGAAAAGCATGACAACTCTGGTATTTTACGTGTCTTTTTCGTGTTTCAACCTATCGAACAGGTGCGGTTAGAAGGCGGAAAGGTAGTCGATCAGGACTTGAATTTGTCTCTGCGTGAGGCTTAAAAATACGTGGCAGGCGTCTAACGCTTGAACTGCCGAACAAAAGCTAGCCATTTTTACTATGTTGGTTCATGACAAATATTCTTCCTCAGATTTTAAAATACGAAACCTGGAGTCATATACAAGTACATCTATATCATCGCATTAATATACGGCAAGCAACGCATTTTTCTCTTAGTACATTAGTATAGTATAGGAAGGTTCATTTTATTTTAGGATCTGTAGGGTGTCCTTGCCTTGAGGTTTTGTTTTAGAAGTGAGAAACAAGAAGAGAGATATGTATAGATAATGAATCTTTTCTGTCTGGAGATCTAGATGTCTGTGGGGTACGAAGTCTTTTGAAGCTAGTCGTCTGTCGCCATGGATCCCACCTCGGTGAGCGGAAAAAGTGATATTTTTTGCTGAGTCGATATCCTCGAATAGGAAGAAACAGAGTTGCGAAGTTATATGGCACGCTCCTTCGATTCCAGGTGAGTATTTCAAAGATATCACCATTTTTCACTGCCGTATGACCTCGACAGTGATATTCTTTTCACAATTTTATTGTTTGAGCCCCGGCTTTAGAATGACACTTCAGATATGAAACCAGGTGAAACATTCGAACTTGCTAGGAAACTTTTAGCCATCAGTCAAGTTCAGAGCTCTGTTAACGCAGGAGATCCTGGCGTTGGAGGCGCCGAAAACTTTGTCTGGATGAAAACCTTCTGTATACCCGGTTCACGCTTATTGAATAAATGATAGACCGTCGCCATGTCCTCGAGCTTGAACCGGTGGGTAACCATGTGCAGTGGGTGGATCTGCTCCTGCTGAATATACTTCAGGAGGTCATCCCAATATTTTTGCACAGGAGATTGTCCATTGCCAGCGAGATGGATTCCGGTCTCCATTAAGGAACCGATATTGAAGTGATTGCACTGCATCGCCACATCAGTGAGGTCGTTTTACCATGGGAAAGGGCAGCACACACATAACCGGCATATACGCCCGTAACACCACAACGCCCGAACCCACGGACAGAGACAATCATCTCGTTGATGAGTTCAGATGTGTCCGTCTCCATGCCCAGTAATCTTTCAAAGTAATGAGCCCATCCTTTCGTATACTCGCCTGCGGCACACTCAATTGCCACATCAGGTCCGCGGCCGTTGCACATTTTCTTCAGAGTTGAGGCAACAGTCTCGCCCTTTAGGAGGTTCGTATAATCAATCGTCTCAAGTCTGGGTAGAATCTTCTTGACAAATTCTAGTCGCCATTTTCCGTCGCTGCCGTCAATAAGGATGACCCTGTGAGCATTATTGAAGAAGCTGAATTCAGCTGCCATTTGTCCGATTGGGCCAGCTCCCCAGATTGCCACAGTGTCACCCTCCTCAACCCCGGTGTCAACAACGGCGTTCCAAGATGTTCCCAGCACATCAGAAAGGTAAAGGCCTTTTTCGTCGGGGACGTCGTCAGGCAGGTGAAGCAGGTTTACGTCCCCGTATGCGACGCGAACGTATTCCGCTTGCCCGCCGGCAAAACCCCCCGTGAAGTGAGAGTATCCAAACATGCCTAAGACGGGCCTTAGTATAACAGCCCCACCAACATCAACATAGCTGTTTAGAGAAGGAAACATACCGGCTGTGCGACGCCCATATAGCTTAGAGGCTTCGTCGTTCGAGTTCGTTCGCTCACACATTGAGGTCAACTTCTTTTTGCAATAATAACACTCCCCACAGGCAATTTGGAAGGACGCCACAACGCGGTCACCTACTTTAACCCTCTTGACTGCCGGCCCCACGCTTGCGATAAGACCGCAGAACTCGTGGCCGAGAATGTCACCTTTCTGGAGATCTGGGATGGCCTCTACAAATCGGTAACAGACATCGCATCAGCAGATCCACTAACACTTCATTAACTGTTACAAAGTCACGACATACCGTGGAATAGGTGCAAGTCACTCCCACAAATGGTGCTGCCCGTCACCTTTAGTATGACATCGCCTTCATCAATGATCTTCGGGCGAGCCGTCTCCACTATAACAAACTGTATAAGCAGGAAAATCGAATTATTTTTTGAGATGGTCAAAGTGAAGTGAAGGTCCTGATACGCAGAATGACTGACCAACTTTAACCGTATTCTTCCCTTGCCAGGTCAAGGCTTTCATCGTATGGCTTAGGTCGCCTTGTCCCAGAACCTCATAGTTGCTGACGTCTGTGGTGATCGAGGCAGACATAGTTTATTTCCACCGAGAGTTTCTGGTCGAGTTGATTTCTTAAAGTAGTGGTTTATCTTCGTTTTGATAATTGATTTTCGGCCGGACGCCTTCATGCAGAAAGCGCATAGAGGAAGGATATTTATCTCAGCCCGGACAGTGAGGCGTTTCGAAATTCCTGACATCATTCTTATGTCTCCGTGCACATCACCATGATCTGTCTGGGCCAAAAGAGGTGAGACGAGATTGTAAATCTCATCTTGGCGTCATAAACCGTTGACCATTTAGATGCAAGTCGGATGCTTCGCCTTTATGTGATTCGAGACTACTGCCATATTTTAGACTCATCGGTGGAACTAGACCTCTGAAGGGCCCATGGGACGAAAACAGCTCTTGTCAATCTAGTGGGATCACTTCCGATTGATCATTGTGCATACATAAGCGTGTATTGTACTGCACCTGACCCTCCGCTGTTGGCGCAGTTTTGACCCGAAGAGGGGACCGCTCGGTGGCCATGTGCCGACGTCGGCATGGTCACGCCAAAGGAGAATGATTGGTTGCTAGCTCGTGCTATTGGCTCAGATCATGGACCTCACCCCGACGGATATCCCCAGAAAAGTGGCTTGGCAAGGTTCGTTTTGAGGTGATGTTGGTGGAACTTGGTCGATTGCTCACCAGTGGCAATTAACGCGGCCTCCCTACGTTGGCACAGACCATAAGGGTACTTGACCGCTCGCCGGATATTCGTCGCTGGGAGAACGACATAACTTGTCGACACTTCAGGACGTTATGGTTCCGGTTCTTGAGCGTCCTTGATAGCACATCAGTTTGATACATGCTGGAATTTCCTTCTCATTGTGTCCAAGCCCTCATACCACGGCAGATACCCGTTAGACAATGTTCGAGGATAAGGAAAGTGGTCATATCACTTACAAGTCTCTCAGTGCCCTACATATAGGAAGTTGGGCATGGGCCTTATCCGCCGGGGCAGATAGTGTCGGTCTTTTTGGGTTCATGTTGGGGATTCCTTGTGACCAATATGTTGTTTTATGTACCACTATCAGTACTTTCTTTTCTCGTATCGTATTGTACGCTGCTTTCAATATCAACGCAGCTACGATCCATTGATTTAATAGAACAGTTCGCTCCTCTCTTGTAACCCCTTTCACTCCGTTCCTTCGTTTCAGGGCATGAAAAAGAAAAGGCAGATACAAGAAGTCAAAGTCATAAATCGTGTCGTCGAACGCGGTCAAATTTATCTCACCGTTAGTTTGATAAAGGAAAGTTAGTGGAAGATTTAAGGTTTTTGTGAGCCATCCTTTATGACAGAAGACGTGGAGAAGAATAATTCGTTATATACAGTAATGTTCGGAATCAACTTTACCTCCACGCTCTCTTTCACTGGTCCATATTAGGATGCAGATCCGCCTACTTCGCATCTGCAAATCTTGGAATATATCTTTACGAGGCGTAGTAAATTACGTTAATTACAGCATCAATAGAAACTACTACACACACGCTGATGATCTGGATAAGGTCTATCTCTCGCCTCTACATATAATGACATGCTTAGAGACCGGTGACACCCACCTTGAGATAGTTGACATCCCCATCAATACGCTCTCTAATCTTGCCCGAAGATATCTCATCGACATCCCATGCCGCCCAAGTGAAGCGTCCATGCAGAAATTGCGCCTCGTCCGATGCGGCCCAGACGGCATAGTGACCAGGAAGGTCCTCTGCAATAGAATACCATTAGCAAAGTGACCCTCAATCTTATGATAACTTTCACCGGCAGAAGTTTAATGATATTCCATGTAAAAGTTTCATGCGATGCACTTACCGTTATCCCAGTTGAGTGTGGTGCGCGTGTACCCGGCCTTCTGCGCCGCCCCTGTAAAGATCGATCCTGGGTAGAAACTTATGATTTGTAGGTCGTCTGGCGATACAGATTTGGCGATCTGCTGGACCAAGATTGTTCCTGCACTCTTGGATGCTGAGTAATTTGGGAATGTAGCTGCAACCTCGAAGTCGTGAATGGCTTTAGTCGATATGTTCACCAAAGACTTGGTCGAAGAGAAGTCGATTAGTCATTGTTACTTTTCATACTATACGAAAGATAGCGCTGTCTTGGTGAAATACATACCAGCTTCTTGCTTGTATCTCTCTTGCTCTGGTGATAGAAGAGATGGACAAACGCTGCGATTGAATTGGCGTTTGTAGCAAGGTCGGCCACTACCTCCTTGTACCCTATCTCGAGGATGGTGCCGGCGGGCTGCACGCGAGCCACATTTAGGACGAGGACGTCAACGACTAATCCCTCGGTATAAAACTGCTCCCAGAGGTCCTCGACGCTGGTAGTATTTGAGGCGTCGTTCAGACGGGCGATGAAGGTAGTCTGGGGTGACTCTTTGCTTAGGGTGGCGACGGCAGTATCAAGGGGGCCCTGGTGACGACCGGTTAGGATGACCTTTGCGGCACTTGCTTTGCCAAAGGCTCGTGCAATAGCGAAACCAATACCACCAGAGCTTCCAGTTACGAGAACGACCTTGCCTTTCTGTGAGAGCTGCGGGCGGGAAGGGGAGATGGCCGCGTAAGGCTCACGGTGGACGACCGTAGTGAAGTTGTCGGCGATACCGGGCATTATAGCGGTAGCAGATTCAATATCGAAAGGTTTGATAACCAAGAAAGCGAATATGGGGACAATAGGACTTTCTGCTTCCCGGAATTAAAGACTTTTATATCTATTACTTTCGGGACTGTAGTACTATTTCCAAGGCTTACAAACCCTCATAACGTGATTCTAAACGTCATACTTTAGGTGGGCCTGCGGATGATTAACACCTCTATCCTGCAACTTGCGTGTACTTTGTCGAATAATTCATCCTGCCTACCGTGGTTGACCGGTCTAGTAGCTGGAGTACTAGCGGCGGAGCGAGGCTTCCCCCGCCATCGGCCCCATAAAGTTCCGTCGTCGGCCCCACAAAGTTCCGCCAGTCTTCCGCCAGCCCAAATCTGGCTCAACTTACATCATTTCTCATTTATTGTGATTGTATTTCTTCACTTAAGCTATACGCACCAAGTGCCAAGCATATCGACAAAGAGCCGCCAGAGTTCCACCTTGCTACACGATCCGCAGGATTCAACCCACATGGATCTCCAAGAATCTACCACGTGGAGCCCGCCATGGCGGAAAGCATGTGTGCCATGTACTCGCGCAAAGCGCCGATGTGACAAACAGCTTCCAACTTGCCAACGATGCGTGAAAAAGGAAGTTTCTTGCCAGTACCCCTTAGGTCGCCCGTACGGCCGCCGAGCCGTTCAATCGCTAAGAACAGCCAAGAGCTCCGAGCCAAGCCCGCTAAACCCGTTGCACCACCCAAGTGCGGAAAAAACAGTCGCTCCAGGAGATTTTGAAGTTTTCAACAATTCACGGGAATATGGTACTCATGAGGAGCTCCCTGTATTGGACTTTGGCAGTCCCGTGAACAATGAAACCCAAGTCGCAAGCAGCTCTTGGTTCCTTCAAACAAACACATGGACTATTCACTATATTGACTCGTCCCGCCATAACGAGAATTCTAACGTCCATGTGTCCGACTTCAAACAATTTATTCAGACCGTCAAGAAATGGCTCTCCCAGTGGGCCCGAGATACTCACTGTCCGATCCTACACAGGCAGTTATACTCCGAATCTGGCCTGCCACCATGTTTGCAGGATGCTTTTGCAGCCGTGGCCTTATATCAATCAAAGAACGACAAGAATGAAGAGGCCGTTATGAGAATTATAGAAGCAAAAGCCAACAAACTAATAAATAAACTATCATTTGTCACAGATTCCGGAGAAGGAGCCTCGTCCTCTCTCCGGACGGTTGAGCAGCTCGCGCGGGTACAAGCGCTCTTCATATACCAGTTCATTCGCTTATTCGATGGAGATATTGGACAACGAGCGCAAGCTGAAGCCCTTATCCCAACTCTAAAGGATTGGAACAACAACCTATGGGAATCAGCCAACTTGGACGCCTGCCTCGAGACCTCGTTTGGTGTTGCTGGCCTATTTTCTCAAGGCTTAGGGGTGAAGAGCTTGGATGACCCTTCAGGCCAACAGTGGCGCGACTGGTTACTCGCGGAGAGCGTGCGCAGAATCTGGCTCACTGGCAACTATGTGCAGGGCGTGTACCTGATGATGCGAGACCGTCAAACCGGCTGCCCGGGAGGCGTGTTTTTCACGGCGCGTCAAGGCCTCTGGGACGCACAATCTGCAGCGACTTGGATGCGGCTTGTCCGAAGTAAAGATCCGTTGTTTGTGCCCTGCCACGAGACAGATTTGATAATTCCGTTTGTTGAGGCAACAGAGGTCGACGTGCTTTGCTTATCCATCATGTGCATCACGTGGGGTGCACCCAGGTTGGACTTTTGGGTGTCTAAGTCAGACACGCAACTGGAGCTGCTGCTGGGAAAGTGACAAGGAGACGCAATGTTTATGTGATTATTATTATTATTGTTATTTCAATTATCAGTAATCAATACGCCCGGTGGAGATCTTCACATTGAGTCCTAGCGGGTGACATCTTGCGATAGCATATTCTTCCGTCGAGGTGAGATCCTCCAGGGCAGATGGGTAATTCTGGCAGAGAGTAACATTGACCAGAGTTTTCGCGGAGAACTCGGGGATGCCTGCTAGACCGAGCGCTCTGTGTCAGGAAGAGCATAGACTCCAGGATCGTTCATGTCGGCCACAATGATCGCAAGAGCGGAACAAGAGCAATTAAACGGCGAGGAGGCAACAAGAAAACAGGAGTGAGATAGCAAGAGCGCAACGGAATAGAAATTAAAGCGATAGACCAGGATGAACCTGGTAAGATAGAACAGGGCGGAGGGATCACAGTCAGCCTCGCGCAGACCCACGGTTTGTAACCCCTTTCACTCCGTTCCTTCGTTTCAGGGCAATAGTTAAATGGTTACATAACGTGTTCGGTAAGCGTTCTGTGTCTATCGTTGGAATATGTAGAGCTTCTCGTGAGGTGGCAAGAAGATGTTAACAGTAAGCTCGTTCCAGAACGAGCGTCCCAGAGGGCCTACTTTCGACCCACTAGCTTGGGGGCGGTAAATCCTTTCAATACCACGATCTTTACTACTTAATATATCCGCAGACCTAAGGCAATGTCTCGGATTTACACTGCACGCGAGACTCTAGGTCGGATAATGATACGCTTTGGTCCTAGGCCTTGTGTAAACTACAGGAGGATGACTCTGGCACGATTTATACACAAGGCCCGCGAGATTTTCGGCCTCCGCTTGTCTACATTTTGCCGAACCCCCGATCTTGAAGATATCACCGGCCCTCGGTTAGCTGCTTAAGGACATTGAGCCTCGTGTTTCACTGAAGCTAAGAATCGTGGCAAGCACCGGAACGATTTTGATATTTGCAGCTTTAAGAACATTCGATGATCAGAGACTTTCGAGTCTATCGCACTTTGTCTTGTTTAGGGGCCGTCCTGATTAGGTCTAGTGGGTTGCAGTGGCGATGTCTCGCTTAGGGAATCGGCGGCATGGGTTGCCCAGGTGTGTACTCTGAACGCAGTACGATATACATCTCTAGCACCCTACATCACTCTGTGTCGACGTGTTTTGTCGAGTCCCCCTCGAACAAAATGGCGTCCCTTCTCACGACTCCTACTGAGATTTTACGTATGATATTTACGTCCCTATCGCCCAGCGACCTTGCCGCGGTATGTCTTACGCATAGGGACTTACGCTCTCCTGCTGAGCCATTTCTCTACGCCCATATTCAATGGACATGGTCAGACTCCCAGAGCCCTCCAATCGCTCAATTCTTGCGAAGCATTGTCCACAGGCCCGAGCTCGCCAGTTATGTCTACGATGTGGTCCTTAATGGTGACGGTTTCGATGGAGGCCTACACGACCCCTGAATCGAAAATTCCGGTAACCAACGTTGTCTTGGATAGGCTAGTGGAATGTATCGAAAGGATCAATGTTCCATATGCTAGAGAATGGATCCAAGAGCTGCGCGCCGGATCGATGGACGCGTTTACCACACTTTTGATATCACAGCTCCTCAATCTGAAACGTCTCTTCCTTGACAAAAACTTCAACCGAGAGAGCCGCCTCAGGGGCATGATGCTCCGCTCGGCCCTCTGTGAGAAGTCCACAGGTAGCCATCTCAGTTCCTTCACATATCTTAAAGATGTGTCAAGTGTCCCTGCCTTCCCTACGACATTCGCCAAAAGACGGGCACCAGGAACACACAGGACGTCCTCCCTCTCTTTTACCTGCCATCAGTTGAGCGGATAAAGGGTTTAGTCGATAATCCCGCTACTTTCACATGGACCGGAAAGGATCCACCAAACCCATCGAGACTTACATCGCTCGACTTGACCATATTGCGCGAAAGGCATCTTGGTCAAGTATTATCAGTCGCACCAAGGCTTCAGAAGCTTAAATGGGACTGGTACTACCGCCCAGATCTTCGAGATGATTCTGTCACCGATATCATCGATTTGGACCAAATCGCCACGGGTCTATCTCATGTTCAAGATACTTTGACGGACCTAACTATTACAGCAGGGTCAAATGGCGACAAAGCGGACATTGAACCCCCCGAACTCACAATTTAGTGAATCGTTCGAGGTCTTTAGCGGACTCCATACGCTAAAAAGGTTGGAGGTTCCGATTCCATTTCTGCTCGGATTTTCTCCCTCAATGTCAAACGCGAATCTTTTAGCAGTGGCACTACCCAGAAGCCTTGAATGGTTGACTTTGACTGACGGCTTATGTATGCAAGAACAATGGGAATGGGAATGGAAGACTGACTATTTATTGGAGGCTATTCAATCATGGGTCCAAAACTGGAAGAGATACACACCTCATCTACGACGATTTTGTCTGTTAGGGAGTGTGATGAAAGCGCGGGATTGGCAACCTAACATGATACAGGGACTAAGAGACTTAGGAGCCCAGTCGGGAATCGAGGTTCAAATAGCTGACACGAAAACCAAGGGGGCAGGTCATATGTAATTACGTATAGAATATGAGGACTTGTGGAATTGACGCCGAAAATGACCACTTTTGACACCAGAAACGGCTGCCTTTCCACCCGTAACTTTGGATGTCCAGCCGCCCCTTGACCACCCATTGCCCCGGAACACCACTATTCTGCACACCTAGAAATTGACAGATTCAGGAATAAAGGAATGCAGCGTCTTTTTGACGTCTGATTAGTCACCGTATTACGTACTCCAACATATACAGAACCGTGTTGAATAAAAAGGGGGCGCCCCGTGTCGTAGACACGGTCAAACAGGGAGATGAGGTGCAGGGATATTCAGGTGCTTCAACAAGCCGCACGGGAGTCGGAGCTAGTGCCTAGCTCCTGGGAACTGGTAACTATCGGTGGCCCGGCCATAATTGAACCGCCCCGGTATTTTGGCTGGTGCAGGGGTCCTGAGACGTGGGCGGAGACGGGACAATCTCCGGCTCGCTGCCCAATCTATCGTATCCGAGAAACGGGACGAGCATCTACAACGACATATTAACATCAGCAATTACAGGGAGTCCCTACATTATGAAGAGAATAGGTGCACTATGAAACCGCACACGAGAGCCACAGCCTCGCGGTTTATCACACTAGAGACAGTAGCCCCTGTGAACTCGCAAATCAATACCCTGCTAAGCGCCGCCCCCAACGCACGGTGCGTTATATGCAACTCTTGATCCATAAATATCGGTCATGAACCCACTAAACTACACCAAGGCCCTCTGGTTGGGGCTGAATGACTATCACAATTCGCCCTCTGCAGCCGCCTGTCACTTCGTGAGATTTGCGAACATGTCTCTTTCCCATCCTTCCCGCTACACAGCAGAGCCGGCCCTTCTCACACCCTTCTCACAGGATGGCCCTCTATGCTATAAAATCCCTCTTCTGTTGGCTGCTCGCCACTGCAGTCATAGTGCATGCGAATGGTACTCCTTGGACAGTGATATGGTCTGATCAAACCTATGGTCCAGATGGCCCGTGGCATGCAGTGTCAGTTGAGTTGGGATCGAATCAACAGCCAGTTGATCTCTACCCCGGCGACCGTTGGGCTAGTACCATTCTTATCGACAGCGTCTGCTCAGACAACTCCTCAATCCCTTGTTATGCAGGACGAGCTGGTCTCTTCAACATTAGCGCTTCGACATCTGCCATCACCTTAGACACGCCAACTGACACAAACCAGATAAAATGGCTGTCCGATCAAAGCAGTGCCGGCGTGAATAAATGGGGTGGCACTGGGCATGTCAAAGAAGGGCTTCTTGCCGACACGCTCAAGCTGCAGAGTGGAGCTACTGTGCCCAACGTCTCCATGACGGCTATCTACGATGCCTATGAAACATATCCGAATGGACAGAGCTATCCTGTTTCTGTCGGGATCTTGTCGCTGGGAGCCACGAAGCCAATCCACGTAGTTGATGGATACGAATTCAATTTGCTCACTGCTTGGGAATACTGGAACGACTCTTCGTCTGATCCCATTCCCTCATACTCGTGGGGGATGCATATTGGGTCTGTGGATCCTGACATTCCAGGCTCGCTTATGCTTGGCGGGTATGATCAGAGCCGAGTGCTGGACCAAGTAAGCTCTCAACAGGTCGATTCCACGAACAATATCGGCCCTCTCAAGATTTATCTCGAAGACATCGGGATGGGAGTTGCCACTGGGGACTCGCCATTTGACTTCAAGAATAAATCCGAGCTGCTCAAATGGGGAGGCAGCACCACCAGCAGGGGCAAAACAGTGGAGATCGATCCTACGCTTCCATATCTTTATCTCCCCAGGGATACGTGCGATGCGATGGCAGCGGAGCTCCCGGTCACATTTAACGAGGGTCTGGGTCTATACTTCTGGAACACAGACGACGACAGCTACCAGAAAATAACCTCCTCTCCGGCATATATGTCCTTCACATTTGAGAAGGACTCGACGAACACCCAAAATATCACCATCAAAGTTCCTTTCCAACTTCTGAAGCTCACGCTTCAAGAGCCACTAGTGGAGCACAACACAACTTACTTCCCATGCTATCCTTCTGACTCCTTCGTCCTCGGCAGAGCTTTTCTTCAGGCAGCCTTCATTGGAACAAACTGGCAAGAAGGAACCGGAGGCGGTTACTGGTTTTTGGCTCAAGCACCTGGGCCAGCGATCGGATCCGGTGTTCAGCGGAGCATTGGGGTCAGTGACACCTCAATCAAGGCTTCAACCAATTCATGGGAAGACAGCTGGAACGGGTACTGGGTACCTCTTTCATTGGAGAACTCTAGCTCGGGTCTTTCGACTGGCGCAAAAGCTGGCATTGGCGTTGGATGTGCTATTGGTGGCCTGGGATTGATTGGGATACTTGCTTGGCCAATCATCTCTCGTCAAAAGCGAACAGAAAAATCTAACCCAGGTACCGTGGATCAATATTGCATTGCGCCAACATCTGCAGACGGGACGAAGCCACTTCAACTAACTGAGTTGAACGCTCATCATGTAACTGAGCTTCAGTCAGACAAGGATATTCACGAGGTACCTAGCTCCACTACGATGCGTCACGAGCTTTGGTGATGTTTTGAGCCACAGGCCAGAACTGTAATAAATTGATTGTATATAATTTTAGAATAGAGTTATAATATTTCGTTGCCTCCGCCACGGCGGAGCCCTGCTTTGGGGGCCGTCAAGAGCCGCATCATCGCCTCCTTGTGGCGGAGCAAGATTGGCCAGATCTTTCTGAATTCCCCACTAAGGTGTTCATTGTATAAACTTACGTCAAAGCTTATATTCCGAAATCTCGTGAAAGCGCGGAAGAGTTACTCCTCTCTCCACCTTGGATTAGCAGGCGGGCTAGACCTCTATCCAATAAAACTATGGCCATCTCGTACAGGCTTTTCGAACAGATAATCGCAAAGCGCTTCTAGAATAGGTGTTATGCTTCGTCCCCGACATATATATAGGATTTTTTGTTATGCTTTCGAACTGTCTAAAGTTCCTAAGGATAGTTTTGATCGTCCGTTCGCTGCATTCGGCTGTGTCAGTCCTTTAAGACGTGGTCAGTGGCTGATGTTATATCAAATTAAGATTAAATTGTACATCTAGGGGGTTAGTTTCGGCGGCAAATTATCCTTTATGAACAGCACCTTGACTTCTCCGCTACTGTGGTTGGATCAGTTGGGACCGGCACAAGTGCTACCTACAGCTATAAGTACGGTGCCTATCTCTACTATAATCTAGGCTATGGAGGATTTGCCAACATTCTCGGTGATACCTGGAACTGGCATTTCACACCAGTCTTCCTCTACGGCACCCCGGGTCAGAAGTATACGATCTATGAGAATAGTAACGTCGACTCAGACGCGACGCTTAATTCCAAGAGGGACGTGAAGATTCTACCTGACGATGATGAACACTCAGCTACAACTTCAAGCGCAATGTCACCGTGGCGCTCGCGTACGCTACGAGTCTTTCCGATACACCCGATCAATGGGGCAAGATGGCGCTCAGTAATTCCCAAATCGGGAATGCCAATTCTGATTCAAAGGCGTCACATGTCTTCTGTGCGGTAAACTTGTTCAATCAGCCAGATGTGTATCGGTATGGAACCGGTAACGGATATTGCTTTGATACGAGCAAAGGACAGAACGGGCTGTCAGAGACGAAAGGTGGGATATTGATCTTGCACTATCATGTGAAAAGAAGAATTGAAGGAAGCTGACAGATTATTCTCTCCAGGCTTTGGAAAGAGGCCAGGATACTCCAAGTGCAAGGTCAACTTCGTTGGCAGTACATTTACTGACCAAGCAACTCCCCCGAGATGGAGCAAACGAGACCAGGAGAAGCCGATGGGAGCGAATGATGGATGGGAGATTGAAAGTATGTATCCGGTGCTTTGAGTCTTTGATCACGCTAATCATATTTCCTCTTCCCAGGTATTGAGATGGATCCGGATCCAGATGCGTGGTGGCCTCTGCCGGAAGATGTGGACTGGGAGGGTATGATGGACGTGGGTGATAACAAAGTTTGAGTAGGTTAGAGGCAAAGAAGGAGAAAGGGACTAGAAAAAGAGAATTGACCCTCTTATTCGTTTCTTTAATGCCACGTTCTCTTCTTTTCCCTTGTGTTGTGATGTATATAGCGCATATATCCAGCCCTAGAGCGATTTTCGATCAAATCGCCTCTGAACAGGTGGAATCGGGTTATTTCTTCCTATGTACAAGTCCTGCTTACTATGTACGTAGGCACCTCAAGTGCTGTATGGAGGTCCTCGCATTCCACCCTCATGATAAGCAGGACCAAGCTCTCCGATCCCATTGATGAAATTCTCTTTCCAAGCACCCTCCACCCAGGCTCCATCAAAGTTGTCCTCTACTCCATCATCCTCTACCCGCCACTGCCTCACCACATTCCCACAATCATCCCAGAATACATGCAACAGACCCCCACCATCGAGTGCCACCTCATCTTCCACAAAAGCATGAGTAACAACACAAGCAGCATGATACAGGCCATACTTTAGAAGGGGGTTCGCCGCACGGGTCGCCCTCATCTGTGCCAGCATCTCTTTGATCTCATCAGAATAGTCCTCTTCACTAGATCCCGTATCATCTTCTACATAACCCAGTACCTCTCTCAAAGTCTCCTCTCGCAATTTAATGTGTCCCGTGGAACCCTCATTAGTGACACGCTCGGGGAACAGTTCCAACGCAGCTGCCACGTCTAGGCCGCCCCCGAAAATCTCTTCATCGTCGAGGACTACCCCCTCGGGACCGACGTAGGCTACGTCTTCGTTGTAGGACCATAGAGCCTCATGCGCCTCTTCTTTCTCTTTTTTGTAGCAGAGACGGATCCAGAGGCCTTCCTCTAGACAGGTGGTATAGCCAGCGTACGGCCGTAGGGCCGTAGGGCGTACTGGGAAGAGAATCTCGGCTATTTGGGCCTCAGTAGGTGTGGGTGGTGTTTCTGTGCGGGCGTTGTAGGGCTAATGAATCAATTATGTGTTAGTTTGGGGTCGTAAAGAAACGCAGCATTTCATTGAAATGGATTGCTCGGAGTATGGCAGTATTTACCTCTCTGCCCTCCAATCCTAATGCGAGGAACTGGCGTACCAGCCGTCGGCGGCGGTCTGAGGGGGACTCGGTGGGCTGTGCGGGGTTCGGGGTTTCCCATTCTGAGAGAAGATAGATATCTAATGAGAGAGCTCCCCAGGGGACCGGCTCAGGTGAATCGTTTTCAATTATTCGGAGAGGCATTGTTGTTCTACCTCAAAGAGAAGCAGAAAGGGGAATGGAGAGTACTAGAGTACTACATCGCGGATCAGGGCAACTGGGGCACCCCGATTTGCGTACTCAGCTTTAGTTGGCCCCCGCCGGGTCCACGGGTGGAGTGGAGCCCCCGGAGCCCAAGTGGGTCTGGTGGTGTTTAGCGGAGGGAAATCATGCCTTAGTGCCTGATTATGGCCTCATTTCAGGCCAACCGTCGTACACCTGTGCAGCGCTAGCTCAACCTGTGACCTTTGAATACAAATATAGGAGCAGCTGGAATCAAGGCATCTCACGGTGAGCGCTATACACCGTCTTACATATATATTGTCTCCACTACGGAACGTGACATCGCTTAGACTTGGGCTCGCCCTTCTGTTTTCTCTCCACAAATTCGTCTTTGCAAATATCACCCGTCATTTTTGTTATTTTTTCAAAAAAAGCCGTGTCATTTATGACTAATACCTAGGTAGAGCATTATGCCTAAACCTAGCCGCCTCGCTTCTATTCTACGTCTATTCGGCCTGATCTAGTTCTCTATCTACTGTAAGACTTTTCTATAGAAAATTTCACTAACTCTACTAATTATCTCCTTTAGTACACTAGGAAGCCTTAACACAAGCCGTTCGTCGAGATAGTCTCGTAGCACTTAGTCACCTATAACAAATTCAAGATACCGCTTTAGCAAAGTTGCTTAGTATAACCTATAATCTACCCCGCTCCCTATATATCCCCTGCCTAAAATGATGTACTAAGTGGACTAACTATCATAAATAGCCAGTGGTTTTATCCCTTACGAAGATATAACCATTATTCCCTCGCTCGTATAAGCTGCTAGCGGCGTTATTCTAGAACTAGGCCCCGTACTAGGAAATCAGATCTATTATTTTGATATCTCTTATGTCAACTATATCTATAGCGTTGAACCTAATCCCTAGTTCAAAGATACTATCGATGCTCTCTTAGATAAATATAGTCTATAGGATAGATATAAGTTCATAGCTTGTGGCATTAAAGATAGCGACGTTTTAAGAGAAGAGGGAATTATAGAGGGCAGCTTAGATACTACATTATGTATTTAGGTCCTATATGCCGTAAAGGATCCGAAGAACGTTATAAAGGAGGTGTAGAAACTCCTCAAACTAGGAGGCAAGTTTATATTCTAGGAACATAGGTAGAGTAGAAACCGCTTAACGACTATAGCGCAAGGTATGCTTATCTCGAATAGAATAACCGATCCGATATACAAACCGGCTAACATAAGAAAACCCTAGCTTGCTAGAATCCTACCTAGAGCATATTCGTCGGTTATGATTTAACTCGGAATGTGTTAGCGGACATTCTCAACAGTGGCGAATAGGAAAATCCACATAAGGTTAAAGAACCTCATGAACCGTTTAGTTTGCTGCCTAGAATTCAGGGTGTGCTTATCAAGAAGAAAGCATAATTGAACCCCAATGAGAGCAAATCCACCCACTCTTGAGGCTATGTCGAGTTGGACAATCAACATTAAAACAGCATGACGAATACATATGAACATCCTTGGTAATCCTAATGCACCGACGACCTGATACCGATATCTAGAAGGCGGATCCTGTCAAAGACAATTTCACCGCGCCATATCTTTATACCACAATCAGCGCCTCAGAGCTTGAGACTGTCCGCGTGGCCATTACTGCTGGCTGGAAGACCCTGTATGACCAGGGTGGCTCAAAGCTGGCATCGAGTATGCTGATGGCCATCCTAATCTTGATGTGTGGCCACGGATCGCCTGTCTGATTGGAGCTTGAGTCCCGTTACCGACACTTCAGCCGGGAATGGCATGGTGACAATAGAAATCGAGCGAGATACTTCATATGGATGGGTTTATGTGATTGAAGGCGCTCAAAGGCGGGTGCTCAGACAAGTGATATGGGCTGTTAGTGGTGGTGCTTTTCAAGAAATCGGTGTGGGAATTTATGCGGCGAAGCCCACTAGGGAATCTGAGGAAGGTCGCGAGTTCGATCCGTTGGCGGTATCGTTCTCAGACTTTGTTTTTAAAACGAACTGCACCCAGCAGTAGGGCTATCCAGACAAATTAGAAATTTCGTGATACCAGCGATTTGGTTAAACCATGCTGCTTGTCAGTATTCGTTGGGAGTCATTTCCGCTTGTTGTGTTTTTGCTCCAGGCATTGTCTGGTTCTGAATATAGGTAATTATTTTACCTTTCTTCTTTTTTTGTACCTGGTTTTGTTCATAACTTTGTCACATCATACTGTTGTGAGATGAAACTGGCATGAGAAGAGATTGAGACGGCATCAAAGCCATGGTAAAGGGGATCAAAGGGCACACCTCTGTTTCATTTGTTTGCCAGCACGCGCTATGGACCGGCTATCTCTCACGGGAGACAATACCAGCCGCTTCTTGCAATCAACTTACCCGAAGGCCGAATGAGACAATTGAAATGGTACTTAGCCAAAGCAAGTACTACTACGGTTATACTTGGTAGTATTCTAATGATTTCATTGAAAGGATTAGTTGCCGAAAAGAGCTAGCGCGTTATGCATCACCAAATTCTTCCTGCAAGCCAAACTAAATATCACCAAATCACATGTTCGAGGCTCGTCCCGTCCCGCCTATTACTCAGACTTTATCTCGGAGATATCTCCAATCACGTACTAGTTAATAGTTCGGCATGCAGGGTGGCTGATCCGGCGATGCAAGCGGACGATGGGAGCGGCTACAGAATCAAAACCTGGCCTATGAGAAATTGACCACGAACAGACTGTTGGTTTCTGACTGTTGGAATATATGACTTCTCATAGGTCACTTGAGATCGAGATCTTTGTTATTATTATTACATGATACGAACCATGAGTCAATGGAACGCTTTATTTCAGCCGCAATCTAGGCGAGCATCAGCCGAACTATTTATGGGACCACTAATCCTTCTAAGGAGTCAGACGAGATGGTCACTGGTAAAAGCTCTAGCGAGAATATGGTGAGGTGCTAACCTCACAGGTGCATGAGAGGGGCAAATTACAACCAAAGCGTGTGTTGGTGATCGGGGACTTATTTCAGGTTCTGACATGCATACGATAAGCGAACTTACCTGTACGGCTTTTATTTCTCCCATCAGATTTGATCTAAATAATGCAATATAGTAATATAATAAATCCCCACTGGACGGCCATAGCTGAGCAGCCAACATGGCTTAAATCTGCGGCTCTCTTCCAACAGTTAAAGATTTATAGGATAGGTTCGTTGTTGAGAGGCTTAGTCTTAGTGGGTCTGGCGTTTCCTTGGCTGTGCAGCTGCTTTCCCTGGATGATACCGGGGCGTTAGGGCAAGCAATCATGAGAGGCTTAGTAGAAGATGGAGATGGCCTCATTGCAACACCGAAGCCTGAAGTTCCTCGGAGAAGGTATGGGCTATTCAGGCGTTCAGGCGTTCCTTTTGGGGCCTTTTTGTGATATAAAAAGGGCTCGAATGTTCTTTCAATCCAATCTTGAGATCACGCATTCCGTTTCTATTCTTTCTTCACAATATGTTGCAAAGCATCTTAGCACGGCTAGGAGCTGCATCGTGCAGTGACTCCCTAAATTTTACACCCCGTGACTTGGGTACCTTTGCCTCCATGATCATTGTGGTCCTATCCGTGCTGTATAAAGTACTATACGAACCGACACTGTTGATTAGAAAAGGAGGCAGCCCATACGTACAGTCACTAAGCTCTGTTGGGCTAATCTCCGATCCACTTAACAAGTGTCTCGGTCTCATGAGAGACTGTTCTGGGGCTGTATTAGCTTTTATATCTCAGCTTAGACCGACCAAGCCGAAACCTATTGTTCTATCTGGACAAGAAGGTCGACGCATCTTCTTCAAAGAAAAGAATTTACATTTATACGAGACGTTTCAGGGTCTATTTGGTAGTGTGAGTACTCTCGAAGCAACCTTTCATCCCATTTACTGATGGTTTTGTCTTTCCTAGATCTCATCAGAATTTGATCCGCACCTGGTCAATGGTGTTGTCCGACGGATGAGTTCTATTCAAAAATCAGATAACTTGCAGTTTTGTGGGTTTAAATTCATTTGAATAACATTAAAAAGAGCCATTGACTTATACCGCATACAGTGATTCCATTATTATTGTCAGATTGCCAACAAAAGATGGATTCGTGGGGGACTCAAGCTATCCTCGATCCGTGCTCTGCATTCCATGAGGTATTTATACTCTACATGATGGTCGATGATGAAGTTGACAGAAACTTTCTTGTCACAGGTTGCCTTTCAAATGGTCATGCGCCCTGCTTCCTTCGATATAGCCGATGATCCAACCCTTCTATCGCGTCTAAAACCACTTGTTGATATTGTCGACTCGGCCTCCAATACGTTCGAAACTCAAATTCCATGGCTACCCACTGTCTCTTCGCTTCGCAAGATTTTATCTTCTGCTCGCATATACGGTATTATCAAAAAAGAGATCCACAAGAGAAAAAGCAGTGGAATTCAGAGAAGAGATGCCCTCCAGCAGATGCTGGATGATGGAGAGAGTACAGTTCATATATTAGGGGTATGTAAGGGAGGATCAACGATTCAAGCACCAGAGTCTAATAGCCTCTATAGTTCATGCTAGGTCTCTCTCTAGCTGGAGCCCGTGCCATGGGAAATACAGGTACATTGACCTCCATCGAAATGGCGGAAAGCACAAACTAATAATCCATCTTATACAGTAACATGGCTGATCATGTATCTTTCCTCTGATCCGCGATGGTCTTCCGCTGTTCAAAAAGAGATCGAATCTCTGATCTCAACACATGCCGCCTCTATCCCCGACCAAACTCAGACCGAAACCCTCTCATCCATACCCCTGAGAGCCTGGGAAACCCAAACACCCATGCTGGATCTCTGTATCCGCGAAACCCTACGTATCGCCCAACCCTACACAGCTGTACGGAAAAACGTCGGCCCAGAAATAACAATTGGACCCTACACCATCCCTTCAGGGGCTTCAGTTGTCTACCCGTTCTCAGATACATCTATCAACCCCAACGATTACCCCGATCCAATGCGCTGGGACCCCTCTCGGGAATTCCAGGGGGAATTTATTGGCTGGGGCGCCGGGAAACATGCGTGCAAGGGCCAAAGACTCGGAACTCTAAGTTTGAAACTCTTGGTTTCTTCTGTCTTAATGAGGTATGGGATCACCATGGAGATTCAAGGTCCCCCGGTTCCGGATTGGAGCTCTGCAGCCTGTCGACCCATGGAAAAGTGTGGAATCAAGCTTGTTGCCAAATCAGAGTAGAAGAAATCGAGATAATATCTAGGTCCTTGACCATTCATAGGCAGTTCCATAATATCTAAATCGGACGTTCCCCGCGATTCCTATCTCCCTGAAGCTTATTATCTTTGAGCCAATTAGAAAGTGGTTAATCAGGGTCCAATACCGTGGATACATATTGGCGTTTCAGGCTGAGCCTATCATCGCATTCAATTCAATTAGTGCAAATGACTCCGGGAATGTTCATTGGGTGTGGTGACGTTGGTGACGTTACGAAACCATAGGTCGCGTGTCGTGGCGCATCGCCTCAATATATCGCATGTTCGTGTATTCTTCAGATTTATAACCTCTTCACTCATCCTCAGGCCCAGGATAACCCCCCAGGCAAGAAGCAAGCATGCACCCCCTACCATGTCGAGCTCGTTCCAGCAACATCCATCCCTTATCGGCGACAACCAAGCCAAAAGCATCGCCGCAATAGTCTTCATCTCGATCGCCCTATACAACGCGCTGGAGCTGATGGTCCTCATCCCACTGAGCTTCAAGAGATACCGCAGTCTCTACTTCTGGTCGCTCCTCCTATCAGCCGTATTGGGCATCATCCCGACCAGCCTAGGAACCTCATTTCAATTCTTCGAACTCGCACCACTATGGCTAAGCCTTCTCCTTTCGAATATCGGCTTCATAATGCTAGTCCCGACACAATCGGTAGTCCTCTACTCCCGCCTCCATCTAATATCAACCAACTACCGCCTCCTCCGCTTTTTGAAATGGCTCATCATAGTCGACACCGCCATCCTTGTCATTCCAACCGTCACCCTCAACTTCGCCTCCGAATACTTTTCCCATTCACCGTCCTGGGTGCGCGCATTTGATATAGTCGAAAAATCACAACTCACCTGGTTCTCCGCGCAAGAAACCCTCATCTCCGGTATCTACATCTACGAAACAATCGGTATAATCCGGATCAGTCCGCACGAAGACACGAAACGACATAAGATCCTGTACGAGCTGCTCGCAATTAACATCGCAGCGATTTGCATGGATGTCGCGCTACTAGTCTTGGAGTATATGGGCCTTTATTTTACGCAGATCATCTTCAAGGCGTTGGTTTATAGTATCAAGCTCAAGATGGAGTTTGCTGTTTTGGGGACGTTGATCTCCATTGTGCATTCGGGTTCTTCGCATGGCGAACTGCCGAGTTCGGATATGTCACATTTCATGGCGGGGTGAATGTGCAGTATATAATAAGAGTATTAGACGTACATCCGCCCGTCGCATATCCCTCAAGTGCCGAGCCGACCTACTGTACCGCTGTGAAAAGCGGCCTGGTGAAATAAAATGCGTTTCCTCATAGTAAGCCAGGAGGAAGAAAAGACAGCAATAAAGCAGATAGAGCACCTACGAATAGAACATTTGAAATATATCAATACATGTCATGTACTTCACCCTCTTTGGGTCTAATTCGAATTCGGGCTAGATGTGACAGGTCCAAGCATCAGCGCTTAGAACCTCACCCTTTGAGATACACTCTTAGACCTACCTCCCATATAGACACTAGATATAAAATGGGCACAAGAACCATCTACCTAATCTCTGCTCGCAACATCACTTTCCAGCCAGCCAACTTCTCAATCTTGAGAGAAAGGAACCAAGGTCCACGCCGTCAACGCTCCTATGGCAGGCTAAGTCTTAGTATTCAAACGAAACTACAACCCAATGCCTCCCACATAATCGACTCCTCAGCCGACGCGCCTCCACGCATCGACCCAACCCCGCGAGGGAATATCGAGCTTGCAGCAGCGGAGGTTCCTACTCCTGGAATCAGTCAGAACTTCATGGCACCTGTAAATGATGTGAGTATATAGCACTGTTCCTAACCTAATGAGCTAGGTCTCTCTAGATCAGTAACAAGCGCTGTCAAGAGTGGACTATGGAGTATATCCGCCACCTGGTTGCGAGGGGTATTGTCGGCAAAGAGGCGATTGATATTGTTCAGTCGAAGATGGATCTACCGAGTCATGGAATTGGTCTGCAATGGAGTAATTGATATAAATTTACCCCGGCCGCCCCGAGCCGCAGTGGGCGGACCGCCCCCGTCGGGTCGTCGGATAACCTCATCCGATGCGCATAGTTCCAACGCGTAACGGCTACGCAGTATTCTATAGCTTCCGAAGTGCGGGGACCCCGGAGTGATATAAAATAGTTCATCACCAGATACATCCAGATCACCCATCTGCCCTCCTCTCCCCTCCATCTCCGTCACCTTCCCATCACCATCCACACTACACCATGCTCGGCAAAATCGCCCTCGAAGAAGCCTTCGCGCTCCCCCGCTTCGCGGAAAAGACCAAATGGTGGGCAGGGATGTTCGCCACAGACACAGAGAAACACACAGCAGAAATCAACGACGTCGGTCCAATCCGCCTAGACTTCGCCGAGAAATACGGCGTCGGTCTCCAGATCCTCAGCTATACCGCGCCAGGTGTCCAAGATATCTGGGATGCAAAGGATGCCCAGGCTCTCGCTGTTGAGATCAATGATTATATCGCCGAGAAGGTGAAAGCGCACCCAGATCGATTTGCTGCTTTTGCGTGAGTTCCCTCTACACCCTCTACACCCTCTACGTAATATCAATGACCAGCAACAAACTAACAATAAAACAGCACCCTCTCCATGCACGATCCCCAAGAAGCAGCCACCGAACTCCGTCGCTGCGTAACCCAGCACGGCTTCCTAGGCGCACTAGTAAACGACACACAACGCGCCGGCCCAGACGGCGACGAGATGATCTTCTACGACAACGCCAAATGGGACGTGTTCTGGTCTACCTGCGAAGAACTAGACGTGCCCCTGTACCTCCACCCACGCAATCCAACCGGAACAATCTACGAGAAACTATGGGCAGATCGGAAATGGCTAATCGGGCCACCGCTGTCATTCGCGCAGGGCGTTAGTCTACATGTGCTGGGGATGGTGACGAACGGTGTTTTCGATAGACATCCCAAGTTGCAGGTTATTCTTGGGCATCTTGGGGAACATATTCCGTTTGATATGTGGAGGATTAATCATTGGTTCGAGGATCGGAAGAAGGTGCTTGGGCTTGGGGAGACGTGTAAGAGGACGATTCGGGAGTATTTCGCGGATAATTTGTGGATTACTACTTCCGGGCACTTTTCGACTACTACGTTGAACTTTTGTTTGGCGGAGGTTGGCGCGGACCGCATTTTGTTCTCGATTGATTATCCTTTTGAGACGTTTGAGGATGCTTGTGACTGGTTTGATAATGCGGAGATGTCGAATACTAATCGGTTGAAGATTGGACGGGAGAATGCTAAGAAGTTGTTCAAGTTGGGGGCTTACAAGGATAGTGAGGCTTGAAGAGGATGGAACTAGCTTGAATTGAATTCATTACTATGTTGCTGCTGATTTGCTACATCTGGGTATTACATTGGACAGGTAGAGATGAAAGTATTTCGTGCTCGGTGGCGCGGGTCTTCTGAGAGCTGGGTTATCGATTCGTGGGTCGTGCCGTTGTCCTCCGGCGTCGTTGTCATCCTGTGGGTATCTTGAAGGGTATTTTGGAGGAAGGTTTGTGAGAACTTTGGCTGTGGTTGTAGTCAGTAGCTTTGGTCAGTGGCCAGACCACCCAGAGAGTGCTTCAAGCTTCGGCAACTTCCAGCTCTGCAACCGGAGTAGACTGACCGTTGGTCGAACGCTGCTCCTCCATATTATCGAATTGCTGAGGGATCTTCACAGCCTGACCGCTCAAGGGTTGTTCAAACTGCCCAGGATGGATAGACCGACGATCGTGAATAGTCGAGCGCTTGTCCCAGCATTGCTGCCAGATATCTGGGGCGTCAGACAGCAAATCCATGGCCGGTGCAAAGTAATTAGCCCGAATGGTGCGAGTGGCCCAGGTGTAAAGTGAGTAATTCTCAATGCAGCGAGTCAGCACGTCCCAGATGGCAATGATCCGACGCGACAGGCCAATTCGACCGGTGACAGGAATTCCTTCTGCGAGGATCTGGCAGTTGCGCTGACGGAGGAAGGTATTATGGACCCATGCTTCATAGACTTCGAGGAAGAGAGTGAGTAGGCGACGTTCCAGGGGACGAGGCTTTTTCAGGTGACTGTAGTTGTTAGTATCAAAGAGCAAAGCTTGGACTTGAACGAGGACCTGAACGATGAACTTACGCAGAAACCACAGTAGTCATGCGACAGTATCGCTCACAGATAGTCGTCTTCTCCTTGGACACTTGGTCAAGCACAACGGCAACCTGCTCAGCGGCGATAACTTGGTCACGCAACTTGCCATCCATCCAGACCAAGTAGCTGAGAATAATCTCCGCAAGCACCTTCGCCTCGGCAGTCTCCTTCGTGTCAAGGAATTTATCACTGTGGTGAAAGACGACCTCGTGTAAATGGAGAGTGTGGTTAATCAGAACGATGAACTGCTGGCGGGTAGTCTCGCGCATTTGCGGGTCAGCGAGGAGGTCCTTGATAGCCTCGAGGAGGATGTGGCTGCGCGTAAATGGTTCGCCGGGGTTATGGGGGGTGATGAAGGGGTCGACATAGCGAGTGCGAATGTCATTCTGGACAGCCTTGCCAAAGGCGTAGGTCCACGCGGCCTCATGTCTGTTGTTAAGATCTGGGACACACAGTTCCGCGTCAAAGTCGGGAAATGGCTCTTTCTTAGGGGTGACAGTGGTATCCGAATCGGAGTCAGAGTCCATCGCGAGTTGCGATCGAACTTCAGCGAGACGAATTCCAGATGAGTCCATGTCCATATTGATGATTTAGTTGTCACGATATTAGAGAAAAGGAATATCGCGAAGAAGGAAAATGTTAGGAGAAGAGAAAATTACAAGGCAGGAACTCCATTAACTATCATTTCCCATCACTCAATCCGAAAGCGTTACCAAGTCAGACTCAATGGTCAGGACGCTGTCATACAATTGAGCGACGGACTGTCTTCCTCAAGGGGCTGCCTGATGAATGAAGCAGCGAATTATTCAGGAACAAGACGTTCCCGAGACCATTCATCTGCTTCTCAGGTAGACACCCAAGAGTATTGAAGACAGTAATGTTCTTCGCACATTGACTAATCGACATCTCATGGGGCAGAGGAGACGGCAACTTAAGTAGTGCGAGTTCAGTCTTGCTTGCTATCTTCCTCCACTTCCTCATCGTCGGGGAGTGGCACATCCATAACCCTCTCGCCCGCCTTTTCTAAGGTGCGTCTACTCCATGACCGGACGCCTTTGTAGACAGCCTATATCGGTTAGTTAAGCCAGATAGTCAACTTGTGACACCCGTGGACATACCCAGAGGAAACTACCAACGCCAACCAGAATCACTAGCCAGTTCAGTTGGGCAGCTCGGTTGCGGCCTCCATTACGGCCGGTAACCACAGAGCGCATGTTCCAAGGGAAAGGTGATAATGCAAAGATGGCCTTGATAAGTGACAACAGGCCCAGTGAGGTCAGTCCTTTGACGAAGTGTTCCAACCAAGAGGAATCATCAACGAGTTCGTAGACATCCACGGGGCCGAGGTAAAAGTCAATGATGGGGTCAGCAATGAATCCAAGAATGAATACGGTAAACAAAAGGATGGCGATCGTGAGGAATAGCTGCATGGATGCGCTACTGATCCATCGTGCCCAAGTCAAGCGGCCTAGGCGATACTGGAAGCCACAGGTCGGACATTGCCAGAAGTTTCTCGTCGAGTACTTAGGGTCGGCATGGCGCCATGATTGCAGGCAACCCTCGTGGACATAACGCGAGGAGCCTTTGCAATGGCAGGGACGTAAGAGACGGCCAAGCTCTGGGTCGGAGGACTCGTACACCACTCGAGGTTTCTGCAGGAATTCGGAGGGTTGAAAGGTCGGCAATACTGTTTCTAGACAGATGCGACAGACCCTAGGAGGGTAATGCTGTTCAGAGTCTGCCATTGATCTCACATTGGGGAAGTGTTCAGAGAGAGATCTCAGTGAAGAGAAGAAAAGAAAAGCAGAAAAGCCCAAGTGTTCCCAACCTCCACGGCTAACCCCAATCGGGTCACCGCCTTCCAGCTCTACGCCAAACGTCACCCATCTCTGCCTACAACACCTGTGGACAGCTCCCTTTCTTCTTTTTTTCCATCTCTTCCTGTTGTGTTGCAGTTTACAGTGAATCATGGCAGACCGATACTCTTTCTCTTTGACGACATTCTCTCCCAGGTAAGGAACGCTTGTCCCGTGGAATTGACACCAGTTAACCCAGCTCCATCACAGCGGCAAGCTGGTGCAGATTGGTAAGACGCGACCATCATCCTGATCCTATGGATCCATACTGATGAAAATAGAATATGCCTTGAACGCAGTCAACCAGGGAGTTACCGCCCTCGGTATCAAAGGTAAGCTCCCAGCTCTCACCCACGGGACCAAGCTGACCTCCAGAACAGCTACAAACGGAATTGTCCTCGCCACTGAGAAGAAGTCCTCATCGCCTCTGATCGATCCTCCCTCACTGTCCAAGATTTCCCTGGTCACTCCCGACATCGGCATGGTCTACGCCGGTATGGGCCCTGATTACCGGGTTCTGGTCGACAAGGCCCGCAAGGTCTCCCACACAGGCTACAAGCGTATCTACAACGAATATCCTCCCACTCGGATACTGGTGCAGGATGTCGCTCGTGTGGTGCAGGAAGCTACGCAATCTGGTGGTGTTCGTCCTTACGGTGTCAGTCTGTTGATTGCAGGCTGGGACGAGGGTGTTGAGCCCGAGGGAGAGGCACAGAAGGACGACTCCGAGGAGAAGCCAACCACCAAGACCGGCGGCATTCACAAGGGCGGCCCTAGTCTGTATCAGGTCGATCCCAGCGGCAGCTACTACCCATGGAAGGCCACAGCCATCGGTAAACACGCAACGAGCGCCAAGACTTTCCTCGAGAAGCGGTACACCGAAGGGCTGGAGCTGGAGGATGCCATTCACATTGCGCTGTTGACGCTCAAGGAGACGATTGAGGGTGAGATGAATGGTGACACGATAGAAATTGGTGAGTTCAGTTCCCACTTCAGCTGGCAACATCAGCTAATCTCTTTCAGGCATTGTCGGCCCGCCAGCGGACCACTTGCTGGGCTTTGAAGGAGTTGAGGGCGCTCAGGGACCGCGCTTCCGCAAGTTGACCAAGGAGCAGATCGAGGACTACCTGACCAACCTATGAGAGCCATAATTTACATGTAGACTCAAATGAAATCTTTATTTGTCCAAGTCCAAACTGCAACGGGTGATTGCCTAGGCAAATGGCCCGAGACATCCCTGTCAATGTGGAAATACCAAGCCATAGCGCCCCCTAGCTGGAAGATCGAACTAAACAATGACCCCGGATTGTGACCCCATAAGAACTCCCATTTATTTCCAAGTTTCCTTTTCTTGACGCACAATTACGCGTGCGCACAGACAAGTCCAAGCCATATGCAGGAGTTGCATTTCCCGTACGACCAGTCCATACTTCCTTTGTCCTCCCTTCTCTCCCTCTTCAACACTCCCTCCTGTACCAACTATGTGGACATACCAAACGGGATGACCCTCCCACCAAACCAACCAAAATGTCCGTCCCACAGGACCTCCTAGACGGAATATCGGGCGCCCTAGCAAGAGAAGGCAACATCCTCCAAATGATCCTAGTAACATTCATCGGCCTATCCTGCTACAACGTCGCCGAATTAGTCGTCCTAGTCCTAGCCAACTTCCGCCGCTGGCGCGGTCTATACTTCTGGTCTCTCCTCGCCTCAGGCTGTATAGGCGTAGTGCCATACTCAATCGGCTTCCTGATAAAATTCTTCACGCAGACCGACTCCGTCCTCTCAGTGACGGTCTTGACAATCGGGTGGTGGACAATGGTCACAGGCCAATCGGTGGTTCTGTATTCGCGACTGCATCTCGTTCTCCGGGATGAACGTGTTCTGCGACGAGTACTTCGGCTTATCATTGTGAACTTCTTCCTGTTGCATATTCCTACTACGATTTTGACGTACGGCGCGAATATCGTTCATAGTGGTGATATGTCTTGGGTCAAGGGGTATAACATCATGGAGAAGATTCAGTTGACGGGGTTTACATTGCAAGAGGGTCTGCTGTCGACATTGTATGTCATTGAAACGGTCAAGCTACTACGACTCGGGGCAGATGTTTCTGCGCGCCCGGATTCGAGAACGATAATGTACCATCTGATCGGGATAAACTGCGCGATTATGATCATGGATCTTGTCCTGTTGAGTTTGGAATATGCCAATTTCTATGCTGTGCAGATTACCCTGAAGGGGTTTGTATACTCGCTCAAGTTGAAGCTGGAGTTTGCAGTGCTGGGTCGTTTGGTTGATCTCATTCAGGGATCTCGACATCCGATTTCTGTGACTATCGCCGATACACTGCCTCTTTGCACGATACAGCGGCCAATTGAAACGCCGGATCGAAGTGAGGATCCGCAGTGTGAGGAGGCTGAACCGAAGGATTTCTTGGCTGAGTCGCATGGAGCGAGGGTCGTTCAGAGGAGGGTCTTTGTGGAAGCTCTGAGCGTATGATGAATGACGAGGGCTAGTAGCTAATATGCTGTTTGTTTTGATAATGCATGACTCATGAATTGTTCGTATTCGTCTTTCAGGGGAATTCTTCGTCTTCGAAATCATCTTCCGAGAATTCGTCCTGGCTGTCCGCTACTTCTTCCACTTTGCGCTTCTTCGGTGTCGGTGCGGGCTGTGGCGGAGGTACGGGGTTAGATGGTTCATCGGGAAGCGTTGATGTGGAGAGTCTTGATTTGGTAAGTGGTGATTTGGGGAATGGTGATCTGTGAAGTGGTGACCTGGGATTTTGCAGCTTTGAAGAAGGCAGTGCTGGCGATAATGGAGAAGGAGTTGGTGCCTTCGGAGACCGAAAGATATGACCTTGCGCATTGGAAGGTCGAATCACAGGAGTCCGCACAGGGAGCTTTCGTTGGATGGAAATCCCCGATGGTTTATCATCATGGCAGCCGTCCTGGCTAAGTTAGCAAAGGCCTATATCACTTGAGAACCGACATACCCGCTCAATCCGAAACCGAACTACCAACCTCCCACTCTTGGGTATAAAGTTGCCCCCACGCTTGGTGACCTCCGCAAAGCGTTCGCCGCGCTTACCACGATAGATCACGACACGCGTTAGAACACTCTTTTCCCACCCACCACCCCAGACGGTAGGCCCTAAAGTAGCACGAACCTGCCCCTTGATTTTCGTGTGAGTCTGATCAAGAGCCAATACGGCGATCCTCTTCAGCGCAAATCGAGTTAAGTAGATAGAAAGCTCGTTGGTGACATTCCATCTTCGATTGAGGAGCCAGTGTAGCTCATTCTTATCTTTGATTTTGCCGCGTACAAGCTGGTCCTTGAGCTCTGACGCGCCAGTGAAATACGCTTGGAAGAGACTTGACACCGAATCGATGACTATCAAGGTTGTTCCTGCTGGTGGGAAGTTCTTGGGTGGTTTCCCGAGAAGAGCAAGAAGATGCGGCAACGTCGGCGTGCGCAAATAAATGAAGTTTTTGACATTCATTCCCATCTGTTGAAGCCGTGGTGCAGGCAGGGGGGAACTCGTATCTGACAGTATGAGTTTGACTGTCTATATGGCTCTGGAAACTGGGAACATACCAATCCAGACTACTTTGCCACCATCCTGCAATGCACTGTGTGCAATGCTCAACCTGCCGATGGGTTAGATTCGAACTCTGGCGCGAATGAGAAGAGGCTCACCCCAGCGAAGTTTTTCCGGACCCTGGCGGTCCCCATACTTCTGTAATTTGGCCGCGCACAATGCCGGTAGGGCGCCGATGGAACTTGAACTGGCCATCCAAAGCCTCGTCCAGACGCCGCGCGCCCGTTCCGATTCGGTTCGGCAGTCGGGTGTGGGCTGACGAGCTGAAGGCCTGTGTTGCTGGGGCTGAAAGCAGGGGAACTGTCGGTATGAGTTAGTATTCGGATCTTTTGTTACTGAAGAACTGGGGAGCTACTGACGCGTGTTCTCGCTGGGCGTGTCGAGACCGCGTGGGTCCTTTTTGGCGCTCATAGTGGGCGCATCAAGCTGGGAGCAGAGCTAGGCTCGAAAGTAGTAAAAATGAGATAAGTATCGAGTTCTATATATTCAATTCATGTTCTATTGTGTTTTCGTGATGGAATGAGGTGTTGACGGAGATCCGAGATCGGGAGATTTTTTGCCGCTTTTTGATCCCTGCGATCTGACTACATACAACTCTCCATGTCCACAACCGACATTGCCCTCGGCGCCTTGGTGAATTTTCCTGTTTTAATTGTCCTGGTCGCTTTTCTACCACTTTATCTTGTTTTAAAGACACCCCCGATCCGTCCGAAAGGATGTCGTCGCTTGGGACTCCCGCCAGGTCAGAGCAATCTAGACGATGAATTCGATCCGAAGTATAGCGAGGGCTTCCCTAGTGACCAGAAGGATCAGGGTCTCCCATCATGGCGCGTCAAAGCCCTGTTTACTTATCCCCTTAAGTCTTGTGGCGCAGTCGAGCTGCAACTTTCGAATGTCGTACCTACGGGACTCGAATTCGACAGGCAATTCGTCTTTGCAGAGTACAGCAAAGAAGAATGGAACATTCGAACTTTGCGCAATGCAGGATTTAACCGTCTCGCCCTGATCCATCCTGAGATCTGGGTTCCTGACCCGTCCGCCTCGGACTATGACACAAACCTGCCAGAAGTCAAGTCAGACGGCGTGATGCTGATATCGTATCCTCGCTTGACACCAGCCGGATGGAAGGGTCTTCCCATGAAGATTAGCATGGCACTCAAGATCTGTGCCAGCCGCCACACATTCCAAGTTCCATTGCATGCACCACAGGACTCCAGCTTCCCACTTGTCCCAGTCAGAATCTGGAAAGACAATCCCCTAGCACACGATTTTGGAGGTCTACTCCCAGCATCATTACACGCATACATGGGCTTCGACCACAAATCCAGTCCATTAACACTCTTCCGCGCAAGCGCACCACACACCCGCCAAATCTTCCGCAACGCACCTCGCAAAGAAAACCTAGGTTTCCAACCCAACACAGCCTTCGCAGACGCCTACCCGATTCACCTCTTGAGTATCTCAAGCCACAGAGACGTAGCAGCACGCTGCGCCTACGCAATCCCACGGCTAAGCATCCGCCGCTTCCGCGCAAACATCATCATCCAAGGACCCGCTGCATTTGCAGAAGACCACTGGAAGCGACTTGCCATTGGTGGGACGGAGATCCATGCTTCATGTCGGACTGTACGGTGTCGGTTGCCGAATGTTGATCCAGAGTCTGGAGATCGACATAAGGCCGAGCCGGATCGAACGTTAAAGGCGTATAGGCGGATTGATGATGGGGATCGGACTAATGCTTGTCTTGGGATGCAGCTTGTTCCTACTAAAGAGGCTTTTATGCTTCATGTTGGGGATGAGGTTCGGGTTCTTGAGACTGGGGAACATCGGTATATTAAGATGTTGGCGCCTGGTGAGGAGGTTGAGGGGGTTTGAATCGGTGGTTGAATGTGTATCATAGTTGTAGGATTAATTGACTGTAAGATTTGTACTTGTATTTTCGTGACATTTGTGAACTCCTAGAATAAACTTGCGGTTCGGGCCGAGATCTATGCTTGGAGATATCACGGTTAACTTATAGGTTACTTTGGTCCTCTCGAAAATGTCCAGAAAGGACACAAGGAATGGAGTAGAAGTTGAGCCTCCTGATAGGGTAAGTCTGTCTCAGGAAAAGGCGATGGATGCCTATTCGACAAAAATAGACGAAACAGATGGGCGATGCGCTTCCAGCCCTGAATATACGGGGCTGTGCTGGCCTTGGCCCAATTTACTTCCGCCCTGGGACTCTGTTCTGACACAATTTCGTCTCAACCAAAGCAATCATGGGTTTCGATTATTTTCGCGTGCGGGTGAATAATCTCACTCGTAAAAAAGGTATCTGAATTCTTTCGATCATATGCCATATGCCATATGCCATATGCCATCTTCGTCCGCAGCTACTAACAGGTCCTCTGCGAAAACAGATCCTAAACAATCTTCTAAAAAGTCTTCAGTTAAGACTGATTCATCTTCTGTTGCATCTGTGGCTGTACAGCCTTCTGAGGAACCTACTCCAGCACTTGTGCCTGTGCTCATCCAATCTTCAGATGATTCTGCTGCGCAGCCTTCTGAAGAACCTCCTGGATCTTCTGAGATACCTTCTGCAAAACCCGAGACATCTATTCCGAAGACTTGTATTCAAGATGAATTATCTGTTTCGGAGCCTGTCTCTGTGCCTACTTCCACCCAAGCCTCTTCGGATGTCCCGCAACAGTCAAACCGTCCTGAGGACGCCCCCAGAAGCCTGAACAACGAGCCCGATCTATGGCTTCGAGCGTACAAGGTGTTACAGGAGCAACAACCCGAGCTAATGAAAGCCTACAATACACATCTGGCATCCTTGCAACATGATCAAGAACATGGAAGCGGTATTCCGAATGAGAGTTCGGTGAAGTCAGTCGTGAATCAGCTACTGGATAATCGGGAGAAAAAGCAATACCGAGTGCCACTACTAAAGAAAGATGTGAAAATCCGAGATCAAGTCGAGAAAGTGGCAAGGTTCGTCCTCTGGTTTGACCCAATTGTCAAGAACGCGGTCAGTACTCAGCCATACGCAGCACTGGCATGGTCTGGTGCTTCTTTGCTTCTTCCGGTAAGTAAAATGATATACGCTGCCTGATATGCCATTGCCCGAGATAACTCTGACTCTGATAGCTCCTCACAAGTGGTTCCACAGAGAACGAGGCCATGTTGAAAGGGTTCAATTCGCTAAGTGATGTCCAACTGTACTGGCAGATCTGCGAAGAGAATTATCTCAAAAAGAAAGGTCTCGAAAAACAAAAGTATGAAAAGAAAGATCTCAATTACGAACAGCTGCTCGAGTGCTTGGTCAAGCTCTATACGCTCATCTTCGAATATCAGGCGCTTGTCATATGCCATCTCTCCAAGAAGCAGCGCTCGCGCGCTTGGGACGACATGACCAAGTCGACCGATTGGGTTGCGAAAATTACAGAGATTACCAAGTTGAGCGGTGACTACAGCAAGCTCATCGATCGTTATGAAGCAACGAAGATCAGTGAAATTCGGGATTCCAAGCTGGAACAGCTGAATTATTCCCGGCGTATCCTCGAAGACCTCCGGAATCTTGTTGAGGCTACCAGCAAGCAAAGCCAGGCGAACAACCAAGACCGATATGAGCGAGCCCTTCTCCAAGATTTTGCGCCTCGCGATGGAGGCTGGGAAGACCATAAAAATATCAATCCAACAAGGGTCAAGGATACATGCGAGTGGTTTTTCAAGGACGAAAGATTCCGCAAATGGCGCAACACCAACACCTCCAGTATCCTCTGGGTATCTGCCAGTCCTGGTTGCGGCAAATCGGTCTTGTCGCGGGCTCTGATTGATGAACAACACCTCTATAGGAGTGTGGCAACCACCGTTTGTTATTTCTTTTTCAAGGATGGAGCTGAAAATCGCATGCACGCCGCTGATGCATTGTCTGCAATTCTTCACCAACTGTTCGAGCATGACACCGAAAATCATTTGATCAAGTTTGCGCTTCCCAGTCATAGGGCACACGGTCAGAAATTGTCCACAAACTTCTCTGAGCTATGGCAAATTCTCCTGAAATGCGTGGAGTCGCCAAACACTGGCGAGATCGTTGTTCTCCTCGACGCCCTAGACGAATGTAAGAGTGAAAGTTGGAAGTCGTTGCTGGAGAAACTCGTCGAGTACTATTCCCAGCGCCCATCTGACCAACCCTCGAAGCTCAAATTCCTCATCACCAGTCGCCCATACGATGACATAGAGCTACAATTCAGAGAGTTTAATAAGGCTTCCACTTATTTTGCGTTTGATGCAGATGAAAATTCTGGTGAAATCGGCAAGGACATCGATAAAGTCATTGATGCAAAGATGGAAAACGATACAATTTTTGAGGAAAAAGACCGTCTGTTGATTGCCAAAAAATTGAAGACCATGGAACAACGCACATACCTCTGGCTGCACCTCACTTTCAACATAATCCAAGAAAGTCCCAGTTCATTTGAACAATGGCCTGATTTGGAAGAACTCCTTTCCAGTCTGCCTCAAAAGGTATCAGACGCATACGAAAAGATCCTCAGCCGAAGCAAGGATAAAAAACAGACAGCTGCTCTCCTCCAGATCATGTTGGCTGCGACGCGTCCTCTGACCCTTGACGAGGCGAACAGAGCACTCACGCTCGCTGTGAAACTGAAAACCTGCGATTCGTACACTACACTAGTGTCACGCGGTTGGCGTGAAGAAACGTTCGAGCAGAAGGTGAAAAACCTATGTGGCCTCTTCATCAGTGTGTATGACTCAAAGCTGTTCTTCATTCATCAAACAGCGAGGGAGTTCCTCATCCATCGTCCACAGCTAGGACAATGGGGGGGACAATTGGAAATGTCACAATCGCACGCCCAGATGGCTAATGTCTGTCTGCGATATCTCTCCTGTCTAGGCAAGAGCGAGTTAGAGTTAATCAATGAGGTGTACCAAGAGCTTTTTGAGGAAGATGAGGAGCCTGCAGTGAGTTTTCAAGAAATAATTGAAATGGAGATTGACAGAAAGCTTGCTCTCTCGCGGTATTCTGCACAGCACTGGGTGTACCATGCAAGTCATTCTAAAGATGAGGAAAGCATACAGGACAGTCTCTCGCAATTTCTACTCCCGCAGGGGCTATCTTATGTGATCTGGGGCAAAATTCATAATCCTGATCGATGTGATCAGGCAAGCCCCTTGTACCATGCATCCTCCGCTGGTCTACAGAATACAGCTCGGCTGTTGTTGGAGCAAGGAGCCAATCCCAATGCAATAGAACACCCACTTGGCAGTTCAATTCACGTTGCTTCTAAAAATGGCCACATTGGGATTGTGCAACTTCTGATAGGGAGCGGGGCCGACGTTAATGCAGTGGCGCCGCGCTATGGCATTCATGGCACTGCCCTTGAAGCTGCTTCAGCTGAAGGCCACATTGATATTGTGCAGCTGCTAATGGCGAAAGGGGCCGGTTTTGATGCAGAAGACCGTTACAGACGGTCTGCTTTTCGAGCCGCTTCAGCTGCAGGCCACATCGATATTGTGCAGTTGCTTATAGCGAAAGGAGCCGATGTTAATGCAGACGACTTTTTCCACCGGTCTGCTCTTCAGGCTGCTTCAGCTGAAGGCCACATCGATATTGTGCAGTTGCTTATAGCGAAAGGAGCCGATGTTAATGCAGACAACACTTTCCACCGGTCTGCTCTTCAGGATGCTTCAGCTGAAGGCCACATCGATATTGTGCAGTTACTTATAGCGAAAGGAGCCGATGTTAATGCAGGTGACGTTTTCCATCGGTCTGCCCTTCGAGCTGCTTCGGCTGAAGGCCACATCGATATTATGCAGCTGCTAATAGCGAAAGGAGCCGATGTTAATGCAGAAGACGTTTTCCATCGGTCTGTCCTTCAAGCTGCTTCGGCTAAAGGCCACGTCGATATTATGCAGCTGCTCCTAGAGAACGGGGCATATGTCAATTCCGCTTATAACAAATATGAGGGCTACAATGCTCTTATAGCTGCTTCTGAACGGGGTTACAAGGACATCGTTCAGCTGCTATTGGATAATGGCGCGAATTCCAATGCAAATGACGGTTGCGATAATGCTCTCATGCGTGCAGCCGAGCGAGGTCATATGGAAAGCGTGCAGCTGTTATTTGATTATGGTGCCAATTTCGACCTTCCCAACGATCTCCCTGGGCAAGACTTAAGTTCCCATTATTTTGGTAGCGGCTATATCAATGCCCTCGATGCCGCTTCTCGTTCTGGCCATGAAGAAATTGTGCAGCTGTTGTTGGAGAGAGGTGCGACTTGGCCAGAGAATAAATCATTGCGGCCTGGTTCCAGTGCAGATAATGCCAGTGCAGATAATGCCAGTGCAGATAATGCCAGTGCAGATAATGCCAGTGCAGATGACACCGGTGAAGATGATTCCAGTGTACATGATAGCGGACACCCATAGATCGTGATTATTTCAGCTTCACCTATCTGTATCATTTGCTTACATTTAATTTTGAATGTCCATAAAGTACTCTATCCGATCATTTATTGCAAGATGCAGTGGCTAAATATCATGTTCTGGTTACTTACTATTAGCAAAGCCGACAATATCATCCAAGCAGATATATTAGATCTATATATACTCCCTCTACATTGGTAAATGGCCGTTCTTTCCTCTCAAAAAGTGTAACTTTCACTGGGCCAAGCAAAGACTGCGCCAATTTAACGTTATATGCTCCACTCTGAGCTCCACATTAATACTTGATTGGATGCAGGTGGAACTATACAATAATCTCCAAGCAGGCTGGCTGCTCTATAATACTTGAATAATTAAAGCAGTATGTATTTATTTTGCACTAAATTGATAGACTGCAAATATGAGATGACATTGGGAATAGGTATTAAAAGAACCGCTAAAAGAAAGATATCGAGGCTAACCAACTCGCAAACCAGACAAACATTCAAGCACTAGCACTGGATGCAACAGGATGCTCCATCTTAGTAGTCGACTCATGGGCAGTAGTATCAACCTGAGTACGTCCATCATCAGACTCAGTCGAGTCCAGCATAGCAGGGACATCATCCGCCTCCTCGGGGATGAACAAGTTAAGGAAGATGCCCAGCAGGGCCGCAACAGCAAAGCCATTCTCCATGACCAGATCACAAGCATTCAGCAGACCCTCCAAGGCATGGTTATCACCGCTGTAGGTAAAGAAATAAGCGAACCACTCCGGGAGAAGAGTGACACCCATTCCAAGGGAGAAACTGGCAGTGAGAATGAACCGGTTGCGACGGGTGAACTCAACCGAGGCAATGATGCGCAGACCACTAACTGCCACGGAACTGAACAGGAAAGCAGTCATTCCACCGAGTACAGGGCTGGGGATGGAAACCAGCGCAGCGGCAAACTTGGAGAAGACACCCATGACAACCAAGAAGAAACAGCAGCAGTAGCCGGCTGTGCGGTTGGCACACTTCGTCAAGGCGATGACACCGTTGTTCTGTGCGAAGACGGACATAGGGCTGATAGTCATCAAGCCAGCAAGCAGACAGGTAATACCGTTACCCAGGACACCACCCTGGATACGGGAGTCGAAGGTAGCACCTTCAACCTGGAGGCGGGAGACATCGCAGGTAGCAGTGATATCACCGATAGACTCCATCATGATGACAATGTATAGCGCGAGCAGTGGGAGGATCAGAGGCGGGTAAACCGACAATGGGAACGTATGAACCCAAGCGAAAGAAGCCACAGGCGCAGCCGCAATACCAGAAGACTCGAAGTAGTTGCAGGCAGCTGCAACAATAGATCCAACCAGCAGACCAACAATCACAGAGCAACTCTTCAGAATTGGAGGACCCCAGCGCTCACAGATGATGATAGTAACAAAGACGAGGAATCCAAGACCGATGAACTCAGCACTACCCCAGGGTAGAGCGTGCGGCGCATCAGCACTAGGACACATACCCGGGTTAGAAGGATCAGCACCACAACCCGAGCCACCAGCCCAGTCGGTCATGGCAGACTTGATGAGCGAGGCACCGATGAGGAGGACGGTTGGGCCAGTGACGAGAGGGGGGAAGACGCGGGCGAGGATTCTGCTACTCATGAAGGACATGCCGATTTCGAGGAGGGCGCAGAGGCAGGATGTGCCGAGGAGGGCGCCGTAGCCTTTTGGGCAGGCGAGTTTTGTTCCGTCTTCGGCTGTGGGGCAGTATCCTGATTTGTACATCTGGGTGAAGGCGCCTTGGGCGACGGTGATTGTTGAAAATGATGTTCCTGGAGAAATGGTTAGGGTTGAGGAATTCGACTAGTGATTTGAGTATACATACCAACGACAGATAGCAGTCCAGTTCCAATATAGTATTTTGTTCCCTTAATGTGTAGCCGGAACATCTGAACAGCACTCAGAAGGCCCGAGACAATCAATGAAGTCGATACCAGGTATTGGTATAGTTCGTCGCCGAAGTTGACACCCGCTGAACCACCGAGCATGATGGGAGGTGAAATCACTATTTTCCTTTAGTTCCAAGTATAGCTTCGATATTTGATGTATCCACGCACCACCAGCCAACATTGCAAGCGCATGCTGCAACCCCAGGATCAAAGCCAGGACGACTGGGACGCGGTCCTCAAGACCGAAGAACGGAGCGGATTTGCGGGCCCGTTTCGTAAATGGTAACCGGGGAATAAATAGGTATGCATAGTCGTAATCTCCTAATAGGCCCTCCCTATGAACTGTCAGTCAACCAATTCCGCGTATTGTTGACAGTGTCGCATACCGAGTTGTGAAAGTCTTTGCGACATTGCGGAGTTTGTCGCTGAATGGGCGCTTAGGCGAATGGTCGGGGCCGATCTGATCTGGGCCGTCCATTGTAAATGTGATTGTATATTCTGTATGATTCTAAATACTAGATCAGGAACTAGACTTATATATGAGTCGAACCAAAAAAAAATAGCTCCATTCCGAACGTCGCTAACTAGAACCCACAGTGGAGATGACTAACAATGCGGAGAACGATAAGATGGGCGTGACCTCGTGTTATCGGGGCGAAATTGGTCAAAAAGTTCGAATTAGCAAGAGCATCGCATAACCAGCGCGAGCACTTGGCTCGAAACCGTTAGGCCCCGGCTTATCTGGTCGGAAGAGTGTTAGTCCCCAGCCAGTCATAGGTTAGTGCCAAGCATCTATCAAAGTGGAGAATGATAAGAATATTGAAGGTCTGTTTAGTCTGTAGTCCCATTATGTACTGCTATTGCTAGAAAATGATGCATTCTTAACAAATAACCACTGTTCATTGGTGAGTGTAAGCGATGGAGCCAGTGGACAGTGGGCCGGACTGGCTTACGCCACATGCTCCCAGCACGGTGGCTTTCGCATGGCCCTCCCGGGTTCGATCGAACTTTCTCTCGGCTATCTGTCTGGGGTTTATCTGCTGAGCATTTGGCACTCGGAGGCGGCCGTCAACAGTGGAAGGCGCCGACATCATGCTTTCACGCTATCAGGCTTCAGATATCGTGGATATTGATTCTTGATTATCGAGTAACAGATCGGATGCTGCGGTTATCTCGCGGGATAGGCATGGGTCGTAGATTGGAGCTGTTGGCTTTGTTCCATGGCGAGTGTGTGGTGATTGTCCATCGGATTGTCCATGGGGAACTGTCAGGCAGAACCATACAGGGGCATACTTCGGTATAGATGCTTCGGCATTCCCGAACCATTGTTCCAGAAAAGCATGTCGATCCCCTGGCCAGACTTCAAGCTGTGCAACTGCTTCGTGTTTGTCTTGCTTTCCTGGATTCAATAAATGTCCGGCCATGTGATGGTCACCTCGGCCATGATCTCGTTTCTCGATGAGGAGCTTGTGACTGCTGTTTGAATTCTTTTCTCTCTGTTGATCACTTCTGGCACTTGACACTGACGCATCGTTGAATCATGATCTGCTGGACCTGCTTGACCTCGCGATAAAATGGAATGGTTGATGTTAGCAATGATGTGACTTTGGTCACGAAGGTGACACGGTCTGTGCAGATCCGGAGACGGGAATGAAGAACTTGATTGTAACTGGAGGATCACTGCCAGGCATCTCTCAAACATTTTGTTGAATTGGGTGTGTTGTACTAAATGGCCATGACTTCATTGGTATCACCGAGGTCAACTCCAGGGCTGTAATCGAGGTTTCGCGAAATGCCGATCAATTACGGATACAGTCCATTGCATTCTGTAAGGCACAGGGCATACAATCCTTGTATGGCGGGTATTTGCCTCCAGACAGGGAAATCCGCAGAAAGAGTACAATGATTGGATGGTACTAGTGGCCTTATCCCTAAGAATTCCGACGAAATGCTGACATAAGATAGCTGACATAAAGTCTTACATAAGCAAACACCTTGCTGATCTAAGATTTGCCATCGCTCTCCGCCAATCACAGCTGGAGGAAAGCGTTGGGGCTGGCCGGACCCAACAGTCGCCGGAAACTGAGGCACGCCACTCAGAAGAGCAAGTTCTATCGGGGGAAGCTTATAATTATTGTCTTCTTTCTCTCTTGACTGCCTCGGGAGCTTGTGATGGTCAATGTCTTCATCCTTTTGATTCGTCTTTGATTCGTCTTTGATTTGTCTCTGTGCCAAGTTTCCCCATATCCGATCACCGTCTCCCCAACGTTGGTCCCAAGTGGGCCCCAAGTATAAAAAGCCCTCTCCTCCTGGGTTCCCAATCTTCAACACACTCATACACCATGTCGTCGAAGGTTGATGCCTCACGCCCGCGGGCGGCTGAGACCAAGAAGGTGCACATTGCCGATACTCAGATGACTCGCCAGAACTGGTACAAGCATGTCAACTGGCTCAATGTCGTTCTGATCCTCGGTGTGCCTCTTTCCGGCTGCATCCAGGCCTTCTGGGTGCCTCTGCAGCTGAAGACTGCCATCTGGGCCGTTGTTTACTACTTCTTCACTGGACTGGGAATCACTGCTGGTAAGTTGAAATGATTCGAGGGGGCAGAGAACAGAAGCTGACTGTCTTTTTCCAGGTTACCATCGTCTCTGGGCTCACTGCTCTTACTCGGCCACTTTGCCTCTCCGTATCTGGCTCGCTGCCGTCGGCGGCGGTGCTGTTGAGGGTTCCATCCGTTGGTGGGCTCGGGATCACCGTGCGCACCACCGTTACACCGACACCGAAAAGGACCCATACTCTGTCCGCAAGGGTCTCCTGTACTCGCACCTGGGATGGATGGTCATGAAGCAGAACCCCAAGCGAATTGGCCGTACCGATATCAGCGACCTCAACGAAGACCCCGTGGTCGTCTGGCAGCACCGCAACTACCTCAAGGTCGTCCTCACCATGGGATTGATCGTGCCCATGCTCGTCTCCGGTCTCGGCTGGGGTGACTGGTGGGGTGGCTTTGTGTACGCCGGTATCCTGCGTATCTTCTTCGTGCAACAGGCTACTTTCTGTGTCAACTCCCTGGCTCACTGGCTCGGTGACCAGCCCTTCGATGACCGTAACTCTCCCCGTGACCACGTCATTACCGCCCTGGTCACTCTCGGCGAGGGGTACCACAACTTCCACCACGAATTCCCTTCGGACTATCGCAACGCCATCGAGTGGCACCAGTATGACCCGACCAAGTGGACCATCTGGACCTGCAAGCAGCTCGGCCTGGCCTATGACCTGAAGCAGTTCCGCTCCAACGAGATCGAGAAGGGTCGTGTGCAGCAGCTCCAGAAGAAGATCGACCAGAAGCGCGCCAAGCTCGACTGGGGTACCCCGCTGGACCAGCTCCCCGTCATGGAGTGGGACGACTACGTCGAGCAGGCCCAGAACGGCAGAGGCCTGATCTCCATTGCCGGTGTCGTCCACGACGTGACCGACTTCATCAAGGACCACCCCGGTGGCAAGGCCATGATCAAGTCTGGTCTGGGCAAGGACGCGACCGCCATGTTCAACGGTGGTGTCTACTACCACTCCAACGGAGCCCACAATCTGCTCTCCACAATGCGTGTCGGTGTCATCCGTGGCGGTGGTGAAGTCGAGATCTGGAAGCGTGCCCAGAAGGAGAACTCCGAGTATGTTCGCGACGACTCAGGTCAGCGTATCATCCGTGCTGGCATGCAGGTCACCAAGATCCCCGAGCCCATTCCCACTGCGGATGCAGCTTGAACTGATGATATGTTTTGATCTTGCATTTGTGGGTTCGGGGTTGGCGTTTCTTTTCTCTTCATTCCAGTCTTTTCAAAAGCGGCCTGTGACGCACTTCTTAGATAATTTCATGAATTAGAAACGAACTTTTTATATGATTCAATCATTCAATCAGATGAACTGTAAACTGCAACGTTAGTTTAGTATTGGAGGGGTGTAAACACGAAGAACATCGCAGACTTGAAAACTTCGAAAGGCGGGGATTTGCCTCTTTCACATGCCAGTGCCCCTTTAATTACACGTCAAAACACCGCCTCTGCACTTTGTGAACAGCTGTAAATTCATATACTACAGTAGAGGTCCTGTCAGTCTCTCGTCCCTTTCCTCTCTCCAACGATCTTGTCAACCACATCTTCGTGTGTCTCTCTCCTCCCTCCTGGCTAGATCTATCATCTCTCTCCCTTCACCTGTCAGGCTGTCACCTATGCTGTCTCAAGCCAGGACCATCTTCCGCAAGCTTCGTGGTAGTAACAGCCGTAGTAGCCGTGGCAAGGAGCCCGCGCCATCCGCGCCGGCCACAACGGTAGAGAGCGGAATTGTTGACCCATCCCCTCGCGCCATCCATGTTAGCGATGCGAAGCGGTCACCCACCAAGCTCCCCCGTAAGCCCTATTCCGATGCACAGTCCATAACCATGATCGTCGTGGATACTAAAGGCGCCACCGACTACTGGAAGTTGTATAGGGTACGTACCTAGCGTAATATGCCCCGAGTACCTTTAAGCTTACCTCGCGCGGTTTATTAGCTACTCCTAAGAGAGAAGAAATACGGCTACGAGTTCGACCCTACAGACGAGCCCGAGACAGATTACTTTTGCGGCAATTATATCTATAATGTCTGCTTTATCCCGCCTAGCACCTCAAGTGCTTACTACTGCCTTATGCAACATATCTGTCTCGTCTTCACGTACGACGCTTCATCGAGGGACTCGTGGGACGAAGTAGTCGCCGTCTACGAGAGGATACGTAACCGCTACAAAGACGGGGTCCTTCCCTTTCTTACGATAATGATCGCCGCTATAGACGAAGGTGAAGCCTCCGTGTCGCACGCGGAAGCCGAGGCGTTTGCAACCCAGCGGGACTATCTCTTTATTAAGTTCTCGCCTACAACTGGGCGCGGCATCTGCGATGCGGTCGGCTTGGTAGTTGAACTGGCGTATGGCGCTCGTGATCAATATACTATGGATAAGAAGGGTTATGCCCAGAGGTATAAGAGGGGCGAAACATTGCAGGCATTATTTCGTAGCTAGGAAGACCTAGCTCAAGACAGATATCATTATAGATAGATATGATACCTACCGCCGCTAAGACATAGGGAAATACAGCAAATATATTTAGTGTGACGCTGTTTCACCTGCACTTACACTTAGTTTGCCGTATTAGCGGCGTATTTATATACTGTATAACGTAATTCCTGGCCTAGCGAGACACCTCATCAGGTCCATGGACGGGCCTTAGAAGAAAAGGCCTATTGTGGGCATGCCCAACCTCCTATGCTTCCTGCCAAAAACAGATGTCTCCTTTCTTTTTTACCTTTAGCCTTGGTTAACTTGGTATCGCATTATACCAAGCTATAACAATGGCCATTATATATCAGTGATCAAACGAACCAAATAATGCTTTTGATATAGCCATTATAGCAAAGAGACTCTTTACTTCCATTCAAGTTTACAGAAAAACATTATCTATAGCGGGAAATTCCTCTGTACTTCGTCGTCGACCGACTCGAGTTGGGCTTGTCATCACGTGCAGCAGTTGACTTGGGTGTCCGGGCTCGGGGTCGATTTAGTTCCTGGGAAGGAGCTAATCGCACCTCACGCAAAACTAAGTCACGGCTCGATGGGGTGGCCTGCCAATCTGGTTTCCTGCCTTAGCGCAGTGTAGTCAGCTGATGGTGAGAACTAAGGACGTGTGCCCCTCCTTCAGCTGAGACTCGGGCAGCGTCCCTTCATAGATACAGACAACACATATTTATCATGGCATCGATATCGTTCCCTGGCAACAACCATGGGATCCAGGTCGGAGATAACCATGGCTCAATCAATGCAGAGTTCCATCTGCCTCCGGGTAAGTTGCAGGAACGGAACAAGTTCACGGATCGTGACTGATCGCCGCGTCCCACCCTAGTGCGACCAGAAACTCCACCCAGCCCTCTATCGACTGTCCCGTTCGCGCGCGATCCGGACTTTGTCAGTCGCGACATCCCCTTTCATTGGATCCACGAGAAAAGCTTAGTGCCAGGGTCGAGAATAGCGCTGGTCGGCCTCGGCGGTGTTGGGTGAGTGTAGAGTGACTAGTTTGTGGTTGATTGCTCATAACTCGAAGGAAATCGCAACTTGCCATCGAATACTCCTACCAGGTTCGGTCCGAATCGCCGGCGACGTGGGTCTTCTGGGTCCACGCAAGTAACGAAGCTCGGTTCGAACAAAGTTTCCGAGATATAGCGGACCAGGTTAAAATCACGGGTCGCCAAGATCCGCAAGCCAATATATTCAAGCTCGTCGAAAACTGGCTCCGGGATGAGAAGAGAGGAAGATGGGTTCTTATCCTTGATAATATTGATGTTTATGAGGTCCTTCATAAGTCTCCAGCGAGAGGCCAGAGAGACCAGAAGAACAATCTAATAGACGCCTCCACAAAGCCACTATTGGAATACCTTCCTAGAAGCTTACATGGATTTGTTATTATCACGACTCGGTCTAGAGAGGTTGCCTTGAAAATGGTCCATCACAAGGACCTCTTTGAACTCGAACCGATGAAAAGGCCCGAGGCGCTTAAGCTTCTCCAAAGAAAGCTTGAGCAACCAGGAGAAAGCCAAGAGAGTCAACAATTAGTGGAGGAGCTTGAGTTCATGCCGCTAGCGATCGTACAGGCCGCTAGCTATATTCGAAATCTGGCACCTCGTTATTCCGTTTCGCAGTACCTACGAGTCTTCCAGAAAAGTGACCGCGAAGCAACTAAGCTTCTAAAAACAGACGCGAATGACCTCTACCGGGACTGGGAGGCAGAGAACTCGATTTTGGTGACATGGCAAATATCATTCGATTACATTCGCCGAACAAACCCGTCGGCGGCGAGTTTGCTTTCTCTTATGAGCTTTTTCGATCGGCAAGAGATTCCAGAAGACCTTCTTCAGGTACAGCCTGAGAGTAGCCATTTATCAAGGTCGGAGTTTTTGGATGACTCTAGTGAAGATGGGCAGGTATCTGAATCTGATACAGTCGACAATTTTGAGAATGATATTGCAACACTTAGGGATTTTTCGTTCATCTCTGTTAGCAAGAACGGAACATTTTTTACAATGCACCGGCTAGTGCAACTGACTATACGTTCATGGCTAAAGTCTCATGGTCAAACGGAACAATGGAAGGAGAAGTTTATCAGCAACCTTTACCACAAGTTCCCCACCGGTCACTATGAAAACTGGGAAATATGCCGACGGCTATTTCCTCATGTGAAAGCAGCGATGTCGCAGCGACCAGAATCAGATAAATCTTTACGAGATTGGGCTACGCTACTTTATAATGGCGCATGGTACGCGTCGCTTAGCGGTATCCTCGCGGATGTGAGAGATATGGCGTCAAAATCAAGGAAACAGAGGACAAAACTACTAGGTGCAGAAGATGAAGAGACCCTTAACAGTACTGCGATGCTAGCGACAGCATGGTCCCTTGAGGGACACTGGAAGGAAGCCGAGAGGCTCGAAGTGCAGGTGATGGAGAGCCGTAAGGCTCAGCTCGGCGACGACCATCTCTCCACCCTGACTAGTATGGCCAACCTCGCGTCGACATACAGGAACCAGGGCCGGTGGGAGGAGGCCGAGAGGCTCGAGGTGCAGGTGGTGGAGAGTCGTAAGGCTCAGCTCGGCGACGACCATCACTCCACCCTGACCAGTATGACTAACCTGGCCGCGACATATAAGAACCAGGGCCGGTGGGAGGAGGCCGAGCAGCTCCAGGTGCAGGTGATGGAGAAGAGCAAGATGAAACTTGGTAACAACCATCCTAACACGCTGACGACTATGGGCAACCTGGCTGCGACATTTTGGGACCAGGGCCAATGGGAGGAGGCCGAGCAGCTCGAGGTCCAGGTGATAGAGATGAGCAAGACTAAACTCGGCGACGATCATCCCGCCACCCTAATTAGTATGGCCAACCTAGCAGTGACATACAGAAACCAGGGCCGGTGGGAGGAGGCTGAGTGGCTCGATGTGCAAGTGATGGAAACGAGCAAGACGAAGTTTGGCGACGAGCATCCCTCCACGCTAATTAGTATGGCCAACCTAGCGTCGACATACAGGAGCCAGGGCCGCTATGATAAAGCTGAGAGCCTCGACGTGCGGGTGATAGAGGCTCGTAAGGCGAAGCTTGGCGACGACCATCCCGACACACTGAATAGCATGGCTAGCCTGGCGATGACATACAGGATCCAGGGCCGGTGGGAGGAGGCCGAGCAGCTTGAGGTGCAAGTGATGGAGACGAGCAAGACGAAGCTTGGCGAGCAGCATCCTGACACGCTGATGAGTATGGGCAATCTAGCGTCGACGTTTTGTGACCAGGGTAGGTGGGAGGAGGCCGAACGTCTCGAGGTGCAGGTCATGGAGGCTCGCAAGATAAAGCTCGGCGGTGATCACCCTAACACGCTGGCGAGTATGGCCAACCTAGCGGCGACATTTTGGAACCAGGGCCGGTGGGAGAAAGCCGAGCAGCTCTTTGTGCAGGTGTTGGAGAGGAGTAAGACCAAACTCGGCAATAACCATCCCGACACACTAAGGGGTATGGGCAACCTCGCGTCGACATACAGAAACCAGGGCCGGTGGGAGGAGGCTGAGCAGCTCGAAGTGCAGGTGATGGAAACGAGCAAGATGAAGTTTGGCGATGAGCATCCCTCCACGCTGATCAGTATGGCCAACCTAGCGTCGACATATAGGAGCCAGGGCCGCTATGATGAAGCCGAGATGCTCGAGGTGCAGGTGATGGAAGCTCGCAAGGCAAAGCTCGGTGACGACCATCCCTCCACATTGACGAGTATCGGCAACCTAGCGTCAACGTTTTGGAACCAAGGCCGGTGGAAGGAGGCCGAGCAGCTCCAGGTGCAGGTGATGGTGATGAGCCTCACGAAGCTCGGCGAGGACCATCCCTCCACGCTGACCAGTATGGCTCATCTTGCTTTCACCTGGAAATCCTTAGGCCATGATGCTGATGCCATCCATTTGCTACGAGATTGCTTAACCAAGCAGAAGCAAAAAATAGGCGTCAACCATCCCACTACTGTATCTAATTCTCAAACATTGTTGGAATGGGAAACGGAGGGCATAAATATCCATGCCTAGAGAAGCTAGATACCTGAATATCACATGTTTGGCTACCTAGCAATTTCCTCTTTATACACTAAGCTCAAAATGGCTTTCTCATGATAGATTGACAACATGCTAACTACTCGAAAGTGATTACCATCATCTCTTTAGTGAACGTTGCTGCCAAGATAGAATTGTGATCTGTGCATTTGACTGACCTTGCTTCAATAGATCTAGGAGTATTGATCAATCAAGAAACCAAAAAAGATGTTTTTTCCTTTACTTACTTCCACCGTGGTTCTACTGTATGTTTCCTGTATAGAAGCTATGAATGCCAAGACCACTAACACCCCGCAATTGCCCAGTGAGCTTCGGATCACCTGACAACAACTCCAACTACGGACGTACACCGCCATCCCCCGCCATCATAGCTTTCATTCGTCATTTCTTCGTCGCTCTCATCGCCATCCTCACCGTGGCGCCCCTCCTCCGCCTCCGCCTTTCATCCGTGCTGGGCCACTTGCGTACCACCACGCCAGTACGATTCTTGACAACCTCCAGCATGGCTCCCTCCCACCTCCGGAAGCCTCCCCAGGCCCCGCCTATCTTCACTGCTACCCCACAGTCGGTGGTAGCAGATGCCGAGCGTCTGATCAAAACCTCCCGTGCCATCCAAGACAAGCTGGTGGCTGAGATCAAGCCCGAAAACGCCACCTTTGCCAACGTCGTCCGTCCCCTCGCTCAAGATGACAACGTCATGGGACTAGAGGCACACATTCTGGGCTTCTACCAGGCTGTCTCCACCGACTCAAAGCTGCGTGATGCCTCGTCCAAGGCTGAAGAGCTCATGGACGAGTTCTTCATCGAGGCCGTCATGCGCGAGGATGTCTACAATCTGTTTGACTCTGTGCTGCGCCGGAACGAGTCTCTCGACCCCGAGTCCCGCCGTCTGTTGGAAAAGGAACATAAGGATTTCGTCCGCAATGGCCTTGGTCTGCCCGCTGGGCCTCAGCGGGCCCGCTTCAAGGAGATCAAGAAGCGTCTGAGCCAGCTGAGCATCGAATTTCAGAAGAACCTGAACGAGGAGAACGGCGGTATCTGGTTCACCCCCGAGCAGCTGTCCGGCGTGCCCAATGATGTGCTGGACGGTCTTAAGAAGGGCGAGAACGAGAATGCTGGCAAGCTGTGGCTGTCTTTCAAGTACCCCGACCTTTTCCCTACCATGAAATACGCTAGCGACCCCGAGACCCGTAAGCAGGTCATGATCGCCAACGAGAACAAGTGCAACCAGAACGTACCGCTATTCCGCGAAGCCATTGTGCTCCGTGACGAGGCTGCTCGTCTGCTCGGCTACCCCAACCACGCTGCCTTCCGCATCGAGGATAAGATGGCCAAGACCCCCGAGACTGTCAACAAGTTCCTGGGTGATCTTCGCAACCGCTTGACTGCTGGCGGTAAGCAGGAGATGGAGAAGCTGCGCGAGTTGAAGAAGGCCACTGATCCTAACTCGGATGGCCGTTACTACCTGTGGGATCACCGTTTCTATGACCGTCTGATGCTAGAGAAGGACTACTCTCTGGATCAGCAGCTCATTGCTGAGTGGTTTCCCCTGCAGACCACTATTGAGGGCATGCTGAAGATCTTCGAGGAGCTGTTCGGTCTGGAGTTTGTTGAGATTGTTGGTGAGGACCGTGCATCTCTTGCCCCGACTGGCCAGGGCGATGACATCGTCTGGCACGAGGATGTGCAGGTCTTCAGCGTATGGAACGACGAGGGTGAGGGCAATGGTTTCGTCGGATATCTCTACCTGGACCTGTTCCCTCGCGAGGGCAAGTATGGACACGCCGCCAACTTCAACCTGCAGCCTGGTTTCATCGACAAGGACGGTAACCGCCGTTTCCCCGCCACCGCATTGGTGTGCAACTTCACCAAGCCCCAGCCCAAGAAGCCCAGTCTGCTGAAGCACGACGAGGTGGTCACCCTCTTCCACGAACTGGGCCACGGTATTCACGACCTGGTCTCCCGAACTATCTACTCGCGCTTCCACGGTACCAGCACAGTGCGCGATTTCGTCGAAGCACCCAGCCAGATGCTTGAGAACTGGTGCTGGACACCCTCGCAACTGCGCTCCCTCAGCCGACACTACTCAACCTTATCCCCCGAGTACCTTGCCAGCTGGCAAGAGGCCCAGCAGTCCCGCAGCGGCGGCAAGACTGCCACTGGCCCACCACCAGAGCGTATCCCCGACGATGTGATCGAGAACTTGATCCGCACCAAGCACGTCAACGATGCTTTGTTCAACTTGCGCCAGCTCCACTTTGGTATCTTCGACATGACCATCCACGAGCCCAAGAGCCACGCCGACATTGAGGCTCTTCCTCTGTCTGCTACATACAACCGTCTCCGCCAAGAGATTACCCAGATGGACGGACCAGAAGCTCTAGGCGCTGGCAGCGAATGGGGTCACGGCGAGGCCACCTTCGGACATTTGATCGGTGGCTACGATGCCGGATACTATGGATATCTGAGGTGAGACTCCCTAACCGGCGATCTGTATATCTATACCGTGCTAACGATTTTCTTCTGCAGCTCCCAAGTCTACTCCACCGACATGTTCTACACCGTCTTCAAGGACGACCCCATGAATAAGGCCGCTGGCCGTCGCTACCGCTACCAGGTTCTGGAGAAGGGTGGCAGCCAGGACGAGATGAAGACCTTGACTGAGTTCCTGGGTCGTGAGCCTCAGACTGATGCTTTCTACAAGGATCTCGGTCTGGCGTAAGGTCGCAGTTGAAGCAATCAGAGATTAACAAATACAATATATCATTAGCATATTAGAGAGCTACCCGAATTACTCTCAATTACTTGCATCAGAAACAGCAATTAACTACTCCGTATGAATATAGATCTAGGCGATAACCGATAAGCCCACCGCCTCTGCAATTCTGCAACTCAGCTCTTTTGCGACTTGTAATTCGGATCTCACACCTTTCTTTCGCCGAGAGAATAAATTTACTTTTACGGCTTATATCTCGTGAGTAATAGTCGCCTCCCTTAGCAAATGTCATGCCATCTAGGCAGGTCCCGCGGAAGACCAAACCACTAACCAACACCACAGCGCCTACACCTAGACGCCGCACCTTTACAAGACAGCAATCATAATCGCAGTGACAAACAAACACTCGACAATCAAAAGACATAACACAATCCCAAAATGGCCGAACCAACAACCCAACGCCACCAAATCCACACCCAACACTGCCGCTTCTGCAACCACCTCCTGCTAGCAACAACACGCGACATACCAACCCTCCCACGACGCAGCGGCGAAGGCAAAGACAACGCCCTAATCCTCCCACTAGAGCGCACCAACGAAAGCGAACTAGAAGCCGAGCTGGAAGCCGAAGCGCAATCCACTTCCAATTCCAATTCCAATTCGACTCAAGGTCAAGCTCAAACGGGCAAAACTAGACAATCCTCCAACCATACGACCCTCCTTCTCGCAACTACGATTCCAGATCGGCGTGCGACACTTATTAGGCGTGAAGATGGGATTGAGAAGAGGGTTTTGTTGAGGTGTGGACGGTGTCGGGTTGTCGTGGGTTATTATTTGGATGAGGTGCATTATGCTACTGCTGTCACTGGTGGACAGGAAGAAGGGGAGAGGCCGCGGGCTGTTTATCTTCTTCCCGGGTCTTTGGTTGGGACTGAAGGGATGGGAGGTGAGGGGGTTGGAGAGGGAGAATGGAGGGAGTGGATTGTTTAGTTTAGATATTGGAGAAGAAAGAAGTGGAAGAAGTGGAAGAAGTGCATGGTTACATATAGGTGGAACGATACCCTCCTCTCGAGACAAAAATACAGAAGAGATAATTTGATAAAAAACATACAAGACGAAGTATTCCAACACGCCAAATCAATTCCTCAAGCCATAGCCATAGCCATATCCATAAACGTTAAGTCAATCATATCAGGGTATCAGTTGGCAAGGATAGTGCGAACGAGATCTGTACTGGTTAGTTCACTGCCCATATACACGGGATACTGCATTCTGTCCAACATACCAGTGTAGTTAATCTCGCCAGAGCTAGTATCAACAGCCTTGAGCAGCTCATCGACCTCATCATCGGACATCTTCTCGCCGAGATTCGTGAGGACTGCATCGCAGTTAGCATCCAGTCCACAGTGCGCAGAGCGTACAGAGAAACATACTGTAGCGCAACTGTCCAACACCAATAAAGCCAGTCATATCCTTATCGAAAACCTGGAATCCACGACAATATTCCTCCGGTTCACCGGGCTCACGGAAACCACCAGGACGGTTAAGGACCTTCAGGAAGGAATCGAAGTCGACTGTTCAAGAACAATGTTAGCCAAATCCACCAAACACTCCATCCAATCCAACCAGCAACCAGAGCAGGACGGGGTAGGGCAAGACAAGGCGCGCATCATCGACCATCGAACAATGAAAGAATGCCAGGAATTCACATACAGTCACCACCAACAGACTTCTCCAAATCGCCAATCTCAGCCAGAGTCGGGTTCTGCCCGCAAGCGCGCAGCAGATCGCCGAGGAGGTCACCAGCGACACGGCCAGTGCCACGGCGATCGAAGAGCGAGAACGCTTCCTTGTAGTTGGTAGAGGCCTCGTGTTTGTTAGCCATGATGAAGGAACCACGAAAGAGTGAAAAAGCGAGAGTGTGGTGAATTGCAAGGGCGTCGAAAGGGATCGAGATGGAGGGGGAAGGGGTATCCGGGGACCGGGATCGGGAACGCGGATTACATCAGGGAAGGGGACAACATTGACTCACCATATTTGATGCTTTTGCTGTTCGACTGTAGGGGCTTTGATCTGGACAAATATGCGGACTGCGGACTGCGGATTGTGGATTGTGGATTGTGGACAGATGTTGGGGGGAGACATTGGTAGGGGATCGGCGGTTGTTAGGGCAACGGTGTTAGACTACTCTATGTATACAATAGCGTCATCTTGCGAGTTTGAACTGGTTTATATAGAAGAATATACAATTATCTGGATATCAAAGGTACATCATACATACTGCTACGACTGTAGCTTTGCGATACAGCTGTCCAGCAGCCGCGCCGCTTCCCCTAGTAACTCCCACCGCGGTTTGGCGAATGAGTCTCGGAGGATCATTAGCAGACCAAGACACCCATTACGACCTGTCAGCCCCTCTAACTCGTTGGGTTCCCGTATCTGGCTCATGCGATGCAGGAATAGCTGCATGTCTTGTTGTCTGTCGGCCTGTGTGGCGAGCACTGGTGCTGGACGCAGGGGTCCGTCCAACGCGTACCCGTACGTCCAGACCACCAATGCAGCGAAATACATCACCCATGGCCGATTGAGGAGGTAATCATCGCGGGCGGCGTATTCACCCGGCTGGGTGGCCGGGTCAAGGAAGCAGGTAGAAAGGAATTTGAGCGCGTAAAAGGTGGCATCGCGGGCTGAGGCTTTGGTCGCCCATCGATTAGTTTTCTCCTTTGCGCTGTGGTAATCGCGTGCTGTAATTGAGCGACCCATTAGTCGGCCTGCGCCTGCGAAAATTTGCAGATCGACTATGTCGACGTGGGAGGCCATGTGGGCCAAGCCGTGTAGCACGTCGCGCGACTCGGATGTCGTCGATGGACCCAGGGCTTCGTCGACGTCGCGTCGCCAGTTATCGAATGCTCGTAGTAGCGACGAACGCCATTTATCGCGTCCGCCGAGCGTCTGTCCTACGCCTAGCGAGCTGATCTGCAGATCTCGCTGGTTCAGATGCCAGCAGACACTCAGCAGGCCTGCCATGAGGATAATCCGTCCGAACGCGTTCGTTCGGACTGGTTGTCCGTTGAGCGTGCGTTTCAGGCCGTCCAAAAACATGATCGGCCGTACACCGTGTGACTGCAGGCTGGACTGGACCCGAGCCACCTCGGCTGCACTGGTTGCCGCCCACAACGCCTCGTCACAGGGCAATGGGAGTCGTAATTCGTGAGCTACCATTTTGGCCGAGTGTCCAAACATAGTTGCATGTGTAGAATCAAGCACAAAAGCGGCAAAAGCCACACGGCGGGTCGCCTCAGCCTTGATCCAGGTTGACCATGACTCGTCTTCTTCCTTGGTGTCTGGCGTATCGAAAGAAGAACTGCCGATCAACGAACTACCTCGGCGCATAAGAGTGAGTGTCGTATCGTGATGGATATGAGCGCGCTCATGCAGCGCACGTGTCGAAAAGAGCTTCTCATAGACCTCCAGTAGTAAAAGCGACTGAAATACCCACAGTCTAGCAGGTGGCCGGAAATCCGCGTCCATAAAGATCTCCCAACGTAAATGCCACGCAATAAAGCTGGCCAGCTCAGCAGCCGATTCAGTAGCAGCCTCTCCGTGAATTTTATCCAATGTTGCGGCCCCAATGGCCATAATTGCCAAGAGTAAAAGCGCCGGCGTCCGATCTGCAGCAAAAGTGGGCTGATGCAAGATCGGCAACTGTGCATGAAAATGGTACCAATAAGAACCAATATACGTCTGCATCATGCGCAGACTGAGGACATGTCGGTCATTATTCAAATCCCCCTCCATCAACGCATCCTTCCGCTTAGCACCGGCTGCATACGCCGCCTCGTTGAACCGCGTTGACATCAAGTGCAGTAATTCCTGTCGCTTCTCTTCTGAAATGATCGAAGGCGGCGCCCCCGAGTCTAGAATGCTGGTTACACTCATGGGATGTTGCGGGATCACCGTACAAAAGTTATTGTACGAGGGCTCGTTCATGTAGAACTGATTCTGGACCATCGGCACCATCCCATACCCCAGCGGCGCGAGTGGCTCGCTGAACAACCATGCCGCAAAGTCATCTGCCATGGCAAAAGGCGATCTGTTATAAGTTTCGCCCCCGAAGATGGGGTAGGACATGGAATCGAGGTCGATGAGGTTATCCGGCTGGTCCAGCACAGTGGGGAAATCAGAGTACTGCGAGACGGGTATTTCAGTCGTCTCGATTCCAGTGGTAATCGGAAAGGTGGTCGCAGATGGCTTGGGCGTCTCGGAGCCAATGAAGTAGTCCGGGGCCGTGATCGCAGGCGAGGAAGCAGGCGAGGTTTTGGTAGCGTCATTATCGGTGTAGTGATCGCGCTTCTGCAGCTGGGAGCCACTGGTGGTGTGACGTTCGCGATGGCGAATGCAGAGGTCCTGTCGCACGAAAGACCGATAGCAGTTTGGAAAGTCGCAGCGGTAGATTTGTTTCGGGGTGTGGTTGAGCGCATGGCGACTCAGGTGTTCGGCGCGCGAATAGCTCTTCCCGCAGCCTTCGAAGGTGCATTCGAACTTGCGATCGGAGAGGACTTTGCGGCTGCGTCGGCGACGCTTGGAGGGATGATCGTCAGTCTCCATTCTCATGCCATGAGGGAGGAAATCCTCGGGATGCCGATCCACGTGGGAGGGAGAAGAGATCAAACTCGGCAGTCAAAAGGCGTCCGGGGGAAGTGCGGAGATGTCGGTGGGGCTGTGGCGGAGGTGACAACTTGCTAGACGGCAACTTTAGTCGTCTATATACAGCATGTCTGAGATAAATACGGTACAACAATTAATTAATGTATATTTGTATTCCACGGCGCATTCAAACCGTCACCTATAGTGAGATTTAGCCCGTAGTCGTGGGCTTACCCTAAACCAGCAGTGTACCAGCTACCTGTTGAGAGGCTGAACCGTAATATGCAACCAAGAACTGGCTTAGTGGCGCAGTGGTTAACGCATCGCACTTGTAATGCGGAGATCCCGAGTTCAACTCTCGGCTGAGCCTCGTTTTTTGTTCCAAATTTTTTATATACGTACTACCTACTATGTTAATGGCTTTTTTTTTCCTTTTGTCCTGATCAACTTGGAGACCGGGCTTGGTAATGTTTCGTAAATCAATTGGCCTTCTGAGGTTTCGTAGGAATTTCCTATTCCTAAATTAACTAGAGTCGGAGTAACCATCTTCTTCTGGCGCATAATCCTGAACAAATATCTTCATCAATGCCCGCTTGGCGCAGTGGTAGTCGCGCAGCACTTGTATAGTAGATTATTCTCCTCTCTCAAGACTATGCTGAGGTCCTTGGTTCAATCCCGAGAGTGGGCTTATCCAATCCCGGTTCATGGGAGTGGGTTCTTTTTTTTTATTGCGTTAATAATACATATATAATCCCGCCAATTGGATACACAACTATGGATCTAGTCTATTTGGTTAGAACTGAAAGAGATAGGAGATAGTTTGTGTATTCACAAGAGTGTGAAGTATATACATATATATAGTCTGTACTTCGTACACAAACCGGATAATGTATAGCAATTCAAACCTCTCCCCCCTACTCTTGCCAATTGTTGACTAGGGAGTACTAGAAGCCCCTAAATATATTAGAACTGCTCCTTAAACATCACCTGACCGTTACGTACGCCAGATGACAATGACCGGGCCTGACCGGCACTCAAGACTGCATCTAACTCGGCTAGCCCTGTAGCGGAGCAGACTTCACCGGGCGACGAGGTAACGAAAAGTGAGCAACTATCGCGAATCAAGTACTTGGAAGCCTTACTCTAGAAGTAGATGGCTTCCCAAGCTGGAACACCCACCGGTGGCGCGCGCTGTACTCTATACCGACGCCATAGTCACGCCTAGGGCTACCAACTGCCAATCAAACTCCTAGGAACTACGGTCAAAACAGGACCTAGTCTAAATTAGCTAAGTCGTAAACAATACTCGATAGTCGACCATAACTCAGTAGTCGATTGTCGACCGTAATGCAGTAGTAGATTGTCGACCGTAATGCAGTAGTAGGTTGTCGACCATAATTTTAGCAGTAGATTCTCGCTGCCCAGGTACATAGTCATATGTTTCCTCTTCTTACAAGCTTGTTTGAATATATCTACCTGCTTTCAAATGTCCCTATCCACCGAAGCTATCGTCGCAATTATTGCTTTGTTTATCGCCGTCGCTCAACTGTTTTACACCATCTGGAAATATATATCTAAAGGAGAACTAAGCATAGAACCAGGTGAAAGATTCCTTAAGGTTATGGGAATGTATTTACTAATATTTTTTTTATAGCTCGCTCGACTGCGGCCCTGCCTTTGTATACAATCGAAAGCTCCCCGCATACAGAGCTGTTGCTTGAGGAAGGATGGCGGCCCCAATGTAGTATGTCCTATTATGTACCGAAGGATTTGTGAGAGCCTTGGCTGACTCTAGGTGCTATTATATAGACAACATACCGATGACTGGAGTATTCTACTCGGAGCGGACGCTTTTTGTAAGGCGCTATGGTTGATATATTGGCTTATGCATTACCTCCTACCCCTCACTGCAATTCAGCGACACATTGTCTACTTTACTAGAAAGTCTGATTAGAACTTAGATTTTTCTTTTCCACATTGAGATTCTCTTCAAAACACAATCTCCGGTCGTGGAGATATGTGTCAAAGATCCCATAGGCTTGAATCAGGGATTTGTACATATAGATGAATATACGCTACATAGATATATATTTCACTGTAATGATAATCAATAGATTCATTGCTCATGATCAAATACCCGCACGCGGAGACTGCGAAATCGCATCTCTACACATGCATGTAGACAAGAGTTCTGACTATCTATGAATGCTGTCTACACTAGGTCGAGAAATACAACCTAAATGGTAACTGACGATGCCAGAAAGTCCTGGCTAAGCCGACGCACCGGCAGATCATAAATCATTTCGAGACCGGGTTCATGCCCTCGCGTGGCACATGGTGCGTCAATAACAAAGGACCAACACCTTGATGTGCAAATGCTCCCGTGTGTTCTTTTTGAGTGCTATGGAGCACTGGTAAAAAAAGGACAGTGAGTATTTCAGCCGCTGAATCGGAACCGGGTGGCCTCCAGACGGCCGAGTCCATCGCGTGGAGCCACATTGCGGCGGCGGTACGAGTTGGTGAAGTCTGGCAATGGTTAGCTTTGGTTATGGATAGTAGCAGCGTGTCAACATACCTTGAAGGAGAGCACGGATCTTGCGGGTCTCTCCCGACTGTACTTTGTCGGAGACGTTCTTGAGTAGTCGTTCGGCCTCGCCCTGCTTCATAGAACCAGCAGGCAACATCTGCAGCGTACTTTGTAGCCAAGCACCGCTTTCCTGGGGAAGCAGCTCGAACATCGTCATAATCACACCGGAGGCATCAGGGAAGCAGTCACCCGGGAAGGTGAACATCATGCCAGTCAAAACACGCTGCGCCAAGGGCTGACCCTGCGAGGCAATCAATGCCTTTACAGCCTCGCGGACTTCGGGCGGGGTGGAGTAAGGCTGGCCCTCCGGGGTGGTGAATTCCGAGACCATCGGCTTGTCAAATGCGAAGCTGAAAAGATCCCGGTAATAGTGAAGCGTGGCGATGAGAGGGTCGACTTGTTGAAGCGTGAGGGCGCTGAGAGCAGCAGAGAAGATGGGGACAGCCAGAGACGAGCTGATGCACTTCTTAGGGTAGTATCGGACGGCATCAGATGAAAGACGGAAGAAGTCCTCAATCACATCGGGCAGGTTCTCGGGAGGGAGGTCGTTCAATATGCGCAGGAAAGCAATGGCCTGCTGCTCATAGAACTGGAAGACGGCATCACTGGTAGCCTGATCGACATACTCGGCGCCATCCGAGTACTCACGCACCACTGCGTCCGTGGCCCACAAGAAGCAACCCTCGCGCGACGCCTGGAAACCGTTTGCGATACTCTCGGCCAGGGTAGGCAGAAGAGAAATCATGCCGGTGCGGTAAGAAATAATCATGTAGCGCCAGCAGCGGCACACGCGTTCAAGAATAGGCGTGGAAGACGTAAAGTTCATGACAATCGTGGTCATAATAGGGAGAACTTCACCACAGTATTTGACGGCGGGATTTTCTTCCCCTGGTGCAACAATGGGAGTCACCACCTGTACAAAGATGGTGATCAGCTGTAAGTGGTCGGCTACAGCTCGCTGGCCTTCTTCATCCTGCGCATTGTTGGCGAGGTTCATGATTCGGGCCATGATCGGATCGCAGAACATCTTGTATGACTCGTAGATCTTCTCGTGGGGCTGAACGGAAACCACGGCGGCGACACCCTCAGTCACTTCCTCCTGACTGGCAGGCTTCAGTTTGTCGAGAACTGACTCATAGAAGGAGTGCAGCTGAGCGATATGACCACCAAGTAGCTTCTGGCAGTCTGTACCCAGGAACTTGAAGGCAAGAGCAGAGGCCTGCACGACCTCTTGAGAGCTGTGGTGGAATCCGGAAATCACATAGTTGAGCTGGGCCTCGAGTGTCTCGGGGTGGAGAGCGGTCCACTCCGTGTAGCGCGCCAGCGCCATGATCGCCTGGAATCGGACCTTCTCCTGGTCTGGGATCTGGACAATCAGAGGGATCAACTGTCCAAGGACAGTGCTTTCCTCGGGGTCGACCATCCGGCCCATTGCACGGAGACCGAAAAGAGGAGCCTCCAATTCCTGCCAGTGAGGAACATGGTCATTGCTGGCCTGCGAAGCATACTGGCCTACCCACTGCTGGATCAACTGGTAGATTTTGCCAAGACAGTTGGACACGCCAACCACAGCACAGCAGTCCTTGAGAACATCACCCATGGCATGACGGAACTGACGGAACTTTTCTTCCTGCTCGCGGTCTCCACCAAACAAGTCGGTCTCGCCTTCCTCCGGGCTGGGATACTCCAGGTGCTTGACCATAATATCCACCAGCTGGGAGAAGATATCTTGGAAATTGACACGGGCCTCACCATAGCGCTCCAGGGTGATATATTGCTTGAGTTCGTACCAGAACATGAAGGTCAAAGAGATCGCATCACGCTCCCAGTCCCGAGCACAGCACTCGAGGAGTGCCTCCACGAGACCCCGGAATTCACCCGGCAGACGCGCAACAAGCACAACCCAAGCTTCTCCAGCCTCTGCAAACATTCTTGTGATACCCTTGAATGCCTCCAAATCCTCGGCCTCGGCGGTTTCGGCAATCTTGGGGCGAAGAGCCATCAGTCGCGGGTAGAGCGCTTGAATGACGGGAAGTGACTCGTCAACATCCTTGGTGTCTCGGTAAAGCGTGCAAACACAGTCGACACCTGCGTCGAAAGACACGTCGTTGTCGAGGGCCTTGATGATCACGTCCATGAGGGGTGACTCAACGACCTTGGCAGCGGGGATTTCACGCAGCCATGAAGTGATGCAGTCGAGAAGACGAGGGTTGGTTGCGGCGGTAGCTGTATAAGTTAGTTAGAATCCTCCACCTGTATGCAAGGATCTGAATACTCACGCGATGATTGAGAGTATTGAATCATCAGCTGCATGACCTGCTCCGCATTGTCTTCCAATAGCTCCTTGGTTCTCACGAGCAATTCGTCCTCCTGTTGTACGTGTCAGCTTAATACCTGTAGACAACACTCAAACACATACGCTGAGGTTAATCTTGCGACCCTCGGTGACTTCCTCGGGCAAGATTTTCAGGAACTCCAGCACGCAGTCTCCTGCGCTGCTTCCCAAGGCTGACCCCACGAGCGCCAGAACATCCTTCCATGCGACCATCTGGATCGCCAAACTGGCCAAGCACACGCATAGCTGAGTCTGGATGGGCCGCGGGCCCGATGCAAATGCCACCAACAGATTCAGAACGGAGTCTCGGAGCGCCACAACCGCATCGGGGGGAAGTTGATCGAGATCGAAGATGATCTGCGCAATGTTAACGAGGGCTAGCACCCGCCATCGCGGTAAACATACCTTTCCTTTCAGTGTAGTCGCGGCGAACAGTTTGGCCTCGACCGGCACATCGGGGGACTGTAATAAAGCGTGGGTTGTCGTCCATGCCTCAATCTATCACCAGAGTCAGCGAATAATACCCCTCGATCAGCGGATTGACATACCGATTTCTGGAACTTCTCTAGGAATTCATGGGCCTGAGTCTTCTCAGCCCTGGGCACATTCCCTTGCATTGTCGCGACGGCCGCCAGGACCGGGGCGAATGCCTGCCCGGCTTCCTTGCTGGCCATATTGAAATCAATGTAAATCAAGGCTCAGCAATGGGGAGAAGAGTGAGGAGAGGGGGGTGATGTGACTTGGAGGAGAAGGTGGGATGGTGTCCGTGACGTGTATTGGTATTACTGTAATTAAATCACGGGACGCAGAGCTTTCTCAACATCGTTTGGACTCCCGAGCTATCATTCACTCAACACATTCACCATGGCTGGCCGTAAGACGTTGTTGGCTCCCATTCACTTCATTTTCAGTCTGCTGCAGAAGCGCAGTACTGTCTCTGTCTGGCTGTATGAGCAGCTGGCATTCCGGATAGAGGGGAAGATTCGGGTATGCCCTTTCACGACGCGGTTCATTTCTTGTGCTAACTGCTACTAGGGCTTTGATGAGTTCATGAACCTGGTCATTGACGATGCTGTGGAAGTGCGCCTTGCCACCAAGACAGAGGAGGAGAAGCGCCGGCCCTTAGGTACGGGATGATCCAGCCCAGCAACAGAATACAGCTAACTCCGCAATAGGCCAGATCCTCCTCAAGGGCGACAATGTCTCGCTCATCCAAGCCGTTTGAATTTTCGCACTTTCTTTTCTATTTTGATATGTGCTACACCCTGCGATCCAAATATTCACCATCACCAACCACGATCGCATCTATCAGCCAGTCATGCTCCATCACGGGAATATCCTCGGAGAGTAATTGATCTCGCAGAGAAAGGGCAACTGCCATGGAGTTCAGTCGGGGATAAAGGGATTGTTTCTGGGACTTCTTACCAAGGAATGGCATTTTTCTGGCCATATTTGAGTATCGCGTTAGAAAATGATCATAATATCCTTTACCATGACCAAGTCGCCGGAACCCGTGGTCAAAGGCCATGCCCGGCATCACAATCAGATCCAATCCTTGTGTCAAACCATTCTGGCGACCTTCAATTTGTGTAGGTTGGAGCGACGGAATCCCCCATTTGTCCGGTTGTAATGACTCAAACTCCGCCATGGATCCGAGCGCGAACATGTCCATGATGGATGTCTTGTCTTGGGTATGAATATACGGGATGTAGACCTGTTTGCCACTCTGGAGAGCATCTCGTACAATTCCAGTAGTAGACAGCTCTCCAGTGGGCATGGACAAGTAGACAGCAATACTGTTCGCGTTCTGGTACTCGGCCAGCGAGAGGAATTTGGTCGTGGCGGCTCGAGCTGCGACAGGTTAGTAGGGGCACATAATAGCTAAAAATTAATCTGACATTGTTGATTGATGGAAGCAGCAGACAGACGCGAGAGCGTCGATCGCATACTTTTGCGCAGTTCGCGCTTTGCAGATTGAAGGGCCATGAGGTTGTTGAGGGGGAGTCCATTCCGGATAATGATAAGGTATGTGGTCTCCACCCATCAAGGGCATCTAGGGCGCCCTCAAATACTTGCCTTCTGGCAACTTCCTTTTGTCAACCAAGATGTTTTTGATTTGGAGTCTGTTGGCAACCGCTGCCTGTGCAGCTACTGCAAGTGATTTGGTTGGAACATGGACTACCAAATCTCAAGAAGTGATTACTGGTCCAGTATGTGTTGTATACAATCACAACGAAAGGCACTAACACGCGCAGGGATTCTATGATCCGCTCAAGGACAAGTTGCTTGAACCAAATTTAACTGGCATTTCATACTCGTTTGATGACCAAGGTCATTATGAGGAAGCATACTACCGCGCAATCTCAAATCGTCAGTTCTTCGATATAGATCACTCGACAGTACTGACGCAAAACAGCCAGCGATCCGTCATGTCCTACAGGAATCATGCAATGGCAACATGGTTCCTTCGAAATATCTGCTGATGGTTCTTTAACCCTGAACCCAATTGCCGTCGATGGTCGCCAACTGGTATCCGATCCCTGTCGGCAACCGGTTGGTCTATACACGCGATACAACGCCACCGAGCACTTCAAGGTACATCTCTCCCTTTTCTTGGTCATTTCGTTCTAACACCGTACAGTCATTCTCCACCGGAGTCGATAAGTACCACCATATCCAACGCCTCGACTTGAAACGACCTGATGGTTCGCTTCTTCATCCCATGTTCCTTGCATACCGGCCACCGAAGATGCTTCCCACGACAACATTGAACCCCACGCCAACTGGCTCCAAAGGCAAACGTGACTTGTCGTCCAAATCTGGATTCCACCTGATCAGTCGGGAAGAGCTGATTAACCCAAAGCGTTGGTGGTGGTTGGGTGTCCTGATGACCTCTCTTGGAGGTGCGGCCGTTTTCTATTCGTGATCTGTTATACTGGCGTTTTGATTGGCGTTGGCATGGATTTTCGTATCTTTTCATATTGAATTGATTGCCTGTTAGGCTATTGTGACACTAATATACAATGGTAAATGTAGATGTAAGCTCAAGAGAGTGCCTTCTTCACCTCGTCAGCCACCTCTCGGCGGTCGACTGGCTTGCCATCCAAGGGACCTCCGTTGGCAAACAGAGCCTTGAGGATAGCTCCCTGGTTGGGCTTGCTGCCGGCGTTACTCATTGCGTTGATCTCATTGACGACCACCTCGGTGATCTCGGCAATGGGCATGGTCTTGACCTGGCCAGCATATTCCTCTAATACAACAGCTTGTGCATCCTCCTTCTCCTTCAGGTCAGGGCGCTCAGCAGCCTCAAACTCCTTGGCCGCATCCTTGGTCGCATTCAAGCGTTTCCGAATGAGCGACAGTAGTTGAATGTCGGTCTGAATCGGGGAAGAGGTTTTGGCGGCATTGTTGGTCTCCGAAATCAAAGCGCGAAGCACATTGAGTCTATTCATAAGCTTCAGGTTCGACCAGTTGTAGAGGAATTCCTACCTGGTGGTGTCTTTCGCTCTCATGGCATTTTTCAGATCAGTCCGCAAAGTAGCCATCAATGGCGGTAGAACTGGAGTGGCAGTCGAATTCCATCGTACCAGACGAGCGGGAATACGCGCAGAAACTCGAAGTGATTGAAACATTGTTGACACGAGGGAGTGAATGTAGTTAGTGGACGGTCAATTGACAAAAGGCGGAAGATCCCAAAGTGGTCTGTGCACCGCTCCCAGTGTTGACTCTCTTTTCGCAAAGACCTTGAATGATCCAATCTCTCCTCCCCTTCCTCATCGTCTCCTCTCTACCTCTTGTTTCTCCTTGTGATTCACCATTCGACACATACTGCAGCTTCTCTGTCGGTTCTAGCGGGGAATTCTCCCTCGCTTTTGTTCATCCGCCATGGCGTACCCGTCTCTTCCAACAAATCTTCCTCCGGCGACGCCGATGAAACCCCTTCCTGGGACGTACTTCCAGACTCCGGCACCAGTGTCTCAGACCCTCCAGGCCAAATCGCCGCAAACACAGACCCCTCAGACTCCCATGCCGAAGCTCCCCCCGGCAGCATCGCAGACCAAAAATCAGACCTTGAGCACCGAGGAGCGCGGGGCGCGAACAATTAATAACAGCCTGCAAAGCGAGTCGCGCTACCCAGATCTGGACAGCTATCTATCGCGTAAGATTCACAGATCTCCTGGCTCTTACAGAACTGACCAAAGACAGAGGGCTCTTCATCCGAGTACAACATTCCCGCTGCTTCATCATGGGCGCCGTTCCAAAAAGTCAAGATGTACGACATCCCCGATCAGATTTTCGACCAATATAACCGCGCACAAGTTTCGACCAGCATGGGTTTGTTTGCCGAGCTAAATCACGCGTGGGTGGCTATTGACAACGCATTGTACATCTGGGATTTCACACACCCAAACCCGACATTGGTGGGATTCGAAGACCAACCGAATAGCATCAATGCTGTCAGACTGACCAAGCCGCGTCCGGGAGTCTTCCTGCCGGCAATTACTCATTTGCTTGTGGTCTCAACGACCGCGGATGTAATCTTGCTGGGTATGGGCTACGAGACTACGCCGAGCGGCAGCAAAAGTGTCTCCCTGTTTCAAACTGGCATGAGCGTCTCGGTCCGAGGTCTGGATATCAATGTGTTTGCAGCTTCCGAATCGAGGGGTCGTATTTTCTTTGGAGGGTCATCTGATAATGATGTGCATGAGGTCACCTACCAGCAAGAGGAACGGTGGTTCCAGGGCCGCTGCAGCAGAGTAAACCACACAAGCTCACGTCTGTCAGCTTTCAGACCATCCATGAGCATCACGAACCTTGCGCAAGCCTCATCCGAGTTTGTCACACAGATGGTAGTTGACGACAGCCGAAGCCTTCTCTACACGCTTTCCTCCACATCTACTATTCGCGTCTTCTACATGGGGTCTGATGGCTCCTTGTCCCTTGCAATCACCAAGCGCACTCAGGATATTTACTCCAACATTGGTCACATCATCACCTCCAACGAAACGCTCAATCCCAAAGTCAGAATTGTTTCGATCAGCCCTGTGCCAGTCACGGAGGCATCGCGGTATCACCTGGTTGCAACAACCGCGACCGGCTACCGCATCTATCTCAGTGCAACTAACTCATACAACTGGGGGCCTTCGCAGACCGGCCCTCCCACCAGCATGCAGGCGCTACATGTGAAGACACCACCCTTTGATATTTCTCCAGATTTGCCTTTCAAGGGTACACCCTTCCCTGGTCCGATCAACACTCTTTCTCCTACTCGCCTTGCCGAACGATTCTCTCCCGGTTACTTCTTCTGTTTTACGACCAAGGATTCATTGCAAAAGATTGATAGCCTTTTCATCTCGACTCCTGACGCTGGCCGAGTTGCTCGCTCCCAGGAAAATGCGGGCAGTGGGAAAACCGCTGAATCAGCTATCATGATCGATCTGGGAGGCAAAGCAGAGGACATCGGACTTGTTTCGGCGCCTTCTTCTGTGGCCAATGAGCTGGCCGTTCAATTCGACCACCCTGCTGCAGAGATTGCGATCTTGACCAACGGCGGAGTTCATCTCATTCGCCGGCGTCGTCTGGTAGATATCTTCGCGTCATTGGTTCGTAGCGGCGGTAACTCTGATGAGGGCTTGACGGGCGAAATCAAGAACTTCATTCGAACATACGGCCGGAGTGAGACGCTGGCGACAGCTCTGGCAGTGGCTTGTGGTCAAGGTGTGGAGATTTCTCCCGACCAAAGACTCACCCGTATCAACGACCCTGATGTTCTGGAGTACGCCCGCAAGGTGTTCATTGAATATGGTGGCCGGCCTACTGTGAACGAGAATTCTGTGGCAGACAGCTCGACAGCTGCCATTGACGCTGTGCAGCCTTCTCCACGACACACTGGCATCGGATTGTACATTGCGCGTCTGTTGCGATCCATCTGGAAGAAGGAAATCGCCAAGGTGGGCAAGGGACCCAATGGTGCACAGACTGTTTCAGCTGGTGTCAGCTCTGCCAAGTTGCAGACTATCCAACACGATCTATCCGCCCTCCAAGCATTCTTCAAGGTCAACAAGACTTTCATCGAGGGACTCAGCGGACCTGAGGCTCTTGCCCGAGTATCCACCAAGCAAGAAGAGACCGCACTGCAGGCTGAGCACCGAGCTCTACATTCACTTGTTCAGCTGGTCACCCACACAATCGAGGGTATCTCATTTGTACTTGTGTTGTTCGATGAGCGGGTCGATGAGATTGTGGCGACTTTGCCCGTGGAGTCGAAAGAAAAGTTCCTTCAGCTCACCTTTGAAGAACTGTTCAGCTCCAGCAAGGGTCATGATATTGCCAAGGAGTTGGTCAAGGCCATTGTCAACCGCAACATTGCCAAGGGCTCCAACGTTGAGACCGTGGCTGATGCGCTCCGCCGACGATGTGGCAGTTTCTGCAGCGCGGACGACGTAGTGATCTTCAAGGCACAGGAGTTGCTCAAGCGTGCCCCCGAGGCCGGTGCCAACACCGAACTGGGCCGCAACCTACTCAATGACAGTCTTCATCTCTTCCAGCAGGTGGCCGAGAACCTGCCCATGGATTACCTGGTTTCAGCGGTGGACAACTTCATTTCCAACCAGTTCTTTGCAGGTAGGTTTGATCCACGTCTTTGCTGTTCAATGCTAACTTTTACAGGCGCCATTCAACTCGCACTTAATGTGGCCGGCCGCTCCGATAAATCCAACCTTGCCCTCTCCTGGATCATGGACCAGCGCCCCGAACAGGTACATACCCCCTGTGCCCTATTCCCTGGATCTTGGACCCGCTTGCTCACCCGTTACCAGGATACCCGCAAGGAGTACTTCTACTTCCGCAAGCAATGTTACGATCTCGTGTTCAAAATCGTGCTCGCAGTTGATACCTTGGCTGCATCTGATCCCGGATTTATTGATGGCCAGCTTACCACCGTTGCCAAACGCCAGAACGAAGCATATGGCGTGATTTCGGGTTCGACAGATGAGGTCTTTTTGACGAGCTTGTACGACTGGTACCTCGAGCAGGGCTGGAGCGACCGATTGCTGTCGACACAGTCGCCATTTGTGGTCACATACCTTCAGCGCAAGTCGGCCGACGATCTCGGCCATGCTGATCTTCTGTGGCGATTCTACTCTCAGTCTCAGCGATTCTTTGAGACCGCCCAAGTGCAGTTCGACTTGGCGAACAGCGCTTTCGCTCTACCACTGAGCCGTCGTATCGAGTATCTCGGCCAAGCCCGCGCTAACGCTTCCATTTTCACAGCCGATGTCGGACGTCAGGCACGGCAGCGATTGCTGCAGGAGATCTCCACCCTCATTGACGTGGCTAATATCCAAGATGATCTACTGCAACGATTGAAGGATGATGAGCGAATTAACCCGGATCGCAAAGCCGACGTGCTGCGCGAGGTGGATGGACCGGTGATGGACATTAGCACAGTAAGTGCCTTGAGCCTTGATTCCAACTTACGATTCAACCTAACAATACCAGCTTTTCAATGAATTTGCCGACACTGCTGGCTACCACGACATCTGTCTTCAGATCTTCTACTTTGCCGACCACCGAAATGCCGCCGACATCAAGTCAACATGGCAACACTTGATTCAAACGGTGCATGACGCAACCATCCGCAGCGGCTCACCGCAACCCTACGAAGCGGTGATCGACAAAGTCCGCAGCCTTGGAAGTCGCTTACGCATGTCTGAGACTGTGTTCCCGGTCCGCGACCTGGTCCCCATGCTCGAGCGCTATGCACTCGAATTCCAACGGAACGTCGGCCCAGCCACCTGGGTTGTGGATCTCTTCTTGGATCTTGGCGTGGCGCACGAGTCGTTGTACGCCGTCCTGGAGACCATGTACTACACCGACGAAGCCCCCTTCCACGGCACCAACCGGCGGTATATTGCCAGCGATCTCTTGTACCTGCTGACTGGGTGGTTCCAGGAGACCGTGCGCCTGGGCGGTATGGTATTCGGATCGGATGTGGTTGCCGAGCGGATTTCAGAGATGTTGTTGATCCTGCAACAGAGTAGCAATGTCCTCAGCCAGGATGAGTTGACTACGGCTATTGAGTTGCGGTCGCGGATTGATGATATTCTGCGGTGATGTATTGGCACGTGCAGATGATCTGCGAGGATACAGTATTCCACCGCTTGACATATCATATGCGACGATCTTTCTTCTTTTTTTCGTTCCGGTGTTTTCACTTTGTACTCTAGGCGTGGGATGGTAATGAAAACGAATTCACAAATGTTAGTCCATAGACAATGCTACATGCTACATTTCATGGAGTGCCATCCGAAATTATCCATTAAATCTATACTAATCCAAACGCCATCTATGAGTCCCGAGTCCGAGTCTATTCAGAGAAATCCTCGTAGACGGGGATTGGCTTCTCAGCGAGAGCAATGAGACGGAAGATATGACGGGCTTTGGCACCATAGTCGTCATCCAAGTAGTCAACAATGGCGGAGTCTACAGAGTATAGGTAGTCAGTATATGCCATATCCAAGAAGTACAAGAGAACTCACGAATAGTCGACCGGTTGTCAAACATAACAATAGTCCTAGGCTGCCAGCGCACCCTAGCCTGGAAATCATGCCCAGTAACCAAATGATTCATGAGGAAATCCAACAACCACTTCGTCTCAGAGTCCTTCAGTCCCTGAATCCTCGTAATAAACTCCCCATTCAAAAACAAACATTTCTCCCCGGTAACAGGATGAACCCGCACAAGCGGATGCACAGTATCAACAGGGTCCTTCCTAACAAGGCCGCCAGCCAAGCGCGTGTGGTTAATCATCTTGGACGAAGTATGCGTAACCTTCAACGAATCCAAGAAACTGGTAAAAGTAGGTGAAAGCCGCTTATACGCCATATCCGTCGCGGCAAAGACGGTATCACCCCCAACCTCAGGACCCTGCAACAGACCCAGCATGACATAGCCGGGGGGCTGGATTTCATAACTGACATCCTGATGCCAGAGCGTGGTAGTAGTCCTCTGCTCGAGGAAACGAGAAATCTCCTCGCGGTTGCCATCCCGGTGAATAATATGGAAAGCCGGATGGTCGGTCATAGAGCCCGAAACAGGCTGGTAATTAGGTTTACCAAAATGGCGCATGAATTCCTCCTGAGCGTCTGGGCCTGCGTCGATGAGGTCTTGCTCTGGGAAGGCGACGACCTTACGCTCGGAAATGAGGAGGGCAAGTTCGTCTCTTCCTGCGGAAGTCAGGGAGGAGAGTTGCACGCCTTCAACGACTGAGCCGATGTTTGGTTGGATGTGGGAGATTTTGGAGGACTCATTGAGTAGGTTGCGCTTTGATTTGTCGCGGACGCGCAGGGCTGGGTCGTTGTATTCGAATGGAGTTAGGGGTTCGAACCAGATTGGATCCCAACTGGGGAGGTATTGGGGGTATTTGGTGTTGATTTTGGATTGTTTTTCTACGTCCACGTAGGGGATGTTGATGTCGTAGCTGATTGGAGGTTCTGGTTTGGGTTTCTTTTCGCGAAGGGGGGCGGAGGAGGGCATTGTGAAGGAGAAGTGGAATGGGAAGTATAGGGATGATGTATAAAGGTGAAGTATGGAGTAGATGAAGTATAAGATAAGATGGGAACAGTCTTATATAGACACTCAATCTCCGAACAGCGGTCAAGATCGAAGCGATTTAATCTATTCCCCAACCTAAAACACCCAAACCCCTACAGTAAACCCCTAAATAAAATGATACACAAATCCCGGAGTAACCCGACCCCTTGGAACACTCAATTCACCGCTTCAATTGTCCAGATAAGGCATGCAGTGGGTTCATCTTTGCCTCGGCGTAATGGAAACGGGAAGTTCGAAACAGCCTGTGCCATTGGCCGGATGTTGCGGTCTGCGTGGATTTGCCAGTTCCTTTCAGACCTATCCCATGCTGCATGCGTACCTTATCCTGATGTAATTCGGGCTATCACTTCTTGGAGTATGTATAGTTCACTGGACTAGTTAATCCCAAGGTCCTTGTGGAGCAGGGATCGGGCCGGTAGACGGTGCATGCTATAGATAATGTCATAATTCCCTCGGGGAGACAATTTCCAGGAAGGATTCAGTCAGGCCACCTTTCCGAATCCCAAAAATGAGAAGCAGCGGTGTGAACATCTACGTAATTTCTAGAAGGGATAGAGAGACGTTTGAACCCCCCCACTAAGTGGATAAAATGGGATGGAACCTTGGAACCTTCCAAGGTACCTTGGACTCGGGACTTGACTTGGCCCACCAGAAAAAAGCAAAGATGCTTTTAGTTGCGTCTTAATTGCACTTCGATCTATAGGTCACCTGACCTGATATCTTTTCTTTCTTTCTGTCCTTTGACTCTGCATATGATATGATCCAGCACAACCTCGTCGGGTTATCTTTCGCCATGCTCAAACGCGACACAGCCTATCTGGTGTTCTTTGTAACCCACATCCCCATCATCTTCCGTATGTTTCCTCCCATCCCGTCAACCCCCGTACCCGGGTACCCATCTATCACACTATCCACCTGTCTCTACGGAGTACACGGTGGATACAGACCAACCACATCCCTATTCCTTTGTTCAATTGACATCAACTTACCTGACACTTGGCAGTAATCGACACAGTCCCCCTGCAACCAACATTCCTCCAAACGAACCTCTCCCACACTCTCCGCCAATTCTACATAGACACCTACCATGACAAATTCTTCGAAGATCCCGCCCCAACATGGTTCACCGTCTTCATCTGGATGGAACTGATATACCATGTTCCCGCATCCATCTGGGCAGTGCGGGGGTTATTGAGAGGTATACCTACCCTACCCCTATACACATTCCCTACACAATCGGATATTTCAATCCCATCCAACACACCTATATCGAACCAGATATGGCACCGGATATCAGACGAGACGTCAGATGTCAGCAATGAACTCTATCCGGCAAATCATAGCCCCAGCCCTATGGAACACCGGAAGAAGAAACATTGGAAGCATGAATGCATTGTCACAAACAAACCAAGAAACGAAAAGAAACTAATTTCAATCTCGTCCAGACCACCCCCTCATCCCAGTTCACCTTCTCGTTTTCGGCATCCAAGCCTTCCTCACGTCGCTGACTTGTCTGGTGGATGTATGGAGTTGGACTGATCGCTCGACGGAGCAGAAACAGCAGATTACGATGCTTTATGGGCCTTATGTGGCGTTGGGTAAGTTATGATACAATGCAGTTGAAGTGCAAGTGGAAGTGATCTGACTCTGTTTAGGTGCTTTCATGGCTTTGGATATGGTGTTCCGGCTACGGGGGAGACTTATGCCGAAGAATAAGCGGGAATAAGCCACTATTGTATACTTATTTACACCTACTTACACTTACTTACTCTTACCAGAAGAAATACATACCATATGCTAACGTTATGTGATAATCGTACACATCATTAAAGTGCTCGATCGAAAATCGCTAATACAAGTCCTATAGCCAATCCCATCCATCCCAACGCCACTGTAAATGAAATGCAAAACACCTAACTCTAGATCAAAAACCCGATCGCATGGTCTAGGTTCCCATTCGCCATGTCAAGGGCTCGAACGGCTTCTTCGCGTGAGAAGCCCAGCTCGGTGATTTTGGCAATGGAGTCTTGCGACCAGCGCGAGGCGGGCGGTGCAGGTGCAGGCCGGATATTGATTCGCGGTTGGGATGTCCCAGAAGCTGGGGCTGGTGCAGAGGCAGAGCCAGTATTGCTGGTAGCATTGCTACTCACCTCGTCACCACCGGCTTTATGGGTAACAGCCCCAGTCCTAGCTCCAACCTCGGCCCCATCAGCCCCCTTGACCGTAGGCTCGGCTTCAAACTCCTCAGTCAGATGGCGCGGGATATCAGCCTCGCCCAGGAACGGCACAGCCTGATCCTGGATGACAAGGGCGCCCCGCTTGAGATCAATGCAAGCCTGGTGTCGGCGCAGCATGTCCAGCCCAAGAAGCAGATCGATCTGCTTCCCTTCCATCACGGTGAACGAGCAGGGGAGGAACATCTCGCCGATGCGGATCTGGGCCGAGTGGACGCGGCCGAGGATTGGGGCGGTGCCGACTCCCTTGGCGATACCGCCGTAGCGGCGGTCCACTAGCCGCATGATGTTGCATGCTGTTGCACATTCGGGCGACATGATTGTGACCTGGGCGCCGGAGTCGACAAAGGCGTTTAGGCGGTGACCGTTTACTTCGACGGGGATGTAGAGCATTGTAACGCGGCCGAAGGCTAGTAGCTTGTTAGCTTGGTCACTCCAGATTTGATAAATAGCGGGCAACGGTGTGGGGTAGACATACACTCGGGATGATGCTCCATGGCGTTGTGCAGGTTCTCCGTAACAGCATTCTGGCGAATGATCTCCTCAATCTCCTTCTGGTTGTCCGGGTTGAAAGGATCAGCATTGAGCATGGCAATGCGAGCTTCCTTCTCCGCCTCCAGCTGCGCCTCCCTCTGCTGCTGCCTCATCAGGACCTCGCGGAACCGCTGGGCATTATCCGCCGCGTCAGACAGCTCGGGGTTCTGCCTGCGGACGGCTTCGCGCACGCGGGGATCACCCAGGATATGTAGGCGGATGGTCTCCGGGTCTTGCATACCCGGGCGGGGTGGGGCCTGGCGAGGAGCGACGGAGCTGGAGGCAGAGGGGGAGGGTCGTGGTTGTTGTGGAGGACGGAGGGTGACGTGGACGCCGAGCATGTCGCCTTCGGTGATGCCGACTTGGTCGAGAGTTTGTGAGGGGTTTCCGAGGAGTTGGTTGTTATAGACGATCTGTTGGGCTTGTGGGGGGATGGCCGTTTCGCTTTCGACAATGGCTTTCAATAGCTCGATCGTCATGTCACCGCCGACTTCTAGGTTGATGATGTCCGAGTCCGCCTCGGGGCGGATGACGCTGACGGTGATAAGCATGGTAAAGGTAGGTGGGAGGAAGAGAGAGGGATAGAGAGGGAGAGAAAGAGAAGAGAAAGAGGGAGAGAGAGGGAGAAAGGTGAAAGGGAAGGGAAGTGGATGAGTAAAGTGGGCAAGGCGAGCTCTCTTCCTCTTCCACTCCCTTACATATCTCCACTTAACGTTAGTCTCCGCAGCTACATGGACTACTGTAAGTAAGCTAATTGATCTGCTAGATCCGCGTCAGCCTACAACACCCGGCACGCATTGTCTTATTTCCAGTGTACAGCCACGGCTCACATCATCAATCTATGTATTGCAGGCGGGACAGTCCGTGATCACCGTTGAGGTTCAAAAGTACGAGATCCTCAGCCACACAGCTAACGCCGTGGCCTGATCAGTCCCCCGCTCTGGTCTCGAGAGAATGTTGGCTTCAAAAGTCAAGCACAGTGCTGTCAACCTTGCCGGTGCTGACCTGCATTTCGCCGCATAACACTGCCGCACGGATCGACAGAGGTATAATCTTTGCATATGACATGCCCCTCCACATGTACACTCTTGCCAACAGAGCAAGAGAAGCCTTCTTTCGGTCCGACACGGTACTTCCCGGTAGGTAACCGTTTTTTCCCTTTCCAGAGGCGTGCATTAGTGTTAGCGTTTCAGATTGGCTCCCGGCTCAACCCTAACGGCTGATCAAGCATAGCGCCTGTTCGGGGAGGTCGATGACTCCTACTATGTCTACCCCGCCTAGACTGCTGCCTCAAGCCTCGTTGAGATGACATGTGCAGACCGGGTCCCGTATCTTTGTGTCTGACTGGATGTGGCTATAGGCTGTGCGGAAATACCGGACACGCCGAATACGACCGTCTGTCTATGTCTTCAAACGCGGGCAGATTGAACTATATGGGAGTCGGAAATTCCCCAACGACAGTGCCGAGTAAATTGAAGATCATATATACAATTTGTCGACATTAACTATTCAATGCGCATAGCCGAGGATACATCAGGAACTCCAACTCCACTAACAACCTTGGCATCAATGATCTCATCAATGGGAATCTCACCCAACCGAGAGACAACGTGGTGAAGTGTTGGCAAAGCATCCCAATCTAGACCTTGAATCTCAACCTTAGCCTTCTTCGTCCGCTGCAGCCGCGTAACCTTGGACGGCACAACCTTGGACTCAGCAGCATGAGGCACAAAAACGGGATACTCAGCCTCAGCCTGACCCTTGCACTCCTTCCCAATCTTCGGCATATACCGATAAACCAGGATACCATCATCAGCCTCACCTCCGATAGTCCCAGCATCGGCCGCAGGATCCTGATCCTCCAACCCCTCCAACTCGAAATGTCCCCACACAGCCCCCTGCCAACTAGTCTGCAGTCGGTAAGACTCATTCCGCTGATGAACATCAATAGCAGTATAAAGCTTGGGCATACCCAACTCCTCCCTCCCCGAAACAATAGGATCAGCCAGATTCTCGAACAGAATAGGCATATACGTTCCCTTCAACACCGTCCCATCTTCCTTGGTATACTGCACACCGTGGATATAAAGTCCGATATGGCGATATCCACCACCACCCAGCCAGTCCATACCGCCAAGGGTAGTCTGCGAGAAACTGGCTCTGGCCACGGTGCTGGGTGAGATAAAGCTATACCGATCAGACGGGAAGAGGTTCTGCAGAAGAGTCCGGCTGGTCTTGAATTTGATGGAGGCTGTTGTGAAGGTGGACTGGGCTGACTTTAAAGCTCTGTCCCGGCCCATACAGTCCTGTCGGGGACCAGGCATTGGTCCAAAGACGATGGGTTGACGCCAGTACATGTGTGGGTTCTGGGACCAGAGGTGCTTGCGGAGGACCTGGCTGGAGTGGTCATACTCGTCGTGGCCGTAGATATAGACCACCATCCCCATTGCTAATACAGTTAGTTATGCTACTATCAATCCTCAAGGGGAATGAAACATACCCGTCTCCGGGGAAATCGGCTTGCTCGACTGACGCGTCATCTCTTGAATAGTCGTAGCACGCTCGAAACGAGCCTTCTCATAGACCTTCAACCTCTCCGGCACCTGATCCTTCTCAATATCACCAGGAAGCATCACAGCCAAGGAGACAGCATCCTCAATAGCCATGGCACCACCGGAAGCCCGATACGGCAAGAAAGGATGAGCAGCATCACCAAGAATCGCCAAACGCCCCTCAACCCACGTAGGCAGCGTCTCCATATCAAGCAATGGCCACAGCTTCAAAGTCTGCGGATCAGCCTTGGCCAACAACTTACGCACCTGCGGGTTGAAGTGCTTATAAACATCCAGCAAGGCGTCCTTACCGATATGCTGATTATAAGAATCACCCGCGGTATCGATAGTCGTATCAGTATCAGGATGAAGACAAACGAAATTCAACAATTCGTTGTTAGAACACGGGTAGATCACCACGCGTCGCTCTTCATCTTCCCACATATCAACAGCTCCAAAGTCTTGCGCGATACTCTTCGTCTCGGGATCGTCCAGTGCTTCCTGTCGACTTATCAAGAAGCGGAAGGCATTCCTGCCAGAGCTACCGGGTTTCGCGTTAGAGATCTTACTCCGAGTTAGGGAGTGCACGCCATCTGCGCCGAGGAGAACGTCTCCTTTGATGACATGGCCGTTTTCCAGAGTAACTGTTGCTTCATGGGCGTCGACATCGACGACCTTGCTGGCTGTATGAAGGAGAGCTGGTGCGCCCTTTCCCGGGCCCTGAGCAGCTTTCTTGAGCCCCTCGTGGAAGTGTGCGCGGTGGACAAGGAGCCAGCGCTGTAATTGTTAGTTGTGTAAATGTATCGATGGAGGTGGGTTAAGGCTCGTACGTGTCTCCACATTGCGGCGTGCTGCTTGACATTTATGACGTGCACTTCTTCTCCGGCTGGCGTGTATTCTCGTAGCTATATGTGTCAGTTCATGTTTCTATATCGAGGTATACATTCTGTGTCTCACCTGTTCGGCCTCTACAGCGCCGAAATCCTCCGCCTGAATCCCCAGTCGGCGCAACACACCATTCGCATTAGGCGACAAATGAATTGCAGCTCCGACTTCATTTGCAAAGCGCGAACGTTCAAACAATTCCACACGGTGTCCTTGTTGTCTCAATGCAATCGCAGCGGTTAGACCGCCGATGCCAGCGCCGACGATCAAGACGCGGAGTCCTTGTGTCTCGTTTAGATCTTTGAACGTCATGATTGATAATTTTTTGCGACTACAAAGACCAGAGACCAGAGACCAGAGTGTTATTTATGGCCACCCTTCCCTCTCCGTTCGGGACTTGGTCGTTTCGCATCCCTCGGATGTCCATTTCGGCTCCACATAGGGAGGGGAACGACACGCATTATATGAACTCATAGAAACTCATAAGGATACTTTGTTCTTTTCTCCTTTCACTCTTGTTA